CAAGTAATTGTACCCCTTCCCAAGGCGTCGTCTGTAATGCGTCTAACAGGACTAATCAATTACTTTGCCTTCTCTAATCTACAGAAGATTACCATATATACAGTTATATTTTTCATCTTACAATTGAAGTGTCATTATCCGAGAAATGCATTAGTTGCAGCACCATAAGAAGCTAGATTTAGAAAGAATTCTATAAAGCTGCATCCTACCAGGTAACTCGTGTTTACGCTACTTCGTCCGTTCCCTCTCTGATTTCCTCGTTATTTTTTTGCCTGTGCTTTCTAATCTGCTTCTACTCCTGCTCCGTCCTCGTCTCAGTCCCTTTGGTGTCGAAGGTTTGTCCCAGTGACGTCTACCGGGTGTGGAAGAGTGGCTCGTGCCTCCGGGTTGACACCACCCTCCTGGGCTTCGAACACATGACCTGGCTGAAAGGTCGACGCAGCTACATCTTCAAAGGCGGAGGTGTGTGTGTGCGCGCGCTCCTCGAACAGCATTGCACAACCAACTGAACATTGGAGGCCTCCAACCAACTCCGCTAAATGTTTCGTGTGCTCCTCTCAGATGAAGGCGCCGTAGTGATGGAGGTGGACCATGAGAAGCAAGTGGTGTACACGGAGCCGCTGGTGCTGTCGCCCCGCGACGCGCCATCTCTCCTGGCGGCCATGCAGCCGTCGCAGGAGAACACCGCGCAGCGCCTCACGTCGCCCGTCGTCTCCACGCACCTCAACACGCGCAACATCGCCTTCGAACGGTACGTAGAAGCATTTCACAGAGATGCCGCTCGATTAGTTAACGCTGTGAGGACAGCTGGCTTATTACGTGTACACATGCACGCTGTGGCTCTCTGCGATGGACAATAAACAAATACCGATAACCTCTGTGCCGAGTGCCCTTTTACTATTTTGCTTTCCTTGTTTAGGAACAAGTCGGGAATCTGGGGCTGGCGTTCCGAGAAGAGCGAGGCGGTCAGCGGCTATGAAGCGAAAGTAAGTCACCGCTGAGCAGACGTGGTGTTCTATGGCGTAGAAGTTCAGCCCACCTGGAAGTGAGTTTAGTCCAGTTTGGGGAGCAACATTTTTTTTTAGGATGGATTCTTGTGGATTAATAAATGTATTTACAAGAGAAACACACAGGAACAGTTAGTGAAAAGATACCAGTGTGCCAGCGGCCAGTTTGGGGTGGGGCAACCAATCCTGTGTGGGAATGTAGCAGGCTTCCACCCCGTGTCCCCTTGTGATGCCACAAAACAAAGAACGGTCCCAATATGCAGTTTGCTACGTCCCAGATGGATTTGTTTGATTTTATTTTTATTTTTTTTACTTGATCAAAGTGTGCAAAGCAGCTTGCTTAGTCACATCTTTTTGCGTCCAGGTGTACAGTGCCACCAACGTGGAGCTGGTGACTCGGTCGAGGACCGAGCATCTATCAGACCAGGATAAGTCGAGGAGCAAAGGTGATCACAAACGCACATACACAACTACACCACCCAGTAAGTCCTTGATCTGCTCTTATAAGTGTAATATTGGGGAAGGGTCGTTGTGTCAAAATGAGTGTTATTGGGCCAGATAATAACCAAATCTGATTTAATTTAAAATATAGTAAGTTGTGAAAAATGATACAAACTATCAATCGTGACCAAAGTGACACCAGTTATAGTCTCAGCTCTGCATTATAATTCTAGTTTTTGCAAGGAAATGGGGCAGATTGCTGATAATCTTCCTACATTATTCCCACTCAGGCCTGAAGACTCCTCTGCAATCCTTCCTGGGGATCGCTGAGCAACACACAGCTCACAACGGGGTAAGAGTTTGGATCAACTCTGCACCCTGTCCGCACGTACGACACCCGCAGCTCTCTTTGATGACCACAGCTCTCTTACGCCTCTCTCTGGGTTTCTGTCAGAGTAACGTGTCCCAGTGCGCCAGCCCCCACAACCCCACGGCCATCACGGCCGAGGAGTACTTCGACCCGGAGTTCAACCTGAACAGCAGGGACATCGGACGTCCCGTCGAGCTCACCAGCAAAGTCCAGAGGTGTGGTGCAGCCGCAGGAACGGCAAAAGCTCTCACGTGGACCCGTTTTGCTAAAAAAAATAATCTCTGTCCGCCTCGGTGTGTCCCCCCCTGCAGGTTTAAAGCGACACTGTGGGTTGAGTGAGAGTCACCCTCTCTCCTTGGCCGAGCAAGTGACACCCATCATCGACCTCATGGCCATCTCCAACGCCCACTTCGCCAAGCTGCGAGACTTCATCACCCTGCGCCTGCCGCCAGGCTTCCCCGTCAAGATCGGTGGGTTGTGAGACGTCTCGCTTTGTGGGTCGTTTCCCGTGTGGACGCCTTGGTTTTGTTACACCTTGTTAACAAGCCTACACGTCGAATTTTCTCCCATTGCAGGCTTTATTTGGTCGCTCACCCATGTTTTCATGCCCACTGGTTTTACTGGACTAAGCAGCCATTTAAAATCTCTCAAACTCATACCCCCCCCCAGAGATCCCCCTGTTTCACGTGTTGAACGCCAGAGTGACTTTCAGTAACCTGTGTGGCTGCGACGAGCCGGTCAGCTCTGTGACTGTTCACCCACCAGAGGGCCCAGAAGAAGCTGGTAAATATCCGCTTGTTATGAACTCAATAAGATCGCTTTAATTAATAGCCACACAGAATTAAACGTTCTGAAATTCTATTTTTGAGTAAAAAGTGACCATTTATAGTGCAGAATAATGTAATTAGAACATGGTTGGTCCACCACTATTTCAACATAGTTTACCTTCACCCAGGTCAAGCTCCACCCCCCATCCACTGTGATGTAGACCCCTCGGTGTTTGAGCCCCCCGCCGACTACACCACCCTCGGTCCGGGCCGCAGCGAGCCGATGAGGGACGAGGATGACAACCTGCTGCAGTTCGCCATCCAGCAGAGCCTGCTGGACGCCGGCACGGAGAGTGACCAGGTCGGAGTCCGGGAACTCCTGATGAGCCTCTCAGTTACACAGATGTGGGAATAGATTATTTGCCGTTTGCATCCAAGGCCGGTGGTTTAAGATCAGTTTTTTGTGCGTTTTTTTTTTTTTAGGTGACCATCTGGGAGGCCCTGACCAACAGCCGCCCAGTGTCCCAGTTGCCGCCGTTCGAGGACGACTCTCAGCTTGAGAGGTGAGCTCGTCTTCAGACTCTCGTTTCCTTTTGCAGGCAGATTCACGCTGCTCAAACTGGTGAGAATGCTCCCAGTAATTTACTCAATGTCAACCACTCAAACGAGTGATTTAAATGTACAGGGTTTTTTAAACACCATTAGTTTTTTTTTGTTTGTTTTTCATTTTGTTAATTCATTTTCCGCTCGTTTTTATCAAATTTAATGATGAAAAATGAACTATTGAAGAGCTTGAGGCTGTCATCCACCTCATTAACGCAATTCCGTTGACCCCAGGCAATCTTCTTTTTGGGGGGTGGGGTGGGGGGTGATAAATTAAGACATTTGTAGTTGTTACTGTACATTGTTAAGGGTTCGGAAAGGCTTAAATCCCTAACAACATCAATCATGTGTTTTTTTTCACCCATGTCTATTCAGAATTCCCTTTTATAAAGGGAAACCCCTGGCTTGTGAAGTCATTTAATTAAACGTCTGGAAATAGAGTTCTGTGATTAGTTTCTTCTTTCCACTGGAGCAGCAACTCCCAGACGTCCTGCCATGAAGCCCAGCAGGGGAACTCCCCTGACAAAGATATCTTTTGTTTGATATGGCACTTCAATCTTGAGTTCATCCTTTTATTTATTTATTTATTTCCTCAGAGCAATCCAGGAGTCTCTGACAATCTCGCTGGCCAGCAGGGAGGGCGGAGACACGGCTGAACCCCACCAGCCGGCTGCCGTCTCCCCGTCCGACCCCGGAGCAGACCGCGCCGCCAACCCGCCCTTCTCCTTCGGCACAGAGGCCGACCCGCGGCCACCGGGGCACTTTGGTGCGGCGTCGAGCTTTGACGAGCAGCTGCGCATCGCCATGGAGATGTCGTGCCGGGAGCAGGAGGAGATGCACAGGTGAGGCGGCGGCGATGCAAAAGGGGATCGGGCGTCAGCAGCAGCTTATCTGAGGCGGAGTAAACCCTGTGCACCGTCACCGTGGATACAGCTCGCCAGGCGGCGCACCGACTGACCTGCATCTCTTTGGACCGTGGGAGGGGGCCGGAGCACCCGGAGGAAGGACCCCACACACCACATGAGTGGTCCTTGCATTATTGCTGTTTGATGCAATGCAGCACAAGCTGACTAATTTGCAGGCTGTTGGACAAAACAATCTGACGATTTCACGTTGACTCCAGGCCTATTTTAATCTATGGACGAGGAACACTGACTCTCCCCCAAATATACTCTCTTTATGTACCTGCTGTGAACCGGCACATTTATCACGTCTGTTCTTTAAGGCGGCCAAGCAACTATTAAAACTAAAGATCTGTAACTATGAAATGTTTTCTACTTAAAGAGGGGGGTAAAGTTACAGCATTAATGAACGCTACAGGGCCGTCATTGTTCTGACGGCTTTATTTCTTATTCTGTGACAGGAAGCAGAAGGAGGAAGAGGACGAGCTGGAGAGGATCCTGCAGCTGTCACTCACAGAGAAGTAACGTCATAACGACAGCAGCAGCAACGATGGAGGTGCGTCTTCATTGGGGAACAATCTTAATTTATTCAGTTTTTTAAATTTTTTTTGAATCCTGAGATGTTAAGTTAATTATGAGATTTTATTTGTCTTTCTACAACCAGGGCTGCTACAATAGATTGTAAAGGACCAGAATATAAGTGGGAGGTGGCATAGGAATATAGAGATAAATAAGAGGAGGCACTTTGTGAAACACTACCGTGAAAGGAAGAGACAAATTAGAAGGAGTCTTTGTTTTTCTTTTTTATTGAATATTTTTCACAGTCTTGGTGTCTTTATTGAGTGACGAATGACTTAAACTTAAATCCTATAATGTGTTCCATGATAATTATGAAAAACAAGAAAGTACAATCTTAATGGAATAACTTATAAAAGAAATGTGATAACATTTATGTTGGCTTACTCCTGTGTGAATAATAAAGAATAATGATCATCCTGGATTTGTATTCAGTGCTTTTGAAAGTAGTGAACACAAGATAGTAAGAACGTGTAGTTTTACAGTTGCATCATTCTTTCATTTCATAAACCGTACAATCCATAAAAGGGGTCTCAACGGCTTCAGAAGGTCACCAGTGTCTTTAGTTTTATTTGTAAATTTGGATTTATAATTGATTTGATTATTGACGACTAAAAATAAGAACTATTATATAGAATATAACTATTCCTGTCATCCTAAACTGTACTATGTTTGATGATAATTAGCAAACATTAGCATGCTAATATGTTAAACTAAGAGATGGACAAGGAAAAATCCAGGTTACTATTGGTAACCGGCAGGAGGAAAGAATCCACGGTTAATGTTGCATTCTGGTGCAGGCAAACGGCAGACCGCTACGGCTCGGGCTGCAAACCAGAGGACCTCTGGTGGTTGACTGACACTTTCACAAAACCCCTTTTTCGACTGCCTCCTCACTCACCACTCCTAACAGCAACGGTTACGACAGTGGTCGTTGAAGGACCTGATCTGGACTCTACTGGTTCCCCCTTCAGGGTTTGAGTTTCAGACCCCTACTTTGACAGATGGAGTGAAATCTTTTTTTTTAAAATTGGGATTAAATTCGACAAACTTGTCAATGGTGTTTGTCTTTTTCTAACGACAAAAAAAGCGAGTCCTGACGGAGCAGCATCAGTACATCGTCTCGCTCTGCTGGCCTCTCTTTGGTCCACTCTGCCTGACTTCCTTTCTGTGGTTTTTCTTTGCATTGGTTTCCGTCGGCTCGGTTTCAGCGTACAAGTTTTCCGTCCGTAACCTTAAAACATCCCGGAGCGTTCCATCCAGCTGAACTGGTTGGGAGAAAAACACACAAGTTGACTCATTTAAACCGACCTTACTTACGCACACGCACAGTTTTATAGCTGTTATTGGGCTAAAGCGGATGTCCAGTCCCCCTCACCAAGGTTTAGGTTGTGAGAATCAGGACACTGATCCTCGGGAAGAACATATTCATCCTCTTCTTTAGCAGGAGGTGTTGGAAGCTCTTCTCTCATCTGTGAGCGCAGCATCGGTGCCACTTGTGCCTTTGGTATTATTTTAGGTACAGGCGGGGTTACGCTGATATACTTTGGAGCAGGTGACGTATCTATTGAACACACACAAACACACACGCGCACACACACGCACACACATTGTTAGGAATTGTGCACCTGCCTTTGAAGGTGTAACGGCAGCGGCCTTCTCACCGATGCGTGTGTCGTAGGGCTGACATTCCAAGAAGGGGTGCAGACGGTACTCCGTCATTTCCATGAAGTATTTAAGTACCTCGTTCAAGGAGGAGACCCTCACCTACACGGAGGAGGACCCATGAAGACAAGCAAAGAGAGAGAAGATGAACGCAGTTTTGTAGGGCACTTACCGGCGTGTCCAGTTCAATGACAAACCCAGAGTTGGTGGAGGTCAATCTGAAGTTCTTCATGACTGGCCCGCTGAAACACAAACAAGAGGAGGATCATTTCCTCCTTTCCTCGTCACCTGATGTGTGGATTGAGACTTGCAGCCTCATCGGAAGTCCCTTTTTATTTGGGTACGTTTCAGACGGACCTGGGCATCAGTTGTCTGAGGGTGAGGGCATAGTTGTTGGCCAGGGTGGACGGGCGGAGGATAATGCTTCCGCACTCTGGGTTTTCCTCCAACATTTTCTCAGCCTCCAGCCGAGTCACGCTGAAGAAACACCTGCAGGAACCAAAGAACAACATGTGGTGCTTCCTCAGCGACGGGGCAGGGCGGGAAGGAGCCCACTTACGTAGGTAGCTCGGGGGCGCAGTTGTCCAGCTCGTCTTTACCCGCTGTAGTGGAGAGGGGGGGCTGGCGGAGGAAGAGTGGTCGCGGTGGGAGGGGTGGACACGCCTTCGGGGGGTTTCTCCTCCTCTCCTGATCCAGAGCGCACTGCAGCAGCAACATCTGGCCAGGGAGCAGCTGCATGTTGCTGGGGATCTCTTTCTGTGGGCAGGAAGATTTACCTGAGAAGCCTTTTCTCCGTCGCACATGGGATGGATCACTTCAATCTTTATTCTCTCGCCTTGCAGACGGTGCTATGTGTTGAGAGTTTGTCCTTGAAAGCATCCTGAGCTCATTTATCATTAACCAGGAAATACTTGTTTCCGTTTCATAGACCGAGCATGACTTTGTGTATGAAACGGGTACAATGGGCCAAAAAAACAACTGTTCAAAAAGTTGTTCTGTTGCATTCCAGATGTGTGCTTAGTTCAATACTTTGACATTGAGCTAATTGTTTTTCGTATTCATGAGCATCAACTGTCTCTGTCCCGTTTATTTGTGTTTGCTTACCTTGACGACAGTCAAGATGTAACCTCTCCACTCTTCTCCTGTGTCGCAGTTTTCCATCTGCACAGACCGGAGACATTTAGGTTGTATCTCACTTTCCATCAAACGCTTTTTTTGTTTGTTTGATGAATCCTCGAAGCTCACCTTAAGCTGCACCTCCTGCGTGTGCAGGGTGAGGGTGAAGATGGTCGGTGTTTTGCTTTCATACGGAGAATCCAGCTCCATGGACTTTAGCTGCTCCAGGTTCAGCTTCTCTGTGTACTGACAAAGGCAATACAACAAATCAGCATCACTCTCTGCCGGCGGAAGCTCTTCTCTCATCTGTGAGCGCCGCATTGGTGCCACTTGTGCCTTGGGTATTATTTTAGGTACGAGGGGGTTACGCTGATATACTTTGGAGCAGGTGACGCATCTATTGAACACACACACACACACACACACACACATTGTTAGGAGTTGTGCACCTGCCTTTGAAGGTGTAACAGGAGCGGCCTTCTCACCGATGCAAGTGTCGTAGGGCTGACATTCCATGAATCATGTCATCAAACGACAAAGGCAATAAAACCAATAAGCTGTCAGACACGTGGTGGATCAATAAAATTAGTATTAATGATGTCAAATAGGACGGACTTTGAAGCTTTATAAGAAACAAATATCTAACGACTAATAAAATAAGCCCTGACGATCAGCGTCTGCATTGCTGCCTGTGAAGCTTCAGATAGAGGAGCAAAGTCAACTGTTGGCTCACCGTGTCTTGTGTGTCGTCTTTGTACAGAAAGAGTGTGGCTCCTCGGAGCTCTCCGTAGTACTTCTTGAAATCCTGAAAATCCCAAAACGTCATTTTTGATGTTTGTTCTTGACAAAGTGCTCCCAAATCCAACAGTATTGAAAAAAGCCTAAAAACTGTCACGGAATTTGCAAACATCAGCATTTCCGAACGTCATTCTCACCTTCTCTTTGGTGAGTTTCTTCAGCAGGTGTCCGGAGTAGTACAGCGGCAGTTCTGTGATCGTCTCCCTCCTCTTGTGAACGACTCTTGCCGGCAAAGACATGTTCCTGCTAAATCAATGTGCTCCGACTGGCTTTTGTTGTTTCAGCTTTGGCTCACTTATCTTAGTTTTGCATTGGCGTCGAATAATCAGAGTAAGTTGAGTCCCGACAAAGTTTGGTTCCTTGTTGGTTCAGTGATGGATTCACAGTGAGTCATATCTGTGATGATTATTGGTGTAATAAGCTCCTCGAGCTTTTTTGTTCGGAGAATGAGGAAACGCTGGCAGTGATTAATGAACAAGGAAGTGGTTGGTATAAGAATGCCTAAAGAAAAGTGACCGTTAGACTTTGGACCAAGACACAATGAAGCATAAGTTAAAAAGTCATTCTCAATGTGCAAGCTGGATTAATTATTTCCTCGGTGCCCATGCTTTCAGGGAACACACTGTCAGAGCAAGGAAATAAATGTCTTGTGTGAGAAATGAGGGTAGTATTTAGTGATACCTTTTCTAATTGGTCCAATTCTTTTGAATTAAGTCTTTGTTTCTTTTTCTTTCAAAGACATTATACCAGAGGTGTATGTGATCCATGAAGACGTTGCGTCTTTGACTTTCACCTGGTGAACATGAGCAGTGAAATGAACCAGCTGAAGAGTTTGGTCAACCAGAGGACCAGCTGGAGGAGACGCAGGAGCCACCAGAACAGCATTCTGTCTCGTTTGAGGGAGATGTGAAGGAATGGTTGCGTTTTAATGGTTTTTAATCGTACATAGTGTAATTGACTTCTTTGCCAAATGTTGCCACTTCAGAAAGAAAACTAAATACATTCTGTATCACTGGGATTGAGAGAAGACGCTGACTTCACGGAGGGACGTCCTGTACCGTTTAAATAAAAGGCCACTTTCATGAAAAGTATGTTGAACTCTATAAGTCGTGGTACATTAAGGACATTTATCGGTCTAATTATTTTATTCAATACATACGTGAAAACTATTAAACCCTAATCACTGTGAGGAAAGTGAATGCCTGGAGAAGTAAGAGTACACAGGTCATCCAGGTCATTTCTCTCGATACATGTTCATTCATACAATGTAGTGTATTCATACCGAGAGGTCAGAATCCAGAATTAAGCTCTAATGGGCTGATATCTGAATGAATTGCGATTACATGACTACAGCAGGGTCAGCTGTAGCTAACAATGGATGAATAGATACAACAGCAGCAGCAGTAGACAGTTTGAACTCACCAGTGCTGCTGAGTGATGGACACTGTGGACAATCATCATCATCATCATCATCATCGTCACCATCATCATCGGCTGGACTACGCCGGCCCGTTGGTCCAGCTGTGACCATCCAGTAGTGACTGGAGGACTGGCTGACTAAGTTATCCTGGGTGTGTGTGTGTGTGTATGTGCGTGTCTGTGTTTGTTGTGCTGCCTGGCATCCTCGGTGAGCTGCAGGTGGGACGGCACACATGAGATTTTTGCACATTCTGTAAGATCAGCAGATCCAGAAGAGAACGGCAGCTGTGAGCCGCCGACCAGTCTTCTTGTATAAGTGGCACTGAATATAAAATCATGTGATTTGGTGGGTCGTCGTGGCGCAGGGGGTAGAGCGGGTACGCTGGGTACCGCAAGGTTGGTGTTTGGAGTGCCTGCTGCCCCATGTCTCAAGTCAAAGTGTCCCTGAGCAAGACACCTAACCCCTAATTGCTCCCTGGGCAAAATGTAAAAAAATCCATGGGTTTAAAGTGTAATGTAAGTCGCTTTGGATAAAAGCGTCAGCTAAATGACCTGTAATCTGATTTCTTTGCCCTTGGAGTGATTTATCGTACGATTGGAGGCTAAGACACTCCTTGAAGTGGTTTGTCGTCTCCCTTAACTCAATATATCTGTTTTACTTTAAACAGTGTTTTGTGCGTTACGTTATCTCTGAGTGCCTGCAGGTCATTCCCACCACACTAAGTGAGAAATATACAGTGTTTTCATTAAAAACACTTAAACTGCTTTCAGGCCATCCGGATCCTCGCTCGTGTTACATCACAGGCTGAGGTCTTTGTTCAGGTCCTCTTGGGTTTTTGTCAGGACCAAAAATAAAAACCCTCTGGGTGGCTTCTGCACTCGGGCCACCGTTCTCCCAGCAACATGATGACAGCTGGGGAATTGGCTGCACAACGAATGCATAAAAACAGCTCATCACATTCTAAACAGCTCATTAGCTAGAGATGGCTGGAAGGTGAGCTGTCAGTGCACTTTTGTTGTTTGTAAAAATGTGTTTCTCATCTTGTCTTAACAAGCTGCAGCTCGTAAAAGTGTCAGCTGTGCAAACTTGTTGCTATTGTTGCTTATATCCATGCAAACATTGCCCCCTGCTGTTAAAAGCTTCTACTGGCTCTGTTGCTATAATGAGGCTTGTTTCAATCCGGCAAAACTTCCTGAGAAGAAAATATGATTTTCAGCCTGTGAGGTAAAATTGATTGTGTGTGATGTCACGCCTGGTATAAAATCATTTTGCAATTGAAAACCTATGGACACATACTTTGGCAAATTACCACCTGTAACAACACATTCCTACATAAACGTCTGTACACAGTACACGCTCTCTACATCCCTCCTATAGATTGATGCCATTGCCGGCCACGGATTTCTTTCTCAGCAGTGTTCTTTGACCCCACAGGTCCCTCCGGCATCTCCTTTAATGCCTCATGCTGCAGGGGAGGCCAGGGAGACGCACATTAAGGAGAGGAAACCGTGATTGTTCTCCATCACGGGGGCCCTAACGATGCTCCCCCTCAAACACTGGCTGAGGGGCAAATGGCCTCATGGGTGGCAGGGATGGCCAATAATATGTTGCACTGATGAAGCTCTGTAGAGTCTGAAACAACAGAGCGTGCGTATATTCTTTGACTCAGAAATTGTGTAAATAAAACACAAGAGATGAAGTTTAACTTTTCAGTTTTATTTCAACATGTTTGGTGATTTGTGCTCCTAAGCCGACGTCAGGCATGTTGGAATAATCAATCTTCCGCAGCACTGTTCAGCTGTAATGACACAGACGCCCTAAATAAGAGAACACAAAAGAGAGAAACATATTCAGGGTCAACTCATATCGGGTGTCACGTTTTCATGCGGACTGACCTGAGAGGTCTGGATGATGATTAGCTGGCAGACCAGGGTAGAAGGTCAGGCTGGAGATGCAGGCGAGGCCGTGGTTGGACCGTCCACGGGCTTCATCACAGGAGCACGGCTGGTTGCGGCAGACGCAGCGGGAGACGTCGCCCCCTGGAAAACAAAACAGCTTCTGCCCATGATCCCTTTTTATTTCCCTCCGTACCAATGTGACTTTTTCTAATTGGTACAATGACAAAATACACGCGTGTGCCGCTAGCCACGAATGCATATTAATCCGCACAATGTTCTATTTTAATGGCCGCAGTGATGGAGGAGTGGAGGTTCAATCGAGCCTGTAACGAGAGGCCGAGGCGAGGGGGGAGGGAGGCCTCCCGTGTGGTCTGTTTTACCACTTTAATCTTTGTGTTTGCGCTACAAATACATCCGTGCGCATTTTGTTTGTTGTTGAAGAACACAACAAAAAGGGAAGCTTCTAACGGCATGAAAAATGTGGACTGTTTAAATACGATGAGAAATATAGCTTGAAAAGCAGATTAAAATATATATATATTTTTTCAGGTTTCCCAATTTGGAAGCAAGGAGTCGTGTTAAAGTGACAGCTATCAAAACAATGCAAACAAATGAACACGTGCACATTTACTTTCAAAGACACACAAATATATTAAACCCATTCAGAGTATTTTACCTTCCCCATGTTTGCCGCATTTTCTGATCAGCCCATTAATGGAATAGGCGTTTCCCATGGCAACAGATGATGCTGATGATACTGCAGGGTCAGAGGCCAATGTCAGGTAACATTCAAAACACACAGACAGGAAAGAGTAGAAGGGACGGAACAACATACCGGCTCCAAAAGACTCAGACTGTGCTTTGTTTCTGATGATCCTGTAAAGAGAGGGATCTCAACTCATTTAAACGATCTGTGTTGTCAAGCACACAATCAAACACATGCGGGAGCTCATCTGTACCTGTTGATGGAGCTGATGCTAGGCACACCATCACTGTTGCACACTTGCTCCAGCAGCAGCCTGTCTCGGATCTCCCAGGCGAACATGTTGGGATTTGTGTGTTTCAGATGAAGGATCGTCTGCACAACTCTGGGAGTGGCCACTTTGGGTTTGGAGCCTCCAATCACCCCCGGTCTGATGCTCCCTGTGTCATTGTACCTGCATTTACAATATTGTAACAATATATGTGTCGGCATGTTTAACATATTAGCCTAGGAGGACGTTTGATAAACATCAAAATGCATATAATGGTGGTGAATTTGTGTTACTCCGTTTTGAAAGGCATAATATTGTTCAAATTCATAAAAGTCACCCTGAATCTGCTTTATCAATTATCTATGAACCACTTAAACTATAAAAAAAGGTGATTTTACCTGGTCAGTAGCTTGCTGACACAGCCGTGACTGACGCGCAGGCGGCGGGAGATCTCACTGGGACGCACGCCCCGTTGCGCCATCTCCACGATGCGCTGTCTCACCACGGAGGGCAACGGGTGCCCGTTAATGAAGACCCCGCCGAGCTGGTTAACCCTGCCATATCCTGAGAACCGGAGCCGATCAAGGAAACACGTCGTTTTCTCCATATGAACCCGTGCCGGGGGTAGACTAATAACCTTTTACTTACTGTGCGTAACGGTGAGCGGCACCTGTCCAAAGTGCGCGTCCATCACGGACTGGACTCCCAAGGTCGAGGGTTATCTTGATAAACTTCCCTTTGATTGGTATAATATGCAGGAAATGTGTATTCAATCAGACAGACCATGTCTTTAGGAGAGCATTGTTCAGATGTTTCCCCTTATAATCTGGTCGGAGTTCGGAGGGACAGAAGTGTCCCCTCTGCACCTCAACGGTGAGCAAGAAGAGCCTTTGATTGGTCGCGCGTGCACGGACGCACACGCCCCATTATGTTTTTCCCCGATGCGTTGATCGGAGCTGCAGTCGGGATCAATGGAAATATAGTGAATCGTTTCAGGGCTGTATAGCTGATCTATCCACGCAGGGAAATTAACTAATATATACATTTAAACACATTTTACGCTAACTGACAACAAAATAAAAATGTGTTTAAATGTAGTAAGCTTATATTACAAACGGTGACAAAATCAATCTTAATTCTCCAGGGCCTTTAGGGGTGAACTTGTTGTCTAACTCCGTGTTTCTCAACACTGAGATAGTTTTGGTTGTCCAACAATTAAACACCCGGAAACGCCGGTAAAGTTGTTCAGAGCGAAGCGTCAAACATATAAACAAGAGTGGAAGTCACAGATCCTGTTCACTTCTGTGGGGGAAATATTGTTCAAATAAACAAACGGTAAGCACTCTTAAAGTGCCATTATGGGCTTCATTTGACTTAGTTGTGTGCTCTTAATTAGCTATATTAGCTTACAGAGCTAACATTATAGCTAAAGTAGCTAACAGCTAAAGTTAGCATAGCACCGCCGGCTGGGCTGATGTAAAACCACGTGCAGCTATATTTGGATTGTGTGCTTCACATACACCTCATAATTACATGCTTAAAGAGAAAAACTACACAACCAATTTTTTTTTGCACAATATCCAATATAAATGTTTGTAGTAACTTGAACGAGCTAATGGCTACCGCTGTTTGATAGTGCGGTGAGCCGTCGCTAGGCGGTGCTGTTCGACTGCTCTTCTTCGAGGTTGTACTATGGATTACAGCATAGAACTCGAAGGTTATGATGGTGAGCAATGTAGCAAGGACAACAACTTTTTTGGGGACCGTTCAGAAGGGGAGGAAGAGATCAACTTGAGCTACCGGGAACTTCACAGCATCGGTAAGCGGGCAGCGCGGCTCCGCAGGGGAAGCTCTCCTCCGCTCCTCCTGGCGTACAACATCACCTGTGGACGGGCGCTCAGCACTTCACACCTACACGATGAGGAAGAGGAGGAGGAGGAGGGTGAGCATCCCATCGAGTGGTGGATGCTCCTTGGAGGAGAGGAGCAGGCGGGAGACTCAAGCATCCAGCTCAACCTGAGCTACAAGAACGGCTCTGAGGATTACTCTGGAGATGAAGGTTAGACTGCAACCCAGAGCGAGATGAAGTGCAATCTATTGTCCTGTTTCAAAGCCTTGATACTAGTGCAAGAAAACAGCTTTTACAGTACTTAAATGTGCATTGTTGGACTCTGAAAACGTTTACGTGAAGGACAAATAATTCAAACTGAATGACGTACAAGTGATATGTGGAGTGCCTCTTCTACATGAGCTAAATAATTTCTATGTAACGATAAGAACAGCAACTCGGCAAGAATCAAATATGAAGCAATCAAATTCTACAGTTTGATGGCTGCGGTATACAAAAGGTGAATCAACTTTCTATTAGTCTACTATTCTTCCGACCACTCGAAGCGCTAAATGTCATTCACACCCGTTCATGCAGTGGAGGACCAGCCGGGGGGAGCGATTTGGGTCTAAGTGCCACAGGACACGCTGACATGGATTTGTGGGGCCGGTAATCGAGCCCCCTAAGGGCGACCGCTCTTCCACTAGGCAGTCTCCTGTGTGTGTTGTATGGTAATATCACTCACGACCCATTAGTGTTGAGCTTTCGTTGAATACTGTTGTGATTTATACACCCAATGTTCTGGTTAGTGGAGCTTGTTATTGTATGACAAGCACGTGATATATTTGGTCTTTTTCATTTTAAGTGAATGATCGATTTACCGCTGATAGCCGGTGGCTTCGTGCAATACAAGAAGAACCCTTAAAAATCATTACTACAGGTTCTATTCATTTAAGGCATAGCAACATGTGTTCACAAATACAACAATACTGGAATGAATCTAGTTGAAGATTCATATTTTCCTCAATTAAGACTGTGCGTCTGACATGCGATTAATAAAGTAATTCAATGCTTACATATTCACTTAATCTATAAGCTTTTATTTTGCTGAATTTAAGAGGTATATATTCTGCCATTAACACAAAATAACTTGAATTGAGGAATACATTTAGCTCTACAAAGCCTTACTCTGCTGGGTCATTCTCTCCATCATAGATCAGACTGTGAAGGCAGTGGAGGATACCTGGGCCGTATCAGACAGAGACAAGGTAGCGTTGGATTTACTCTCTATTCATTTCCAAGGAAAGACATTTTTACAATACTACCTTTTAAAATAATGTCCTGTTTTTCTCCTCTCACGTCATGTAGCCCGGTGCTCATCATTCTTTGCCCAGCCGCTATTTCACGGCTGGGCGCTCTCTGTTCTGTGACATTTGCAAAAAGACGGGACACCTCGCCAAAAGCTGCTACAGCCAAAAGGTAAATTCATCCATTCCTTTTATTTGACATACACATAATGTGCTGTCATTTGTTAGGTATAAATCAGATAACAAGGTCTTGCAGAATAAATAACCAATGTAGGAGTTTAATGGAGTTGTTGAATAATTGATTCAAATTAAAATACTTACACAACTGGCAAGATATTTATCTGACTGAAGTCACTTCTTCGAGCTTCCGATTGTCCCTTTCCTGTTGAAGTCCAGCTGATGTCCCCGTGTTCTTCGCTCTATTTCCTGCAGCACTGTACTCATTTATTTAATAATGGCAAAAAGCTTAAATGTTTGTTTTTTTATGCTCACGTTTGAAGACCATGACTTTTACTTTCAGCAGTTTAAACATTGAACATATTGCTGGACGGGTAGTGAAGTTTATGCTGTCTAGTTGAGAGGAAAAAAAATAGAATTATTATTAATGTTGCATTTTTTGTTTGTTGTCTGTGTCAGCAGAAGTGTCCCACCTGTGTTCTCTGTGGGCTCCAGGGCCACGTCCAGAGGCACTGTGGGGGCCGCCCATGTCCCAGCTGTGGACTGCCGTCACACGGCCGCAGCCCCTGTGAGAGGCCGCAGGTGTGGAAACAACACTGCCAGCGCTGCGGGATGTCAGGTCACCTCTCTGATGTGAGTTTGTGTTGGGATTTGGGTTTCTGTGTTGAAGGAAACTTTGAAAGGGTTTGTCAGTTGTGAGTTGACGTATTGTTTAGCCTCAGGTGTGTGTGGGCCTTTTTTGTGTTAAGGCCGGCGCGTGCTTCTGCGTCTGCGTCAGTGCGTCGACACACTCGTTTCAATTCATGGTTCTGCGTGTGTGGCAAAGCAATTCACCTCCAGAACAACAGGTGGAGTAACGTGTTTTTGTTGAAGACGACCCAGAGAGTCACGTCTATTTATTTATTTGTTTATTTATTTATCATAGACTTTATTGCCTCGTACATCGCCACTGCTGCTTTTCATTGCGGACACATTTGTCCTGTATTTTCCTCCACAACTTTGTGCACCTCTCTGCGTTTGCGGCGATCTCCCTCCGTGAATCCAACCCGCTTCTACAACCCGCCAATGACGGCTTGTATAATCGGTCATATTTGCGCATTTATTCCGACAAAAGTTCTTCAATCTGATCCGTTATCTCGTAAACATTCTTCGTTTTAATAATGGCGGTATCGGGCAATGAAAGCGGAAATGTGAGACCCCGTAAAGGACGTAGTTAGCGAACCAATCGCAGCCTGGTGGGCCGCGGGAGGCTTGCGTTGCTTGCGTCGCTTTCAACGCAAGCCTAGAAAAATGTCTCGACACACGCAAGGACGCAAGGGACACGCACAGGGGTCTTGCATCTGCGTCGCTCTGAAAACGCAGAAGCATAAACTAGGCATAAGTCTACCTTGGCAGTTCCTTATCCGTCTGATGCTCTCTACTGTGTTGTCTTTAAAAGAATAATGTTCTCTTTTTGTTTCATGGTTTTTCTTTAGACCTGCCCTGATACATGGAGACAATACCACTTGACAGTGAGTTACTGTTTTGACTTTGCTGCCTTTTTATTATCGCATTCTTCTTCACAATAATCGGTGCATAACAAGTTTAGATATTAAAAGTCCTTTCTGGCTGATGGTAAAAAGGATCATCTTCATTTCCTTTTAACAGGCTGGTGAGAATTGAAGTTTGAGATGGAACTTCGGAGAGATGAACTTATGTCTTTCACCCATTTTAATATGTTATTTGTGTGACCTTTTTTTCCAGATCGGGTTAGAGCTTCCAGTCAGACCCCAGACAGACCAAATCCTCAGAAATAAGAAACCCCCTGCTCATTGTTACAACTGTTCTAAGAGGGGACATCATGGTTATGTAAGTGAGAGGAATCCTTCTTTTACTTTCTCCATCTCCTTCTTCACTAGAACGTTGCCTCTTTTCTCCTTTGTCCACATTGTGTCTGGTCTCTTGCTGCCTTCCTCTTCCCCTCTATTTGCCCCTGTACAAGATATTCTGCCTCTTTCTTCTGTATCATGTTTTGGATTACACTTAAATGTAGTGTTTGGAATGGCTCACTCACTTTTGAATTTGATCTACACTGTTGGTATTAGGAGTGCACTAAAACAAGGATGGTTAGTGGGACTTTTGCCTTACTGCCATTTGTCTGCCACTACGACACCATCAATGACGTCCTCCAATGTGGCTCCAGGAAGCAGAAAAGAGCCAAAGGTGACAAAACTTATATTATAGTATGTATAGTATTATTATGCATACAAGCATTTGCTGAATAATATGCTTTATCTTTGAACATTTTTCCTTATGTAAATGGTTATCACAAATCACTGTACAGTTTAGTCAACACCTCTGAAACATTTATTTTTTTTACTTTATCATAAATATAATTGAAGTAGGATTCTTGGTTACACTGTTATGGGTGATTGCCTTAGTTTTAGCTTGGCACACCTAATATACTGGTTCCCTTCCGCCGTGTCTTTCTTTTCCTGTTCAGCCTCCATTATGCTCACCAGCTGGTCAGTAACTTTTGCTGTGGGACATTAGGTGCTGGGCAAATAGAGTATTTGGTTTTACCTGAGCTTGCTTCTCTAGAAACGGCTGCCTGCTGGGACTAAAAACAGATTTAATGGGAGCAGTGAATGAATCAAAATGGTAAAATTGTAGGCCGCAAAAACCAACTCAATGTGCCGAAAGGCGCTAGGTGGAGCTGCAGAGTTGGTGGATGATCTGCTGCATGTTTGCCTTGTTGAAGATGCACTTTCACTTTATATTAAAAATAAATATGAATTTATTTTCTGGCTCACTAGTTAGGACATTTTCTCCATTATTGCTGTGTATACAGAGCTCTTGAGTGCTGGACCCATGCCTCTGTCAGACCAGCAGCACTTGTCTGAAGCGACAGGCAGAAGTTGGGAGAGGAATCAGCCGGTCCAGGGGAGGAGCAGGATGCAGCAGGAAACGTTTGGGCGGGCGGGCAGGAGGAAGAAGTGGCCGGAGACGCGCAGAGAGAGAGAGGAGTTGAAGAGGCTTAGAAGAGATGCTAAAGCCAGACGAGAAGGAGGATTATTGAAGAGGCCCAGGAGGTACTTTGATGGTAAAGTTTACCCTGCAGACCTCCACGGTCACAAGCAGTACACTCCGCCTCCAAAGAAGAAGGGGAAGAAGAAGAATGAGGCAGGTGGCAAAAGCAGAAAGAGCAGAGAAGCTGAGCGGTGGAAGAAGAGAGGAGGGCGGAAACGTGGGTATTTATATCCCCATGGTGACATAGACATGGGTAGCGAACGCCTTCTTTCACCAAAACATAGAGTGCGCCACAGAAAAAGATAATACAATCCTTCAAGGAGTAGCAAATAGAACTGGAAGATTAAATGTTTTGATTGAATGATTAAATGTATTTATTGTGAAACTGTGTAGAGTTTGTGTATACAGTTGAAGGTGCTCATCTTCATTGTGACTTGTTTAAATTTGTTTTTGTACATGAACAAAGCTAATTTGATACAAGTACAATTTTCAACATATTTTGGAATGTTTTAACATACAATGCATTGCTTTTTCGGCCCTTGTATTGTTAGTCATTATAATAATTGCAATATGGTTCAACTGAACCGTGTTTTGGCTTCTGTACATTTATATTGTAAAGATAACAACAATAAACATGGATTCCAGCTAATCTCTTGTGTATACGTTATATTCAAAGATAATTAGTGTGTTCCCCTGATACGTATAGAACACATAATCATGGGAGTTTTATGTTTGTATAGTATATAGGAGAAGGTTGCATGTAATCACCTAAGAGTTCTTCAACCTGAAAAGCGGTGTAAGGCAAGTGGCTTTAGTCGTTCAAAGCGTTCTCTTATAATGTTTCTGGCATGAAGCTGCTGAATTATTAATGAACTGAGCAGCTGCCCGGGGTTTACCAGACCAAAGTAGTCAACTCGGATAATGAGCCGCTACCTGAAATCGACTCTAACCGTTGCAAATGGAAGATATCTCCCCCTTATAGGTGTTGCAATAATTCCAACACTTCCTCTATCGTGGGTTTGGTGCCACTTGCCAACAACTACGTCGCGTGCAGGCTCGTGACGATCTACGTGTTTCTCTGTGATCGATTGGTTGCGCCTTGGCGGAGATGTGAAACTCCCATTGATTGATCTCCACACACTCCCCGCTGACCAGAGAAAACACTCGATAGCGAATGCGAGAGGGGATTTAAATTTGACAAATATTTACCCACGGACCCTGACGGGAAAGGTGGCCGTTGTCTCGTGCGGCCCGAGGTAATATCCTACTACATTTATCGACTAGGCTAACGTTCAGTGCGACGTCCGCTAGCTTGTACCGTTGGCACCGTTGGGACTTGTTTTCCCCTCTAGACCCGCTTCCTGTTAGCTTCGGGCTAGCTGGAAAAATCGAAATGATGCTAATGACCGAGCAGGTATAGTCGGCCAACCTAAAGGGGTGTAACTTTACTACACGCCGAGGACCGTCGAGTTTAATCACACATGTAAGCTGATAACTGTTTAATCAGCCTGCTATCGGGGCGGCGGGTTTCCTTTTAGTTCGCTAACGTACGACAGCAAGCCATCTTGCTTGTGTTGAGGGATTTAAGTATTTAATTCAACTGAGCTTTTGGTGGCAGAAAGCGAGAGACACCCACTTCATTTTCACGTTAATATTTGCGTCGGTGATCGTCTCATTAATGTAGGACAGCAGTGCCGTAGATCACTTCTGTGTTAGACCGGGATGCTGTCAGGGTTCCGCTGTGAAAAGACAATAGAGAACCTGAGACCGCGATCAGCTGTTGTTCCGCTTACGGCGAAAACTTGAAGAAAATAGTTTATTGATCTAATGTTGTTCTATCGCACGCTTATATCAGCAACATATTTTTTTTAAATGCTTATGTGGTAAAATAACCGTGAAGTTGACCCGCACTGATGGCTCGTTGGGGGCGGGGGGCTGTGAATGGAGTCTGTGCGGATGGTGCTGGTGCGACATATGAGGTCTGTGCTTCTCTGAACGCGGTGTTTTCAGGTGTCTCATCTCATTACATCACCCCCCCCCCCTTTAGATGCCTCTGAAAACCCGCGCGGACACCGCTCGGAGGTAACGCGGAGGACCGAGAGACGCGTAAAAGCGGCACAACGGGGAGGCTCCTGCCCCGTTTCCCCCTCTCTCTCTCCCTGCCTCCCTCCCTCTCGCCTGCCCGCCCGCCATCATCATCGCGTCCATCCACCGCAGCCCTCGACGACCATGGACCCCCCGAGGACTCGCTCGCGATCTCGGTCCGGCTTCTACCATTTCGGCATGAGCGGCAACGTCGGAAGCAACGGCGGCGGTAACGCGGTCGGTATCGGCGGCTTGATGATGCCTGCCGGAGCAGCAGGAGGAGCAGGAGGAGGAGGAGGAGGGGGGAGCTACGCGCAGCAGAGCAACCCCGGCTGGGCTCCGCACCACGGGGGTCGCAGCTACCCTGAGAGCCAGCAGCAGCAGCAGCAGCACCCGCCCCAGGGGAGCTACCTGTCCGCGGGGGCGCAGCGCCACTCCTTGCTCGGAGCTCACAGACACCCCGGGGCCGGTAAGCAAGCTCCAGTGAGCCGGGGGCCTGCAGCCCAGCTAGATGCATGCAAGATACATGCACGTGTTTACACACAGGATAACCCCCCCCCCCAAGGGATGCAGGCAGTCCACCAGCAGCCTGACAAGGCTCTAGACATTCAACTAAAAGGCTTTGCTGCCCTGACCGCCAGCTGTTGGAGACGTTTGAATAACGTTTGAAACTTTCTCTGAATGTTGCACTTGAATCGTTGAGGGATTGTTGAAGAAGTCGAGGGACTTGTGTGTTGAATGCACTTTGTGTAGGAAGCCTCGGGGGAAACAGACAGGTGAATAAATAGTAGTGGATGTTATTGGCTGGTTCACAGGAGGGAAACTACTGGACAACCAGTATGAATTCAACGCAAAATCTTCCTTTTGGATGGTCCTGTGATTATGATGTTGATGCCTTCAGAATAGACCATGCTAACCCTGTTGGTGGCTATGAGGACATAATTCCCATGCATTCATTTATGTGTTAATACATCTGCTTGGTCAGTGTTCCATACTGCAATATTGATGGCCTTACGTTTTCACATATCCTCTGACTCTGATGCATTTGCCCAGGGGTTTAGAAAGCCTACATAATATACGTGTCACATGACCGTCAGCATTTAAAAGAGTCCAATTAATAAACACAAATATAGAACCTTGTAATGCTTTGAAATAGTAGGAAATCTTGAATGTTGATGCAATTTGTGTTTTCTTTCGGCTTGCCTGTTTAAGCCTGCTCTACATTGGCCCCAAATAGTTAAACGGATCTCTTATTTAAAGGTGCAGGATAAATAAGAGAATGGCAAGGAGTTGTAATTTCCGTCCAAACACAAAGCAACATTGTTTGTGAGGCATTTCATTTATTGAAATTGTCCCGTATCACTCAAACTGTTATTCAATAGGCCTTTCATGCCCACAACAGTAATGGCTCCTTATTGAATTCCAACTCACTACAAGACAAACTACCTAAAACTGGGGGGGGGGATTTTCAATGTGAGACGGCACCCCGGCCTCTTTTCAGTGCAGTGAACGTGGATAACTGGTCTGTTCAGAGCACGGCGGGTTTCCGGCTCTGACCCCCCACCAAAAGGTGACTGGAAAAATCTTCTGTAAAGCCATATTGGATTTCTTCAGAGGCACAAGAAACCAGTGCGGTGAATGAATGAAAGCAGGCCTTTTAATGGGTCCGTGTCGTAACGGCAGCATTGTTGCCAAACACCCGGGAAACCCACACAGGAAAACATACTTCTCAAATTGAGAGACCACAGAGGGTTTTGGGAATGTCTTGAACAACGTATCTCCAAGCTGTGTGATCTTCCTCCTCGTAAACGTATGCGTGTGTGAGAGAGAAACGTACTGGTAAGGGTGTGTTTTTGTGCGTAATACAGATTTTCTGTAATGTAATACCTCGATGTATCACTTCGTGTAGAATGTGTCTGGGTGGTATTTAGCGATGCTGAAAATGTCCCTCTGTCTTCACTCCATTCTTTTCGCCTCCCTTTCGTCTTCTTTCTCTCCCACAGTGCAGCTCTAATAGAGTCCTGCATCCCACAGCCTGCCAGCAGCACAGCTTAATAGCAATCCATTCTTACAGATCTTCATTAATACCGTTATTATCACCTGGTATTTCTATTGATTTTATGTGGGTTGAATAGGCTATTTCTCTATATTTGGCATGGCGCTTCCATATAGTGATTGGAGTAGTTGCCAAATAACAGGAGCGAACTGCTGCTCGGTGACAGCTGATGCTCTTAAGTTCCCTGTCTGGTCCGATGGTCTGTTGTAAAATAAATGGTGTCAGTCTTCCCCAGCAGCCACGCTGGGAGGAAACAAGGTTGCGTCTGCTCGACAACAGATCCCCGTCTATTCTGGCTCGCCGTCCCCTCGCTTACGGCCTTAAGGGGGAATCGGCATTAACAGACCTAGTTTTTCTCAAAAAAAACAAAATGGGTGGCCGAGGTCCGGGACTAGAGCTGGGTATCAGGCAGAAGAACCCGGTCCCGAGTAGTATAGAGACTCCCAGGCCATCGCCACAAGTGTTTTTAAATGTAGTGCGGGGGCGTGTTTGGCCCACTTCCGCAGCAGCTTACAGCTCATTGTGCCGAGATGGCACCCGAACGATCCAAAGTATTGCAATGCTACATGATTAAAACCCATGGTGGCATTCTGCTGTCACTGATTGCTGAAAGTAAAATGGGGGGGGGAAGCATTGTGTAAAGTACTCAATTGCTATCAGTAACACTTTCAGAAGGCTGGTATCATGATATTTTTCCTACCCAGGACCGTACGAAGTGTGAAGAAAAAGGGAGAGAAAAAGGCCCGGTAGATAAATAAAGATGTAAGGCAGCGTGTCGGCCCTGCTGTCGACTCGTCAGTCAACCGACTGCCTCTGTACTCCGCAGCCACCGGCAGGGCGCCTTTGAGCCGGCGCTATCGGCAGCCTTCAGATGGCTCCGGAGTGGCATCGCAAAGACAAGAAAAAGGGTGGGGGGTCGCTTTCATATCTGTTGTCTCTAGGGAGACAGAAAGGGCTGTTTGTGGGAGCGAGGCATAAAGGAAGAAATGGAAAGCGATGAGGGGAGATTTTTTTTTTTTTTTTTCTTCCTTGTGGTGATTCAAAGGTTTTTAGGGGAGCACTCAGAGGAAACACTCGTCAGCGGAGTTCAAGGACATCTTTCTTAAGCTGCTGAAGTAACTGGCTTTGTTTTTAAAAAAACAAAATATATATTTAAAAAATATAACATTTTCACCAGGGAAAAGAATATTTTTTTCTGAATGCATACAGTTTCTTTTCGATTTTAGATATTGAGCGGTGTCTTTTCATATAAATAAATGTTGTTAGTTTGACATTGTTCATGCACCTCAGGGGTTTTTAGGCAGACGGGAAGCCAATTCTTATCTGATGGCCGTAACAATGTTTCTCCAGGATCAGTTGAACCGATCTGGACTTCTTCACAGGTAGCAGAAGATGCATGTGAAATCCAACCGTCCATAATTACATATTTCGACCCCATACTGGAAATCTTGTAGCACCGTTGAAGGCTGATTAGCAATGCAATCATGTCCCTTGCAGGTGGCAGCTTCTTTCTCTGCACGTAAACTAACAATTCAGAGATAATTATCTCGTTAATTAAAAAACAAGGTTTTGTTTCCTCAGAATTCCAGAGATGATCTGGTTCATTTATTTTGAAAAAATCATTCATTGGATTATTTCAAAGCGTCATGAAAACTTGATAAAAAAATGCCACCAAGGCCATGTTGTGAAATTGCTGGGTTGGTCTCACCGAAACTCAAAAAGCAAAGGATGTGCAGCTGACAAGGCTTCAAAAGGGAGAAAATCTGCAAATCAAATTCAAGCTGAGCATTTTTACTTCGTAAATAAAATCCCCTTTTCTGTCGGCCAATCAGTTTGTCCCCTTTTGGCGGTACACTATGGTGTACAAGGAAGGTGAGCCTGAGTACTTGTGCCGATGCAACAGGACGCTCTGGTTTGATAAGTGGATGTGTTCTGTGAGCCTGCGCTGACGTACCGGGGAGATCAGAGGGAGTGATTTGAACCACAGAGGATGAGCCCAGACCCACATCCTCCTCCTGTGTCTGCTTGTGTTATGCAGGGAATTCAAAAGGCTGTTTGTGAAGCAAGACGCTGGATAAGCTTTATTGTCATCATTGTTGAATTTTTTTTAGTATTTTTTTTAGTGAGTCTGTAGATCTGTTTGAAGCAAACCATTCATTCTTTCATGACCATCCATTGAAAGTCAAATCAAACGGCAACCAGCTTGTTCTCTCTGCTGAGCAGGCATATGTCTCTGAGTCTTGTGATGTTGATGGTTTTTCTTTATCTTATCTGATTCAGTTTCTTTTTCCCCCCCCTCTGTGGCCTACAGGAGGAGTGCTACATTTTCATCCCCGATAATGTTTGCGAGGATCGGGACAAAGTAAGTATGAAACATGAGCTCTGGCTGTTGCTGCTGTTTTGAATAGGATTTGTATGTCGTTGTCTTTGCTTCTTATTCGTTTTTCCCTTTTTGTCTATCCCTCTCTTCATGACCAACCACCCCTCTTTTCTCCCACCTCCCTCCTTTTTACCTCTGAGCAGATGGAAGACAGCCCAAGCCCGAAAAGGCAGCGTCTTTCCCAGCAGGCCATGTTGGATATAAACTCCGCCCCTCCCTCTACTCCTTCCTCTCCCATTCGCCCCTGGGAGTTGCCTCCCAGTCGCAGACCACACCCCCACTACATGCCAGAGCGGTGCCACACGCCTGTCCGCAACCGACGCAGGTAAGTATGTGTATAGATAGATCGATAGATACTTTATTGATCCCTCAAGAGGTAAATTTTGGATGGATGTGTGTGTGTGTGTGTGTGTTTTGTGCCCATCAAATGTGTAAAACATAATCTCGAAACCCCACATTTATCCCTTAAAAGTTCTAATTCTCTCTTGCAGTCAAAAGACCTAAAAATGTTCCATCACAAAAAAACAGGATTTTGTGATGAATTTTGTGAGGAACTGTAAATCTGAAACAACTATTTTAAAAAAAAGTCTGATAATCAATATTTTTAATCCCAATTTGCAATTTTATTTCCATAACAAACAAGAACTGTTTATCTTTTTACAATGGTCACAAAATTGTACACATTTCAATTGTCAAATGGCTGTTAGCAGTTTTGTTGCATTGTGGGTAATATATGGCACCAGGTGTTTAAAAGGACAAAGAATGTGTGGACAAAAACTAGCCGTCATTCTTGTTGATTTCTGTTTTTTGAACTTGTAAGAGTGCCGGTGATATCGGAGTGCAGTGCTTAAAGGTTGCACATAAGAGATTCGGAGCATTTCTATTTGCTTTCAATGGCTCGACTGTTCCGCTCTGTAACCGGCGCAGCAGAGCAGAGCGGCTCTGAGCGAGCCGGTGGAGCCCGCTCGCCTGCTCTGAATGAGCATAGCATTGTAAATACAGTGAGCAGAAGCAGAACGCACAATTGTAGTCTGACATAACTCTCTGCTCTGTATCTGTGATACAAATGACAACACGGCTCCTGTGCCCCCCCCCCCCGCCTTTTCTTTACTGCAGCCCTCCAATGAGACGCCAGCGTGGCCGGAGAGACCGCCTGACCCGCCATCACCACCACCACCACCACGCCCACAACAACAACCACCACCACCACTACAACAGCAACAACAACAATCATCACCACCACCACCACCCCAACGCCCATCATCACCACCATCACCCCCACCACCTGCACTCCCACCACGGCCCATTGCCAGGCCACCACGATGAGAACTACCGCCACCCGGCTCCCCCTCAGGGCTACCCACCCTTCAGCCAGCAGCCTCCACGGGGGCCGGGGCTGGAAGAGCGGCCGGGGCACCATCCCCCGAATCCCTCGCCAAGGCCCCTCCACCAATCGCCGAACCTGTCTCCCAGGCTGCTGCACCCTGTGGGCCATCCACAGCACCCCCACCCCCACCCATCCCAGCAGAGCAGTGTGGTGCTGGACCTCCATGAGCAGGTGACTGCCTCGGATAGCGTTTGCCGGGTGAATTGGGGGGGGGAGTACATAAAACATAACTGAGTCTGGTTTTTGTTTAGTCTTGTCTCCAGAAAGTAATTAGATCTGAAGGGAAAAGTTTACATCACTAGATTAACCTTCTATGTTGGTCACCTGGTTTATGAATGAGTCGGTTGAGATGTTTATCTTCAGTTAGGAAATCATTTGAATAATAATCAAAATCAAGTCTCATCCAGATGGCAGTAACTAACAGCTGCTCGTCTCTAAGTCAGTCCGGGCTCGTGGAGTTGAACCGTCACCCTTTTGATCTCCACTCTCAGGGTTCAGCTCCAGTGTCGTATCCTTTGTCTCCTCCGGGAGCGCCACCGGGCCTGCCGCCTCGCTCCACTCCTCAGCAGATCCCAGCATGCTCGGTAGTCTTCAGTGGACAGCACTATCCCGTCTGCAGCGTCCCTCCTCCTGTGAGTCTGTTTTTGTTTCTTTATGTCACGGTTGGACGTTTTCTGCTGCTGATGAGTTTGTTTTTAAAACGCACTTTATACATCCACCACTCAATGAAATAATGAGGCCATTTTTCCATCTCCCCGCCAGGTTCTTCAGACTTGTTCTGTGCAGCACTTGCCCATGCCCTACCCGTTCCCGTCATTGCTGTCCAGCGACCCAGCCTTCCTGCTCCCTCCGCCTCACCTCACCCACCCCTCAGCGCACCTTTCCCACCACCCACCTCACCTGCCGCAGCCCGGACAGTTTGGACCGTATCCGACGCAGCAGGCCCGATCGGTGAGGAGCAAGTCTTTTGGTTTCTTTGACTTCTTTCAACCTGTATCATGATTCTGTATCAAAGGCCGCTCTTGTGAATAGTGTAAAATATGGCATTGAAGGGAGGAACTGGTTGGCGAACCAGGACAGATGTTCACTCAGATTATTTTAATCCCACTAGTTGAAAAAACATGCTCATGTATAAAAGGTAGGTCGATCCATGCAAACAGTTAAATATTTTTTTAACCCCCTAATCATTTATAGGATTTACCTGTTATTCAACGTTTAAATATATTTAAATTGCTGACATCTGTGATCACATGAGACGATCTCTGATGGGAACCGTGTGTGTTTACCAGCCGCTACAGAGGATAGAGAACGAAGTGGAGCTCCTCGGAGAACACCTGTCTTTGGGTGCCGGGCTCCACTATCCTCCCGCCACCCACCCCGCCCTCACTCCACACTCCGCCCAGCTTCACTTCCTCTCCCATGAGCCCCTGCCACAGGAATTCTTTGGAGTGGTGAGCAATAACAATAATAGAAAGGCGTTCCTTCCTCCGCGGAAAATCCATGTGACTGATTTCTCACGTATGTGTCGTCAATCGCCCTCTAGTCCTATCCCAACTTCATCCCCCGGCGTCTCCCGGGGCGACGGTACCGATCACAACAGCCACTGCCACCTTCGCCTTACCACCCCAGCCTCCTGCCTTACTTCCTGTGAGTAGATTCCATTGTTTTCTTTTCAGTTGACACAGGTTACACCTCAAAAATAAAGGTACAAACCAAAAATACCAGATCCATCAACGGATCGCCATTTGGACCTTTAGCGATCACTTGTATGCCAAAGCTGCAAAACCTTTCACAATCTTCTCCATAACATCTGAGACAGATCTCCAAAGACTCGCGTCTCCTTGGAAAAGTTGTAGAACGTTCTAAAGCCAACAGCAAACTTTATTTTGGGGCCAATAACTATTCAATTTAGTTGCTTAATTTGCTTCTTTGATGAATTGAACTTACGTCCTCCTTCTTTAGTTCAATGCTGCCAGTCCAGCCAACAGGACCTGCGATCAGTCTAGAGCTGGATGTAGACGATGGAGAAGTGGAAAATTATGAGGTTCTTCTTTATCTGCCTTCTTTTATTCTTTGGTGTGTCTGTTCGGTGCATGCAGGCTCTTTCCTTCATTTGTTGCTGATCTTGTTTTTTTCTTTCCTTCCCCCAAAGGCCCTCCTGAACCTCGCTGAACGTCTGGGGGAGGCCAAACTCCGGGGACTAACCAAGGGAGACATCGAACAGCTTCCTTCATATCGGTTCAATCCAAATAACCATCAGTCTGAACAAACCCTGTGAGTGCTGCACGTCTATATTTGTCATGATTATTTACATTGGCTCCTCTAAATGTGGATTTTTGTGTTTTTTACTATTGATGGAGTTTACAGAATTTTTTCATTTATGTGATTTTCCTCGATGCCCAGTGTGTCATGTAAAAAGTGTGTTAAACAGCTAAACTGTTTAAATGTCATTACCATTTGTGTTGCAGCTGTGTGGTGTGCATGAGTGATTTTGAGTCCCGCCAGCTGCTGCGAGTCCTTCCCTGCAGCCACGAGTTCCACGGGAAGTGTGTTGACAAGTGGCTACGGGTAACTACAACCCAAGCACATGTAATACATATATCAACACCTGAGTTCATCTGAGGCCAATCACACAATCGCATTCTCACTTCAAGTTGACGCTAATTATGTGACTCAATCTTTCAATTATAGAAGTGTAGTGAGAATCTCCCTCTGCAAGCATCAGGGTTGTGTCTAGATGTTCCTGGATTCAGAACAGAAGAGTCCAACAACACTAAACCTCAGGTTCACCAAAAAAAGGACTCATAAACACTAAGTTCTTTTTGTAAATCATAACGCAGACTTATGATTCAGTGGCATTATGTCATATTCCCAAAGCTTTCTGTGAATTGGGTTACAAATCGATACTAAACAGATAATTGGGGATAGTAGTGGGCAGTTTAGGAAGATAAGGAAGGGAGAAAGGTTTTTATTGTCATTGCTGTTATACAATGAAATTATAAAAACATTACTAATATAAAAAGAGATTAAATGTGTGCGTTTGTTAGATCCCAATGTGCAGGTTTAGGAAGGGGCTTGTTGAGTGATCAACCGAAAGCAAATTTATGATGATTTCATGATCATTTTTGTCCCCTCTCTCTGTCCTCAGGCTAACAGAACGTGTCCCATTTGTCGGGCCGACGCCTCGGAGGTCCAGAGAGACTCGGAGTGACCATGTGAGGGAGACAGCTGCTCCTCCATGTTCGGCATAACCTGCTCCTGATATATTAATACACATGTACGAGCTTACACGCACACACACACACCCCACTTTGTTTTTGTGCAGCACTTTCCGCCTGTTTGTTATCCTTTCGATATTGATCCCTTCTTCCTTATTTTTGAATCTGATCAGAGTCCCTCTTCAGCAGTTATTTGTTCATATGAAAGCAAGCTGCCACATCTCTTTTTTGAATTTCACCATCCATGACCACTATTCTGCTAGTTGTGTGGCATGGATCTGTGTGTGTCTGTGTGTGTTACACGTGCATGCACTATTACCGTGCAAGCGTTGATTCGTCAGCCGTGTAGTGGCTGTGGCACGTGTGTGTGTGTGTGTGTGTGTGTGTGTGTGTGTGTGTGTGTGTGTGTGTGTGTGTGTGTGTGTGTGTGTGTGTGTGTGTGTGTGTGTGTGTGCGTGTGTGTGTGTGTGTGTGTGTGTGTGTTCTGGATGTCCTGGAGCATGCCTGAGGTTCTGTCGTGCATCAGACAAGGGAAAAGACATGGAAGCATTTTTGCTCTCATGAGTGACTGTCAATCCTTCCGGTTTGTACGTTTATGCACTGTTGATGTTTGTCTATATGCATACTGTGTTAGTGTGTGTTAGACTTTTTTTCTAGTTTGACACTAAGGGTCCATGCTGCCACTATATTTCTCGGTTGCCTATTTGATCCATTTGTTTCAGTAGCTGATTATTATTATTGCTGTCATTATTATTATTATTATTACTCAACAATTATAAGTGATTGTTTTCCTGCCTGGCAGTTACCTCATCATTCCGGTTCTGATCATCTTTCATTACAGACGCTTCACGGCACTACTCTGAATTTAAGCACATTATATATTTTTCTTTTTCTTCCTTTACTTAGTAAAAATGTTTGTCTGTGAATTTGCGGTGGCACATGTGTTACATATATACATATATCTATATATATATATATACTGTATAAATCTACAAATATCTGTATACCAAATAAAATGCTTGATACAAACTTTTTAAAAGTAGTGTTTTTGTATACATTTTTTTTTATAGCTGCACGTTGGGAGCTAAAGAAATAAATTGGTTGTGCTGGATCTGGATTTCAGATTTATTTTGGACCTGCAGTGACTCCAAGCCGCCACTAAGCGGCGGTACTGTTGTTCTCTAGACCGGTGGTTCCCAAACTGTTTGGACCACGCACCCCCTTCTACATCCCAATCGGGTTCATGGCCCCCAATCCACTGCTCTTAAAAAGAAAGTCCATTTACAGCTGTATTGAAAATGGACCAATGACAGAACCGTTTGCTCACGCGTGATGTTTGTTTGCCACATTTAGTCCGCTGTTAAATGTTGCAATGTGAACACAGACCGAACAAAAGGGCAACTGCAACATTGTATCCTATTAATTCTGAATCGGGACAAAGTTTCAATAAACTCCAGTTACGTCACTTTAAAGGAGCAATAAGAAGGACGAGGACACACGCGGAGTCTCAGAAACGTGTCAATGAAAAGGGAGGATTCCATCTGAGGATTTCACGCACAGAAAGCGTAAGAGGGAGAAGACGCGAGTATTAACTCCGTTTCTGTCGCCTCGGATTCCTCCGTCTGTCTGTCCGTGTCCTCTCTCGCGACTCATCACTTCAGATGTCCACCCGACCTGTTAGCTGACGTTAGCTGCACAAAATAGGCTCCCGTTATAGGAGGAGCTGAAGTGTATTTATATTTTTAAATTGTAATCTTGCAAAGGGTAGTTTTATAATTCCCGTCGGTGTTTTGTGTAAAATACCTATTGATTTTTTTTATTTTTACAAATTACATTTAATATGAATTATTACTCCTTCAGACCACCATTACAAGTTTGCTCTCGCGCACCCCCAGCGGTGGGAAACCCCTTTGGGAATCCCTGTTCTGGACCACCATCACTCCGCATCTGCCCGGGTTGTTGTAGGTAGTGGAACTATAATAAAGACGGTGTAAATGTGTGTTTCCTTTCCTGTCTCGTCTAGCAGCACGTGCCTGTAGTCCTGTACCTTCTGTTACTGCAAGTACTAATATAGCATTTACAGCAAAAGGCAGACATCCACTCCAGGCTCTACCGGGTAAATTTGGGCCACATTTCTGGGATCCATCTGCATGGAGCTGCTGGAGGAGCAGACAGCACAAAGGCCCTGGTACTTCACCAGAGGACTTTTAACACGATTTCAAAGTTTGACGTTTCGTGCTTCTAGAAGAAAGAGCTTATTTCAAATATTGAATTGCTTTTTTCAGAGATACCACAGGAACAAAATGCACACAGAGGATAGTAAAGGCTCTAAAAAGCTCAGCCTATATATATTTTAATCACTTCACTGATTTCTTATTCTGTCAAAAAAAAAATGACATAACAACTTGAGATGAGATGCAGGTTGGAGGGGCGGGTTGAACAAACACATCAGTGGTAATACGTAAGGACAAACAGTTTAAAGAAAACACTTAAAAACATTTTTTCACTCTTATCTTGGCACAAATTTGGCGATGGCTTCTTCAATCCTGTTTTGCAGGTGTCAGGTGTCTTCTCACTTGATGCATGCGTTTGACGGTTATTCAGTGTATTTGATATTTCTGAGTTCATGTTTAATTCAATGAGAAACCTCTCGGCTGAGGCTGGATGACTCATGTTCCGCCAGCCTTGTCTTTCTCTCTGGTCGCTTCCGTCTGTCCTCTTTTCCCTTGTGCACCTCTGTCTTTTCTCCCATTGCCTTTTTCCCTTTATTTCCACCCTATGACTTCGGTTCGGTCCGTTCCTTCAGTCTTTGCTCCACTTCTTTCTGCCCTTCTCGTGCTGTTTGTTCTCCCCTGTTTGCCCTTTCCTCCCGTGTGTTTGCTTCTGCATCTGATTTCCTCGCTCTCCCTTCCCCTGCCGTGGTCACCACCCACCCACATTCACCCCGTTTACGCTGCGGAATCGGTACGTTGAAGTGATGGTGAATTTCTGCCTGAAACTGTCGGCCCAATTACTTTTACTCAAATTGTATTTGTCTTCTCTTGTTTTTTTCTCACCACCCCACACCTATCTTCAATGTTATAACCAGGTTTGCATGGGTACACAAGTTAACAAGTTTAAACCCTTTTTACGTGTCTTGTGTTCCAACTTTAACAAAGCTCACATTAAGAATGCTTTGCAAAACGCAGAAATCAAGCTTCACCGGCTCTTCATTTCACATCCCGACTGTGATTTCAGATTTCAGTCAGTTGCAGGTCGAAGAAATGGAAGGAAAAAAAGTTATTCTGTTCTATTTGCAGCATGTACCTTTGCTTTGCTGGTTTATGGCATATTACTTTTGGCTATATGTGTCAAAATGTCCCATCTTCTAAATCTTCTATTGGGGCAAAGTCAAGCTGCTTTGACCAAAAAATAAGTAAATGTTTTACAAATGGTGAAACCCTATTTAGGCACCTTTCTGCAATTTCAAAATAGGTTTAGTCTTCACCTTATATCTAGTTTCTGAAAGGCTTTTAGACCTCAGCTGTCTCTACTGCTCTACATGGCTTCCCACACATTTTTAAGTGTGTGTGTGTGTGTGTGTGTGTTGCGCAGACTCCCCCAAGCTGAAGGGTACATAGATTCTCCATCCTGCTTGTGTATAAAAAGAAAGCGACGGCACCGAGCTCTGCCTGCTTCACTTATATTCACACTTGCACGTGCATGCACGCACCAGGTCCTAGGGGGATAAGGGGGTGAGATGTGGACGAATCCCCTGGGCAGGTTGTTCCCCGTCCATCTCTCCAGGTGAAGTGTGCGGGTATTATTTATTTCACAGGGAATTCCCTCCCTGTGCATAGTGGACGGCATCTGTCAATGTCGTCATGTTCAGAGCTGTCAGCTGACACAAGCACTGTCGAAGGAGAGAGAGAGACAGAGAGAGAGAGAGAGAGAGAGAGAAAAGGGGCGGAGAGAGTCACCCAGAAGAGGTGTGTGTGGACAGGCTGAGTGGGAATAGCGCTCTACTAGTGGCTCATTGGGAGTGTCGGGCGTCAGGAGGCTTTCTGTTTGACACGTTCAGTCGGTGAAGACAGGCCGGCTTCAAAGCATCACTGCTGTCCAGGCGGGACCCCCGAGGTCGCCCTCTAACCCTGCGTGAGGATTCCCTCTCCAGACAGCTGCTGTTCAGCAGAAAAGTTCATGACGTCATTTATCAAAGAATAAATACTTTCATTGTTGTCAGTTGGCTTAAATATCTGAGAAAAACTGCAGAGAAATGCTATTGATTTGTACTTTAACTAAGATGCACTCGCTGGGTGGGTAATCTTTTTAGTGTTTTAACCTACCTATTTTTCCTGAAAAAGGATTATGAAAGGTAACGGTTATTTCCTTGCTGTTTTGCCACATATCATTTTTCATAGTTTCAAAGGGCATTAGTAGATACCCCTACCCGAGTTCGAACAAAACGATTCATACATCTTTTGAGGCTTGTTGAAAAACTGTTGAACTTGATCAATATATGAACTAAGCCCATAACTTAAAAAGTACAGAGTAGTCATTTTATCCTACTCTGATTCTTTCATACCACAACACTTATTTGGTATATCCAGAAAAACAGCTCCAAAAGTCTACATAAAAAAAATATACTGATTTTTTAAATACAAATATAGAACTATATATCCACAAATTCTACATACGTAGAAGTGCAAACACGCCTATGTTGCACCAAACGTGACTGATATTCCCGTAGCAGAATCATATTCTGATAGAATCTGCCATATTTTCCATGTTGATCCCTTCTCTCTGGTTATGGTGTTAAGTTAGTTCTCTCCATTGGTGTGATTTTATTTGAGACACTGAAATCTGATGCCGGTCGCTGCGGTGATTCGTTTCATGCGGTGATCTTTTAGTCTGAGGTTTAATTTCAGCCCATGCAAGTATTGCATTTTAGGCCTTAGAGCAATACTTTTCAAATACATTTTGAAAAAATGGAAAATGATTGGTCTCTGTATCCAAGAAGAGTTGGCCATCGGGTCAGATGGGCCAATATGAGGCACATACGTCACATTCTGACAGTAATGTGCCATAACAACAGAGATCTGCGAGAGCCAGATGGTTTTGGTGCAATTTTTTTTTGTGTATTGTCAGGAGCAGTAGACGGACAAAATGTCCTTCCACAATTACACAAGGTGAGATGCAGGTCATGACGGGTACCTGGTAGTTTAATAGAACAAACGCATTGATGAATAAGACCTGACACAGGTCTAAAACCCCACAAAAACAATTTTGTTTTAGATCGTTCAGGTTTTCTATCAACGTTGATTGCAATTGAAACCAAATTGTTTTCTTACAAGGCAAACTGCATCCAGTTAACGCGTCTTTTCCAACAAATACTGTGGTGAATCAGCATTAATATTTACAAATGAACCTTCAAATTCTATGAAATCTTTAAACAAACCCAGAAAAAACTAAAAAGGAAAGAATCTGTGCCAAAAGATTAGAAAGCTTTTAAACCTGCTTCTTAATTTACAATTATAGAAATTATTGGAAGATGAAAGTTTCCTGTGAGACATGACCACTCATTGTATGTTTGTTTGTGTAATGTGTAAGCAAACATGCACTTTTTCCAGAGGTCATATTACAGACACACGGACCAAACGCAGAGAATATGGTGATTCAACACACAGTGAGAAAATATCGAGACGTATGCTTTGAATGGGGCGTACACATGGTATTATAACTTTACCTTGGGTTAAAGGAAATTACTGTTTTAAAAACACATTTTATTTTTTGTTAATGCTTATATCAACTGGATGATGAATTTAGAAAATAGCTAGCTCATTTATTACATTTTTATGGTTTTATCTTTAAATGTATTTGTTCTCAATCTTAACAAGTTCATCTATTTTACCTTTTTTTTCTGAAAACACCAGTGCAGGCATTTACATCCTATTCCTTTTGTGTGTCCATTCATTTGCCCCCCCCTGACCTGTGAGTCTGTGTGTGTGTGTGTGTGTGTGTGTGTGTGTGTGTGTGTGGGTGTGTGGGTGTGTGTGTGTGTGTGCAGATGTTTTCTTTCTACCTGTTTGTCTGTGTGTCCTTGTGGAGATGTCGTTTCAGGACGAGGTTTTGGCTGCCAGCCGCGCACGCAGCTTCACTCAGGTGTGCTGAGGTCAGCCACAAATCTCAAGTCATGGTGACAAAACCAACCTCTCAGTCAGACACACTCAACCCCACAAACACACAATTTAGATCATGTTTTACTAATGTATTATGTTTTGGCATTTCACATCATGAAGCTTATCGGTGTGTCCATTTTCACGTCTTCTCCCTCTTTCACATTTACATGCCTGTTTGGTTCAAAGGAGATGAGAAGGGAGCGTTATGGTTTGAAAACAATTCAAGAAGAAAGAGCGAAGGTAAAGGGGGGGAGAATGTGAAAAATGGAGCAGGAACATAGAAGAATAAAAGTGACGCAAGAGTGCAAATAAAGGAGAGCAAGAGTGAAGGAAAACAACAATGAGGTAACAAAGACATTGGAAATAGATGACACATGCTCATCTCTACACATCTCGGATCTCCGATTGTATTGTCCCTCATACTGTGTCCGAGACACAAATGTCCCATTTATGAATTTATGGTAACATTGATGCAGCGGGGGAATAGGCTGCTTCAGGGTGGCACTATCACTCAACAGTGTTTGATGAAAGTGCTGCTGGTGCGTAGGCTCTGTGCAGTAAGCCAAACAGGCTTAATCCATTGAAATGATATGCAATATGATGACACATCTGCTGGGAAGTAAATGCAGAGTTTTCTGTGTTTGTGAGTTTTACCTGCAGGGGCATTGTGGAGGCGACACATGACGTAGATGTGTGTTTGTGTGTACATGCATACGGGGCTGTGTGCAGTGTCTGGTTAATTTGTTCATGCTGACAGAGGGCCTTGGCTGATATTATTATTGCTGTAGAAAATCAATTCATGAACTATTCTGCAAATGTAAATACTTCAGCACTTTGACTTCCAGATTAAAACAATGTATGCCTTTTACCTTTTGAGGAACAAATGTGACCACATGAACAAGTCTTTATGTATGTAAAAGTTTGGATAAAGCGTTAATCAATTGTCCCAATCATTGACCATTTTATTTGGAGGCTTCACCCTTCAGGCGGTTCTGCCGTTATCCATTTGTTGAGACTTTAAACTTGGGCCGATGGTTTGGTAAATACCCCCACGCCCTGTCGGGCCGGTACTCGCCACGACTTGGTCGGTATCTCGTGAGGCAAAAAAAGTGAACCGGAAAAAAGGTTTTACTTTCGTTTTTTTTTTACTTTACTTTTTTTGATGTGATGAAGCTGCAACCCCCAGTTTGGTAACCACAGGTTTAAGGTAAAACTAATCAGACTAAATACATTCTGAATGTTTTTGTTGAAGGAACATGTGTGAAGGATAACATTTTAACTTCACCCTCGTTCTTTAATAAAAGCCTGTTTGTGTGTCTCTTACTTGCATGTAATATTACCAATCTTTCAGCTGTCAGCATTTACAAACAATGGCTACAAAGTGATCCACAAATTCCTGCTTTGAGTGCGTGTGCGTGTGGCCCCATCAGACCCCATAGTGAGCTCTCAGGAGTCCTGATTGAATCTGCCCCTCTGCTCCCCTCCTTTGCTTTTAGGATGCAAAGATTATGCTCATTAGGGGAGGCGGGCGGGGACTTTGGAAGGCAGATGCTCGCGTGTGGCTCTAATGGGGGGATAACACAATTTGGTTGCATTTGCTGCATTATGATACTTGTTAATTTTAACTGTGTGTGTGTGTATTTGTGAATGTACAAACCGTATAATACCTCTTATCTATCTGGGAAAGAGTACGGGCAAAGTTCATTTGAGAGAACTCTGTGTTCCTGCATTGTTCCCTTGACTGCAAATGTTAGAAGCATCACATATCACTCTAAAGTAACACTTTCTGTCTGAAGTTTAACATTTTGGGAAATGCACATTGATGCCTTTCTAAGGGAATGGCTTCACTCTTCTCACCTTTCTCTTGGTAAGATGTATATTGACACATGAATATAACAGTCTCATCCCCTTTTCTTCAACATTCAAATTGATATCCATCCCTCTTTCTTTGTATGTCATTGTGTTCACAATAACATGATTAACTGAAGTACATGTAATGGCAATACTTGAGATTTCTGCTATAAGCTTTTGGAAACCCCTCCATCAAAGCGGTTTCTTCTGGATCTATGGTGGTGAATTGTCCATGAGAAAGACACTCAAAGCTGACCTTGATTTTTGACCTCCCTGTGGTGATGGTGGAAACAGTGGGAAACTGTCCCATAGGATCAATAAAACACCACACTCCCCGGATGGTTTCCTATAGAAATGCCAGCACCTGAACGTTTCCATGGTTCCTACAACCAAACACAGTGTTTTTAATGCGGATAAATGACGCAACGCATATTCAGTCCCTGTTTTTAATTGCTTTATGTTATCACTAAGCAACATAATTCAGAATTTAAAGACATTTTTCTCTTTAAACGGTTTCTTTTTGTAGTTTAAGCCCCCCCACGTTTAGGCTCCTTGTAGCTGATGAGCTTCAAAGTGAGTCAGAATGAACTCTTAAGTGCATTTTCAATGAGGGGGTTTCTCCTTTGATTGGAGAAGATAAAGTGGTTTTCAATCTCTGCTGGGTATTAAATGTCTTGCCGCCCTGGAGGTTTCTGAGTCTTATCGCTTCCTGTTTGTTGTCATGCCGCACTGGGCCGATCATGACGGCAGAGGGTGAAAGTGACGCCCGACGGGAGGGCGCACTGGGCGGCCAGTGCAAAGTGAGCACCGGGGCGCTTAAATCTTTCATCTGGAGAAACGGCCGCTTCGGTGATAACAGGATTGCCGTGTCCCCACTAGCTCCTTGCCCACGTTTCCCCCGTAGAAAACGATATTTGCATCGCCCGAGAACCAATTAGCGTAACGGGGGATCTGTTCTCTGCGGCGGTTTTCCGCTGCGCGCAATCACAGCTCCAGGACCAGCGGCGCAGTGGGTGCGCTCTGGCTGAAAGCATCCATCCAGCAGTCAGCGCTGCCCTCCATGCCTCCAAGCATCCACTGTCGGCCGTCATCAGCGAAACCCACTGCAATGAAACCGATATAATCCTGTCTGCTTTTACTTTTTTTGGGTTCCACTTTTTCCTTATTTCCCGGGATAGAAAAAAAGAAAACAAGGCGAGAAGACGCTCCCCACCCCGCCGTAAGTTTTGGCGTGCGTGTCGCACTGGAGGGGAGGAAAGGATGGCAGCCCCGGTGAAAGCAGCGTTGGCTCTCCTGGTTCTCACCGTGGCAAGTGAGTAATCCTTTCAAATCCTCCCGGAACGGGACAAGGGAGGCTTCTGCTTGGCGTAAGAGGCTCGGGGTGTCACACTCTCTCTCCCTGCTGTGTGCATGACGATTCTTATACCTAACAGGTCCGGGAAGTGTTTGCAATATTAAGAAATGTACATGATTTGTATCCAAACATCAGCCCTCCGCCCTTAAGAGCTAAAAATGAGCCGGAAACTCTGTGTGAGTTTTTTATCTCTCGTTTGGGAAACTGGATAAATCACAGTTGAGTCTACGCACCACACAAGTAACCGGAAAGCGTGCTGGCGGAGGAAATAATGGTATTTCCGTTCTGCTGACAACTTAACACGTGATTTTACACGCCGCCTAAATAAACTAATTGCCCTGTTAAAAAAGAGACCCCCATGGAGTCTTAATTAAATTGCTGAATACTGCATGAGTGCAACGCTGGAGGAGAATGCGTTGCTGCACACGTTCCATTTCCCTCTTGGGGGTTTAGATCTTATTGTGGACATGCATCGACTTGACAAAATGACAAACTGGTTTTCTCCGTCCCTCAGGGCCCAAATGGACCCTCTTCACAAAGTACTTTGACTTTAATTTAGTGCACCTCTATCATTATGTTCAGGAGAATATAGGTTTGGATCATTTCTGTTGAGCTGTCCATGGTGCTGTAATCTGAACGTGTCAGTGAATGATTGCTGCACAATTTCCACAGACCCAAGCACCCATTGTGTCATCTTCCTCAAATACATTGAGTGTGTTTAGATTGCTGCCCTTATGACCTTTCGTGTCCTCTTTTCCTAATTTGCATCCTCAGAATTGTAGCACCTTACATGGGCATCTAAATCTCGGGTTCACTTTATGTCAACGTGCCGTAACACCTGATTAAATGTTTTGCTCATTAAAAGCTCGCAAGATGCCCAGGAGTGCAAGAAAGGGGGGAAATTATGCTATCTGTGTGTGACAACCCTGCCACTGCTTATCCACAGCCCTCTGGTTAACTAGTGGGAGCGCAGATATATGCAGCTCTAAGTGTTGTCCTGCCCTTGACTTTATTACTGCTTTCTCATAACTGCAAATGTGTCGAGAGTACTCGCTGTCAGTGAGTCAACACTTCATAGTAATCTATTAGCCATTGTTGCACTTTGAATGAGAGAAAGTAGGCAGCTGAATAGAGATCTATGTAATCTGGAGCCAGAGAGAGCTGCATCGGATGCATTGACAAGAAAGGTACGTAGTAGTTACATGTGAGAGTGCTACCGAGGGAGCTAAGGACAGAAGAAAGACGATTTTACTGCCGCCTATGTCCCTCTTCTGTTCCTGAGAGGAAAACAGCAAAGCAGGACAGAAAGACACAAGGGCAAGGACAAATAAAGTTGATTTCAGTTGGTTTTATCCTCACAGACAGAGGACAAATTGCCTGTGATAACAAGTTTAAGGGCAAACAACCAACAGGTTTCCAATGAGACACATGCATCCGTCCATCCGTTGTTTTTAACTGCTAATCCCGTTCAGGGTCACGTGGGGGGGCTGGAGTTACCCAGACTATCGCACGCCCAAGACATTTAAAAAGCCCAGACTCCAAGTCTCTTTGCAGATACATTGTGAGCGATAGTAAATATCTACTGGAACATGGCCATGTGGATGCATTTGTGTGGCATCCTACATTGTTTTGGCCCCCAGAAAGGCCCCCCATCTCCCAAAGATGGCAAAGCATTGAATAATTCACTGAACTAAAAACTATCCTACAGTATGCAGAGTGTGGACACTTTTCTTTCTGTACACCTGACCCATAACAAGGCCTGTCCATCCATCAGCATCACCAAAACACAGCAGCAAAACAGCGTGTACGAATGTTTTTTGTCTCAATTTATGAATTTCTATATGTTGTGATTTCTATATATGCGATTTTGATTTGGTTTAAAAATACCTGGAGAGTAATCTTTTATTGTGGTTGAATTCCGCCTTGTGAGATGATGGTATTTTTATTTTAGAGGCAATGAATAATTGAGGTATGGAGAGCACAGCAAGGCGGAGAGAAGTGTGTGTGTATATGTGTGTGCATACATGTGTGATGGGTCCTGCCGGTAGACTCCCTATCGCTCTGTCTCATCTTACATTGAGCTCATACACATCTCATTTTAGCCTCATGTACGATTCTAGCATGTACTGTCAAACCCCTGACATTGCTCTACGGCCCCCACTGCAACGCTCCCTCAGTCCGTTCCACTAGTCACATAAAGTGTGTCCTCGGTTTATCCTTATGCTATTATCCCTACATTTTTCTCATGCTGAAATAAGTGAATACCCAGAGAGAAGCTATACGCACATGCTTCATGTGAGAGGACAACAACAGAATGGTAAAACATTGATACAGAAGAGGCCAAGATATCATGATTTTTAGTCCATATGGCTGAAAAACAAAGAATTCTAGCTTTTGCATAATGTAACCACTATCATTATTTAAGTATTTTACCTCCCTTTCTGGTAAAAGTTCATGTCTTGTCAAATGCCATCAGTCCTTTGCTAATTCATGCTTTCTGCAAGCCATCAATGTCACCGTGGTTACATTAATGGAGTTCATAAATGGAGATAAAGTACAAAAGATTTTTGAGTAGTAGTCTTCATGATGTTTAAAATGAACTTCATGCAGGTAGAGTGCCCCTTGGATATTAATGGGAGGATGTGCAGATTATGGAAAACATTATTTATTTCATTTGCTCATCACAGATAATGATTCAACAGCATAGATAACTTTATAATAAGATAATTATCTCCATTTTGTGGCCGACGTTTGTCACGTTTAGCTGCTTTTGCATTTTGAGACTAATTAAATTAAGCACAACGACCAATACAACTAAAACAATGAGCTGATTAAGATTTATAAAGATTGGTAGTTTCTTTTAATTAAAATAATAAACTTGTGTGCCATTATGTAGCGGTGTGCACCCTTATTACAAATATTGGCTTTAAACCCATTTAACAAATGTATGAATCACTGTGATTTTACTGAATCATTCAAATGAAGGATCCTATTTCATTTTATTTTGTGAAATTATTATACTAACCTGGTAATTGTTTCTTTCCCACTTGCTGTTGTGTTGTGTGCGTCTACCGCCTGCGATGTGTCTCCATCTCCTCTCTATGTGGCGTCCTGACAGACACAGCGGTGGTCCCTCTTAGGACATTCACCCTTGAGGTTTTGTGTCATGTCACAGCTGCTCACATGTCGGACACTCGGTCCGTCTCCTCTTCAAACCGAGGCCTGATTGAGGTTAACGTGAACTGACCAAGTGTAGAACTCACACGCTATCGCTTTCCCGCACCTGCCTTTAAAGCTCAGTGCCTTTAGTTCTATCTGACGTGTGTCAGAAAATGTTTTCATCTTGGATATATTGATGTGACAGTTGGCAGCAATGCTGACAACAAGTGGAAGTAAAGTGACAAAATACACAATATCCGTAGTTGTCAAAAGCTGCCAACTGCACAGTTCTCAGATTCCTGGCGTATGTTGCTGATGTCAGCTCAGAATTTTTTGCACAGCTTTTTCAATACGACTGGTGACAAAAATAGAACCACAAAAATATTCTACTAAAAATCGGCTTGGACAGTGTTACACTCGGTGGTGGAGACCCCCTCCCTCCTCCCGGATGACAAAGGTATTAGAATGTAATCACTAAATGTCTTGTTGGTTCAAGGTGAAGGTGAACACGCTGACCAAAATGTTGTCTCTGCTTGCTGTGGACAGACGTCCCTGACAGTTCTCAGTTCATCCGGATCCAAATTGAGAGCCTAAGCAGAGTATGTCATATGTTGTACCGGTTATTAGGGATTTTTGATATTGGGTTTTATACTGTAGATAAAAGTGACTCGACCCACACAGACAGCTGCTGGACTAACCGTAGCCTTTGCTTGGTCTCATGAAACAATAGCAGGTGTGGCAACAGTGACATTGAGAAAGGGGCCTACACGCACTCCAAAATAGGAGAAATATGAGGTTACTCTTTGCGCTGATGGTCCCTTCGGTGCTCAGCTGAATGTAAAGGTCAACACATCAACCTCCACACTTACAGAGATTAGTAAATTTACTGGTTCCTCTGGTGTCTTGTTCACTTTCCCCAAATTAGATTCAGATTAATCTCATGTATCAGGTTGTACGCTTCTTGGCTGCGACACACACAGAATTGACGTCTCTCTTTTCTACCTTGTCCCCGTCCTGTTGACATTGTCAAGTAAGCAGGAAACCCAGAGCCAACCGATCACAAATAAGGTGTTCACATAATCCTCCCAGAAAACAGGAAACACACAAAAACAAAAGAAAGAAAACAGGAGGGAACAGGTACAAGACATACACAAGAGAAAAGGCTTTAAATGAAAGCCGCTGTGACGCAGAGTGCCTTTTGGCTTGTACGCTGAGGAAACCAGCTTGATATTTCTATTTTCAAAAGAGAAATAGCAGCTACGCAGATATAAAGTCAATCAATAATAAACGAGCCAAAAAGAATGGACTCGACTGAAGGGATTTTCTTTTCAGAAATTTAAAATGTATGAAAGTCTGGCATCATCTATGTTTCAAACCAGCCACGATCTTGAAGCTGTGTGACCCATTCCCACTTTGTTCTTTGATGTTTAAATGAGTGAAATGAGCCCTGCAGGGTGTGTGTGTGTGTGTGTGTGTGTGCGTAACTGCAAATAGATTCACTATCGTCATACTACGGAAGATTGCACCCATTGATGACATCCATTATGAGATATATATGAGAAGCCTGGGTAGAAAGTAAGAAGGTAAACGTGTGTTTATATGTTGACGTGTGTGACACTGAATACACCATTACATCATGTCTGTAATCTCCACCAGATCAGAGACACACTCATTACTCACATTACTTCCATTACACACTCATTACATCTGTGGACCAAACTGAACTCACGGCACGAGATTTAAATATTGCTTCACAAACTACTTCTACGGGCATCTGTGCGGATATTGTGTTTTTTGTCATTATAATATATTATAATATATAAACTAAATGATATTCATAGAGACAAAGCAATGATCAGGAAACATGTGTCATTTATCAAAGGGATTTCTTCGAGGATTTTGATTCAATCCCCATAACAATATAATATAATATTCAGGTACAAACAGACACTCCGACTCCAGCCTACGCACATCCGTAAGATAAAACTGAGATCATCCGCTACGCGCGTCTAGTCACCATGCCTGATTGTTTAAGACACAGAGACACATTATACATCGCACCGTGTCATTCAGGTACGAGTGCAGCATCTCAATACTCTCTCCACTGAGATGATAACATTAGGGAAATCATGTAGTTGTGCAGAGCTGCAGTTTGACATTTTTGGCAAGGTGTCTGACAGAATGAGATGACATAACTACCAGAGGTTGTCATAGCGTTCTAAAATAGAATACATCTGAATTACTCCCATGCAGCTTGGCGGAAGAGATAAAAATATAAAAGTCAGCTGTAATTCACTGTGAATGATAATTCCAACTAGCAGGTTGACTTGGACCATGTCAGGGATGCGGGGAAGGCAGGACTCAAACGCAGACGTGGAGTAAGAAAAGTTGAAAAAAAAAGAAGAAGAAAAGAAGACTTTAATAGTCAAAAATACCAAAAGCAAAGGGCCAAGGGGCAAAAATACACACAAACCAGGGCAAAAAGGCAAGCACAAACTAGAGACATCCAGGACATTCGACAATGACGCGACAAGTGACAGGAGACACACAGCTTAAATACACCAGGGAGGTGCAGGTGATTGGACACAGGTGGAAACAATCAGACAATCACAGGGGATGACAGGACAAGGCAGGAAGTGAAGTTACCCAGGGAGACAAGAAGCAGAAACTACAAAATAAGGCAGGAAATGATACCACACCGTGACAGACCAAGCTGTTTGTAATATTTCAGAGCCTTTACAACATGACTGAGGAAACATGTCCGTGGACTCCTATTTAACACAGGTACCGATTGGTTGTACGTAGCTGCTCACCAAATCCCTTTCTTCTGTGTGCGTACGTGCGTGTGTACAGCTGCCTTGTGTGCGGAGGTCGAGGAACGACTGGTGAGTCAACTCTTGTCCCCCGAGCGCTACAACAAGCTGATCAGACCGGCCGTCAACAACAGCCAGCAGGTCACCATCTACATCCAGGTGTCTCTGGCCCAGCTGATCAACGTGGTGAGGACGCACACCCTCTATCCAAATCTTCATATGCTCTTATTATAGAGTGTTCCAAAAGAACACAGATGTTGGAGACAGTTCTTTGAGTTCCCTTCTTCCTATCTGTGTTTCAGAATGAGAGGGAGCAGATCATGACCACCAACTGCTGGCTCAGTCAGGTTTGCGTCTCCTCTCGTACTCTGGTCTAAAATGCTACGTCTTTGCCAAACCAAACCGTACCAGTGTGGAACTGGTATATTTATGGGCAGAAGTAGCTCACTCTGTGGGGACTTGGCTTGGATCAAGTGTTGATTGTGGCCTGGTGGCTAGGAAGATGAGTTGAATCTATTCCCTCATGTGTGTGCATGTGTGTGCACTTCTTCACCAGGTGTGGAATGACTACAGATTAATGTGGGAACCTGAACAGTACGAGGGAATCAAGAAAATCCGGCTCCCGTCACAACACATCTGGCTCCCGGACATCGTTCTCTACAACAAGTACGTCGCCTTCGTGAAACACAAAATGAGAAAATGTGTTTTTGCATGAAACTCAGTGATTAAAAGAGCAACAAACACAAACAATGATACATTTGATTTGATCTTAAAATGTTTTCTGATATCCACTTATACCTCTTATGCCCTCATCCCACTTTTCACCTGTTTTAGTAAAATGAGTTTTGTTAACACTATCTAGACGTGGTCTCGTGGTGATGAGTTTAAAGTCTGAGAGATCACAGGTGTTATGGGGAAAACGAGAGCGGGACATATTGAAGTCATAAAATGCGCTGATAAGACAACGGTGCATTTGGTCACACCTTTGATAGCCGATGTAAACATCAAGTGATCGTATCTCACATTTATAATTAAAATTATGTAATATTTAAAGCGACTAGCTTGCAGCAACCTGACATTTCAAATGTTTCAGCTGCATTTCACGATATGGATTATGATTTAATGGCATAATTCATATTGCATTTTAAAATCAAAATTCTCATCCTAAATAAATGGTCATTACACCCTCACTGCAGATTCAAGAACTCTGAAAAAGGAAAACATCACAACCCCTACATTATGTGTGTTTTTCCACATTGAGTAGGAATGCACCAAAATCATCTTGCAGCTGTATAAAATAGCTGCAAGGGAAAGTTAATGCACAACAATGTTAATGCGATAATGAGTTAGTTCAAGAAGAAATGAGCCCCACCGCCTTCATCCGCTGGATCTCTCCACAATAAATGTCAACACCTGGGTCTTTCGTGTCCTTCTGCTAGTTTCTTGTATGTCATTTACGAATGACTTTTTTGTGTCTCAAATTAAGTCTTACGGCTCAGATTTATGTTCTCAGGAATCAGGAAACATTTATTGCCAAAATATGTCAAACATACAAGGAATTTGTCTTGGCGGTTGATGCGTGACAGTAAACAGTTTAACAATGGACAACAAGACAGCAGTGCACAAGTAATAAAATAAAATGAAATGCTAATGCAATGGGTTAGTAGAATAAGGCTATGGGTTAGTATAAAAGAAGAGAATAAAGTTAAAGTTAAAAATTTTAAATATTTAAAAAGTTAAAAAATATTAAAAATAAAGTGCACTATCGAACAAGTGACAAAGTGACGAGTGACGACAAAGTGACGAGTGAAAAATTACAGTTAAAAAAACATGTGCAGTATGAAGCAGAGTGATCGGGGGAATGTCATAGTCAGTCAGTGGGGGACCGGGCTCTATTAATGAGCCCGACTGCCGACGGGAAGAAACTGTTCGTGTGGCGGGAGGTCTTAGTCCTGATGGACCTCAGCCTCCTGCCAGATGGAAGGGGCACAAACCGTTTTTGTCCGGGGTGAGAGGGGTCGGCTAAGATCTTTTTAGCTCGCTTCAGAGACCTGGAAGCGAACAAGTCCTCCAGGGACGGCAGATTGCAGTCGATCACCCTCTCTGCAGAGCGGATGACACGCTGCAGCCTGCCTTTGTCCTTGGCTGTGGCTGCAGCGTACCAGACGGTGATGGAGGAGCAGAGGATGGACTCGATGATGGCCGTGTAGAACTGCACCATCAGTCTTTGGCAGGTTGAATTTCTTCAGCTGCCTCAGGAAGAACAACCTCTGCTGATCCCTCTTGGTGATGGAGCTGATGTTCAGCTCCCACTTGAGGTCCCGGGTGATGATGGAGCCCAGGAAACGGAAGGAATCCACAATAGTGACGGGGGAGTCACACAGGGTGATCGGGGAAGGTGGGGCTCTTTTCCTCCGGAAATCCACAACCATCTCCACTGTCTTTAGAGCGTTGAGCTCCAGGTTGTTCTGGCTGCACCACGACACCAGATGGTCAGACTCCCACCTGTAGGCGGACTCATCCCCACCGGAGATCAGTCCAATGACCCTCTTGAGGGGGCCAATCCCTATATTGGGAACCTCTGGATTACACTATCTAACTGTACTGAAAGTGGTAGTTAAAAACTTCTACTAAATATAATGACTGACCTCGTTCTTTTCTCCTCCCATTCAGTGCCGATGGGACGTACGAAGTCTCCTTCTACTCCAATGTCGTTGTCTCCAACAATGGCGAGGTGGCCTGGCTCCCGCCGGCCATCTACAAGTCGGCCTGCAAAATCGAAGTCCGTGATTTCCCTTTTGACCAGCAGAACTGCACCCTCAAGTTCCGCTCCTGGACCTACGACCACACCGAGATTGACCTCATCCTCCTCAGTGATTTTGCCTCACGTGACGACTTCAAACCCAGCGGTGAGTGGGACATAGTTTCCCTGCCTGGACGTAAGAACGAAGACCCCAATGACATCAGGTACCTGGACATCACCTACGACTTCATCATCAAGAGAAAGCCTCTCTTCTACACCATCAACCTGATTATTCCGTGCATCCTGATAACGTCTTTGGCTATTCTGGTGTTCTACCTCCCGTCAGACTGTGGTGAGAAGATGACTCTCTGTATCTCGGTCCTCTTGGCCCTGACTGTGTTTTTACTCCTTATTTCAAAGATTGTGCCGCCCACGTCTTTAGCAGTGCCTCTGATCGGAAAGTACCTGATGTTTTCAATGGTGCTGGTCACCTTCTCCATCGTCACCAGCGTTTGCGTGCTCAACGTGCACCATCGCTCCCCCAGTACACACACCATGCCTCCGTGGGTCAAGCGTGTCTTCCTGTATCGGCTCCCCTCTTACCTCTTCATGCGGAGACCCGGCAGCTCCAACATCCGCGAGAAGTTCCGCAAAAAACACCAGCAGCGATCGTACTCCGACCTCCAGCTGAGTCCTGCGGGGATGGCAGATTGCTCCTCGTCCTTCTTTGTGAACGAGGATTCGGCCAAACGCTACGGCTGGAAGATCAGCGACCTGCCAGAGAACACTGAGTTCAGGAAGAGGATGACGCTCAAGTCCAACATTGACACGGAGGATGCGGTGGACGGAGTGCGCTACATCGCAGAGAAGATGAAGAGCGAGGACGATGATGAGGGGGTAGGTGTATCGGCATGTGCAATTTGGCCAAATGTCTAAAAATGTGAGATCGATTTTGGTTTTTAAATGAAAAATAACACCTTTTTATAGATTTTCTCTGTGTGGCAGGAACAAGTCTAAAAAAGGAGACCAACATTTTGTATGGGCCTTCTAGAACTCTAGTATGATGTTTGACCTATGAACTTAGTGAACCACATACATTTAAGACAATCCTCTACAACTTTGGACAGAACAGCTCGTACCACCTATGAGATGTCATGGACTACTTTTTGTAATCTGCATAATAACAGTTTTGGAAATGATTGTGTTTAGAATGGTTATTTTTCTGTGAATAGCTCAATTGACTTTATTATTGTGAAGTTCTGTCTAAGTTATTCCAAAATATTGCACCGGTACATCAATGGTGATTCTTTTTTCGCCATGTGATTTGTTTAAATAAATTGCACTGTTCAGCACGAGGAAAATCCGCCACAAAGTTGGCAGAGTCCAAAGAAGCTTTGGTACGAAGTGGTTTCAGCCATTAAATCATGAGACATGTGACATTACAAATATAAATAGCATGTCAGGCAAAAAATAACAATTGGGTTCGAAACAAAGAACAAAACGGGTGAAATTTAAAATCTAACTTCTCTCTACAGATCATTGAAGACTGGAAGTACGTTGCCATGGTGATCGACCGTCTCTTCCTGTGGATCTTTGTGTTTGTGTGTGTGGTCGGCACGCTGGGCCTCTTCATGCAGCCTCTGTTCCAGAATTACAACACTCCCATCGTTGATTAAATGGACTGCAAACAAAATAGCTGAAAGGTCATCATGAACTTTGATTGCCGCCCTAGAAACAGAGCTCTGATTTTAACACACATACTCACATGTCTGCCTCGCCACACACGCTCACTGGGAGACTATAATGATGCACGTTACCCTTCCTCCTCCCCCCCCCCCCCCCCGCCCTTATGACAACGTGTTGTCCCTTTCATCCTCCATGTGTCCTGCCATCTTAAGTGGGATCCACTTATTTCATGTAACTAAGGGATACATGTTTTCATAGTTTGGCCGTCATTCAGAGGCGGGGATGGTAAAGATCTAGGAAAACAGTATATTTACTATATATGATGTCTGTTGTAACATCGGTCACAGTTTACATTACATTGTTTTTTCTGCTAAAAATGTCCCGAACCTTCCTAGTTGTACACTTTTTGATTTGTTCAATAAGTTCATAATCAAAAGGAAGCAATGGCCAAAACTATGAAAACAAGACCCAATTTACAATATACCATAATTATCTTATTATTCAAAATGTCAAGTTAAACCACCATTCAGCCATGATGATCTTTCTCAGAGATGAATATAGATCCATAGTCTTCAAGTATTGACTTCTAACGGTATCTTAAGAAGAAAACATTACCTGAAACTGTTGAATTTATATTGTTCCGTCCCTTATCGCTGCTCACAAAGGTTTACCTGGACAACGTCAACTCAGGACTTTTTAGGCTTAGAACAGAGTTGGTTTTGCTTTTTTTTGAAGATGAGTCCCTTCTTTCTTGGATTGCCTCAGTTTGTTGTTTCCAAAGCACACATTCTGTCTACGTTTCTAGTATACAATACAGAAAACTGTTGCACTGCTCAAATGATAATGGATGAGCGTGTACACAAGTAACCAGCCGTTTTTTACCGCCCCCCCCTCCCCCCCCCGCCACACACCTCCCTGTGTCAACTGATTATAATACTGATCCAATGTGTGACAAGATGCTGTTGTGATGTTTTGAACAGGCCGGGTTTAAGATGACGGGACATTTTAAGAAAGCGAAAAAACGCGTATCTCATCGGCGCAGTGCTCCTCAGCATCCAGCACCAAGGAAACCAGCAGTAATACTATTGTACAGTATTTTACACACACAGACCTGGGCAGCAATGTGCCAAACAGCCTGGCTCCTCACTCGCCATATCTTCAATCATGTCGTACGCTTTATTATCGCAGTCTTCTCTCAGTCTTCTCTCAGAGATGTTATTTGAATACGTGTCAAGAAATTATTTCCACTGTCATAACACACACGCGTGTCACTATCCAGGGAACAGGTGCACTGTAGACGACTAATCCAGATCTATTTGTTTTCTTTCAACTTTTTTTTATTGGATGGAATGAAACATAGCCTTTTTTCTATTTCATCCCACTGGCCAGTCATGTTGTCGAGTTGTTTCTGTCTAGACAACATTTGCTGAGAACTTCAGGAAGGGACTTTGATTGGAGCTGATGTCTTGATAACTGGATCAATAAAAGGAAATGAAAGCAATAAGTAGACCTGCTGAATTGCGTCATCATGGTAATTGTATTTTATTCAACAATGTTGACATGCCTCGTTTCTATATTGAGCTCCTCGGGCTGTTCTCCAGCGTTTCTTCTCGTAAAATGATTATTTGAGTACCGTCTCGTTAAGGACTTAACAGCTCAAACATTCTGCAGACTCTTTTCTTCCACCTCACACATTTTCGATGATTCAAAACAAAGCACAACTTGCAGGCATTTGGCATTTTGTAAAGAGGTTCCTGAAGTATATGTGCCCTTTGTGTGTGCGTGTGTGTGTGTGTGTGTGTGTGTGTGTGTGTGTGTGTAAACTCTCCGGTCCGTGCTAAATGTTGGTCAGCTGACTTCGCCTTCATCAGACAGTCTCATATCTCCGGGCTTTGCAACTTCGCCTTCTGTTAGTTTGAGACGGCGGCAAAGCGCTGAGCTGCTGATGGGACCCTGCAGGTGAATGAATACACACATGTATATAATCACAAACCCGTAAAGTCGTATGTGTTATTAGAGCTTCCCCTCTTCCCAGAAAGTAACCGCTTTACTGATATTTGTAACATATTTATGTTGTGTAGACGTAAAAAGGAGTCAGAAGCATCAAATAAAGTGTATTGGTCATATTTGTCAGCTGCAGGACAAAAGTGCTCAAACGTTCAGTTAGTAGTTAGCACAAAAACAAAAGTTACATCACTTCAGTCCACTATTATCAAACAGTAAGAGGCTTTGAATCCTCCAGCTGTGAACTTATTATCTCAGCTTCTGAAAAAGGTTTATTTGGTGTTCAATGATGACACATTTCCCTCTGGCATCCAGTGTGTCCACTGTGGGTTTATAAAGCGTCCCAAATTTAAGTAGTAAACCCAATTTAAACCCACATCTGTCTGAACACAAATTGGAGCGAGAGTAGCCAACATGCATGACTCTTAGATATAATCCAAATGTGTGTTTATTTTCATTAATTTAGTTTAATTTTCAGTGGACAACCTCATTGAAGATAACTGCACCACCAAGTCCAGTTCACAAGGGCAAAGAAAGTAGGAAAAAAGAGATAAAGTAACTGCAGAGAGAGTCTGTGTTTTGGTCTCCAGGTGCAATTGTTAAGCGTGACGGAGAAACTGAAGCTGGACGCCTGCGGGACGACAGATACAAGCAGGGTCGGAGAGAAAAAGAGAGAAAGGTATGATGAAGGTATGACAGGGATGATAAAAGGTCCGTCATAAATAAGAGACAGAAGACTTCTGGTTGGTCGATAGAGAACCAAACGTGAAGCACTTCTTCATTGTAGTCAGAGATCAATAGGCATGTATTCTTACTTGCGAGGCAAACCCACATGTATCCAGATGTGTAAAACGTGTTTACATGCAAACTGACAATAAGATGCAGGCGAGCAGAAACTTTGTATTATTTCTTGCTATTATTTTATATTTGCCTCAATGCTAAATGCCAAAACCTTCACCCACGTCCTTTGAGTAAACGTTTTTAAACATGAACAGCTAAATTAAAGTATCAAAAGTTGCTAAAGTTTCTCACTGTCAGTGTTTATTGGTCAATTAAATATATATTTAATATCACTAGTGCATTCCTTATTGATTTAGTCATTTAATGTTCTTCTAAATTTTAACTTGTTGTTATTGTAATGTAGAGGAGTAAATAGTACAACATGATTTAGCTTAAAGTGTCTATTCTCAAATAAGTTTCTCACATTTGCACTTCGAACAGTACTTAGTTAAATGCACAGTATTTAGTTACAGTCCACCACTGCAACAACTAACACTGTCTTTAACGACATGTTCTGTTCTTTGACGTTTCTTTCTTTCGTCCCGTTAACCTGCTGTAATCAGACTCTTGGATGCAGCCTGGTTATTATCAGCAGTTTGATCAGTTTCTTGTGCTCTGCCGTTGTCTCAGCCATTATTGCCGTCAGTATGCTCCTTGAGGATTTATACCTGCCATTTCAGCTCTCTGGTCAATATTTATGAACCACATTAACTGCGATGCCGTGCCGTTGAGTCGGGGGGCCATCGATCCTCCCCTTCCAACCGCACAGGGAACAAAGGCGGAGCTTTGGCCCAAACACTTCATATTCTTTTGAACGGAGCCCAGAGGTCGCCCAGTAAAGTCCCTGTGGGAGCCATAAACATGTCTTCTGGTCTGCTTCCTGCTGACGGGTCAAGGTGCCGGCTGTGGCTCTTGAGTGGTCAAAAGAGTGGTCAACTGCAGAGTTGTCTCAGATAGTGGGCTTACTTCTGCACGTCAAGGTGTTTACAGCAAATTTGTTGTCTTTATGCACTGGATTTTCATTTATTTTGGCAGTGGCATCAACTATTGTGGCATCAAATGTAAAGTTTATAATAGGAAAGCAAAACAATATGGAGGCCATTAAAACCTATCTGCATCGTGTCTGTTATTAAAATGAATCATGCCTCTAATGCACAACAGTTTGTGATAAAAATGTGCTAGATATATTAAAAATGAACAAATAGAAAAAGATTGAATATCCAGTTGGACGTCTTCCCCAAGGCACCCAATGAGGATTTAGCAGCTATTAACGAAATGCTCATAGCACAATTTAAACTGGTTACTACATGAAGCAATGAGGGGCAGATCATTTCTGATGGCAGAAACAGGCTCAGACAACGTTCTTATTTCATCTTAAGCCAAACACGAGTGGACCAGATAATGGGGACGCTCTGCTGGCTCTGTTTGACCCCTCGGGCCGCGGGGAAAATGACACGGCTGGTTATTCAGAGAACAAGCCGGACAGAGAGAGTATTACACATGCGGAACGGAGTTGTGGCCGTGAAAGATATATAAAATATATACATGTATATATATATATGTTTATATATAGTTGCTCATGGATTTGCAGTGTGTGAATACATGAGAGAACGGGAGGGTTTGCTGCAAAAATGAGGCATGTGGAAATGTCAGTTTAATTAGCAGCAAGGGGCTTTAATCAGATAACCGTGATTAGAGCAGTGAAGGGACTTTAATTAGTTGCTTGTCGCTGCAACAGGGCCAAAGCGTGGCCGAGCACAGTGTGTGTAGCGGACGCTAGATGGAGGGGCAATCGGAGGTAAACGCTTTGTTGTGTTAATGAATAAGAGAGGAGGAGGGAGCAGCGAGGGGAAGGGTGGAGGGGACGGGGAGGGAAGCTGGGAGACTGCCGGAGGGTTGAGCGGGGTCACCAAGTCTAGCGTGAACAGGACGAGCTGCTGGAGGAAAGGGGGGCTCGCAGCCTTTAAAAATAGGCTGTTGGGGGGGGGGGGTGACAGCCGAGTGGTGGTATTAGGCAGAGCAGAAGGGAGAAGGAGGTCATGGGAGGAAGGCTTAACTATTTAAAGGGTAAGGAAAGAAATACAGGCCAGTTAGGAACTCTGAAATTGCATATTAGTCATATCTCTGATTAAACATGTTAATTGAAACTTGCATTAATTTGCCCATGAAATAATCCTCTCAGTATCAAGCTTTCTTCAAACCATATTTGCCGTTAAAAATAAAGTGTTTTAACAGATTTTTAAAATGTTTATATCATGACAATGCTACGCAGAGAAGTAAAAGTGAACCAGAAACACACATTTTTACACCATCAAACCAAAACCAGGTAGTTAGATAAAGGGATCAGAACAATTGGGTTTAATAACCTCATACATTTGGATTGTTGCAGCTTTAAATGCCCTAATGGGGGAAAACGGGTGAACTGTATCTATCAACAGGTTACGCTGATGTAACATTTACCACAGACACAAGCTGTTTAATAATACAGAATACTGAGAAGCCGTGCTGCAACATTAGACTGCAGGTTGTTTAAAAGCAGACGTCTCATCAGCTTGAGTGACACACAACAAGGTGAGACTGTGATCATCTGAGAGGACAAATAAAGGAAACGATACTAAAAGATAAACCACGGGCCGGAGACTGTGGGATTTAGTGAAGTAATCAGATGAAGGACGAGAGGAAAAGGAGCCATAATTCACCAATAGATTCAGCTGGTTGATGTGGACGAGCCAGGACAGTCCTTTGGGACAGACCCTTCTGCAACAGCACTCGCCCTTTTCCTTTTCCTCTTCTGTCTCCATCAGGCCCTCAGGGGGCTTTCTGCTTTGTCTGAGCCGTCCCAACACATGCCTGCTGCTGTTTAAAATGTGTCCAGCTGTGTGATCGCAAAGGGAGAGAAACAGGACAAAAGACAACAAGTGATGGGATAAAAATAGAGGGTGCTGTGGGGAAGAAGGAAGTGTTTCCCTCAGTTCACTGGGCCCGTTGGAGAACAAGCAGTGCTGGGACGTCACCTCAGACTACGTCACCAGCCGACACCTGACTAAGAACCGCATTCCATGCCATGTGTCTTCCCTTCGTTCATGTGACTTTCTTTCTTACCTGCAAATGTTTAATTTGTTTCATGTTGGACGAGAACACGGCTTCTCTCGCTTTGTGCGATTTGGAAGGGAACCAATGTTATAAAAGCTGATAGTAAAACAGGTAAAACAAAGTGTAAAAATAAAATAAAACGATTAACATAGTGTGAAAGGAATAGTTCAAAGAAAAGGAATCCCCCTTTCCTCTCATCAGTCTGCGGCAGTCAGCATCTCACTGAATCCCCAATAAAAACCAGCAGATTGAATCCTTGGCTCTGGCACACTGCAGCACACCAGGCAGCCAAACCGCCTCCTTGGTTTTCTTCTGGTCTTGTTCTGGTGACGATGCTTCGCGGCGTCGCGTCATCACGTCATCCTTAGCTGTGCTTGTCCCTCTGCAGACATGCCTCTAGTTTCACCCGTCACGACCTCTCTGCACGCTGCTCACCTCTCTCCTCCTTATCTTTCTCTGCTGTTCTTTTTGGGGGGGTTGCTGCTGGCCCACCAGAGGCATTTAATCGCTGCAGCTTCCATCGTCCGAGCCTCCACAACAACAACAACAACAACCTCGTCTGATTTGACCTCCACACCGACCAAACTGATTGAGCTAAGAATTGACAGTGCGGTTCCACTAGTCTTTAGCTGCCAACATGCCGGGCACTTTGTACATTAACAGGCAGCGTGTTGCAGCACACAGGTTCTCAGATTACGCCAGCTCCATTCTGTTTTGATGTTGTGGTGGTGTGCAGCATGAATACACAAATCACCATTGTAGAACATGGTGAGAAAAATGTCAATGCATGTCACTCAAATGTGTGTGTGAGTCACGTTTTAACGTGAATATATGACAGAAATATAAATACTAAAAACATGGATAAACACACTTATTCAGGTGAAGGTGCTCCACAGTTACACAGTTTCATGGAATGTTAAGACACAAGTCTCTGTCCATCCCATCGCTTTATAAAACATCAATATGGATGTTTGATTGACTGAAGAGGGATTTAAAGAATTTTGACAATATGGGATATATGTATATTGTCCAAGGTTAAAAAAAGAGAAACTCAAAGCAAAGTCCAGAATACCTATAAAGATGCTTTTTTCTATGTAAGTTAATGTTGTGAGTCAATGAGTGAACGTTTTCTTTTAAAGGTGATATATTGCAGTCAGTGCAGACTTTTGTCTGTAGCGCTGCTCAGCATTTCTCAGCAGACTGTTGGACTCCGTCAAGACTCCACAGCCGCCAATGCTTTAAACTGCTTGAGCAGTGTTACGCATACAAAATCAATTAAGTGACTAAATAGGTCATTTACAGCTCAGCGGTGAAATATGTAATCGTATTTTGTGTGTGCAGCATCTGGAGCAGGTGTGAGGATAATTCGAGATATTTGATTTAATCTTCATGATCTAAACTGTGCTTGGTACATATAAAGATTGATTGTTTTTCAGAAATATCTAAACGTGCATCAGACAAATCAAAATACGTGTACCTATTCAAAGTAAGGTAAAAATGCAATAAATACGCATCATCACTCCATTTGGAACTCGTTTGCCATAAAGCCCGTTTCGGTATCGCAGACGTCTCACCTGTGAGTCAATGTGAGTCAGGTCGCTGGGTTTGGACCTCGGGTGTGTGTGTGTGTGTGTGTGAGCGGGACGTGGGGGCAGAGGGAGGAGGAAGATGGAACGTGCAGAAGTTGCTCACAATCGGAACAGCGCGCCGCCAACCGAGTCCAACCTCTCCACGGTCCAGAGCGCAAAGGCACAATGTTGCTCGACTTGTAAGGCTCCACAGACGTCTGCAGAGGGCTACTGACACGACTTCAGTCATCGGCATCGTCTTTTATATTCGCAGAAAGCATCGCCAGGGGCCAATGTCTCGATGAATTTCTCCGTGAAACTAACAAACGTCCTCCTGCTGGTGCTCCTCGCAGCGCAAGGTAAGACGCGGCGCGCCCTGGGTCGGTGCTGTGCCCCAAAAAGTAGCATTTAACTGGCTACTGTAAGGATAAGAATACGTTAATGATGATTCAAGGTCCGTTATCTTACTTCGAGATATTACTTTTAAGTGTTCTTGAGTCACCCGGCCACCACCTTTAGGTGGGGCTACCTCCCGTGTGCGCCTCTGGGTGAAGATCCGGGAAAACACATCTGTTTTAAGACAGAATCACACGGAGTTCAAATGTAAACACGTTTCATTACCGCGACTGTCTATTTGTGTGAAAACAGTTAAAACAGAATTGTTCAGTCTTTCGACGCCGAGGAGCGCACAACTCGGAATCCCCCCCCCCCCCCCCTCCCATCTCCATCATGCGCATCCTGCTCGCTGCTCCATCTGAAACGAATAGAGGGATGAAGGCACCATGTCCTGACTATATTTCCTCACTTCAACAAGCTGCACGTGCATGTGAATAATAATCTCTGTGTAAACTTGCAGAGTCACTGTCATGTTGGAGGGAGGGGCAGCAGGGTTCAGTTGCGGTGGGAGTTGATGATCTCTGGACATGACGTGTCTCATTTTAAATGATACCTCGCCGCCCGGAGCCACCCTGAAGCAGCCATCCGTGCCCGAGACAGGCGGCACAGGGATGTCATACTGTTCCTGCAGCAGCTTAATGACCGTCAATGTTGTGCCCGTGTCCTCCCGATGTGGAGACCAGAGGTCAAGGTTAGGTTCAGGATAGATGCCGTGGAACTGCAGGGGTTCAGATTCTTGATTAAAGGCATGCCGATGGTTCTCAGTAATATTCGATGGACATTAGCACTTACGGATCCTGATGCTGCAGAAGAGTTTAAGTGCTATACTCACGTTTCCTTTGTGGTTTGATTTAATGACATTACACGAGGCTGCATCGCTCAGTCAGGTAGTCTGTGTTTTGTTTTGCTCTCTGTGTGATCCATTTATTTCTCTTCTATTCTTTCCACATTCCCTCTACACATGTCATCTCCTGTTCAGGCTGTCACTCAGCAGAATATGTTGTTGGGTTCTTGAGTGGCTCTCAGGGGACATCGTACAGAAGAAGGAAACGATGAATGCTTTAATGGTGCATTTACATGTATCATTCATGTCATTTACATCCAAGTACGCAGAGGCAGGTTTCTTGGGAGAACGTGTGGATAATTATTTTGCAGCATCTTGGTTCCTCTGTTGTTCCTCGGCTTTGACACCTGCCAGTCAGTCTCTCGCTGAGGATTTCTGTTGCTGAAATTTTAGTTTTGATCCTGCCCCACAAAGGCCGAAATCAGTAGAAGTACTACTTTTACTAACAAATGCAACTTAATTGACCCTTTAAACTAGTTTCTTTTCTGAAAATTATCTAATTAAAGATGCCAATTGAGCATATTTTGGATTTTTGGATGTTTGTTTTAAATGTTAATATAAAAATGTAATCAAATCAATTTACAGTAACACTATGCTTAAAAGTGTCAAGATAGTTAAATAATCTATTAATTCCACAAGGGTAAAATTATGGATTGCAGATGCATGCTCACTCTTTCCTAAACCAGTTTGGAAAAGTTTTTTTTATTATCATTAGATTAATAGTTTTTACAGATGCTAAATAACTGGTTAATTATGTTTGCTTTAGGTATCACACCTGCTAGCTTTGACTCAATCCCAATAGTGCTGCTTGCAGCGTGGTTGAAAACCCTTGTATTACACCCTGTTTGCGTGTTTATTTAGTGTATTCATTTTTACCTAAATTTACTGTATTTTCATTTGTAAGAAGGGTAAATCTGACCGTCATTTCTTTAATCAGCTAGTATGGGTATTGCTTATACCGATAGTGTTGTTCTGTTTTCTTTTTACAAACCAGACATTACTCATGTGACTTACAGATTGTGGGTTGAACACATTTTGGGAGTGGTAATTGTTGATACGGTTATTTTTGACCTTAAAGCCCAGTGCGCATCAGTGAATTTGTCCCAGATGCGGCAGCAGCACTAAGTGGCTTTGTGTTGACGTGAGCGACACTAGCTTCGCACATCCTGTAACACGAGGCGAGCTCAGAGTCAAGTGCAAGGGATGTGTCTCCGTGTGACACGTGGGATTAACTCTCTCACTGTCTCTGTCGTCCTCCTCAGCTGGAGAGATTTGCTGCAGCCAAGAAGCTTTGTAGCTTCGCCCTTGAACTGGGCGAATTTCAAAAGGAGCAAGAAATCGGTGCTGTGAAGGGATGACAGGGTCAATACTCCCCACAGTAGAACTGACTTTTCTCAAGCTAGAGAAAATCCACTTTGTCCTTGCGTGTTAGAGGTGGCTGACTCTGCTATGTGGAGGGAAAGCTCCAGAAAACCTTCACCTGTCTATCCTCTAGCCTATTTCACCCGATCTCTCCTCCATCCGCCCCGCAATCCCGCATTTGTTGTAGAGCAGCTTTTGTACAGGGGCTGTGTATGCAGATAAGTGCCCGAAAACACACATCGACACACACACACTCCCGGTGGGGGGGTCCGATAAGTGGGCTACAGAAGGAATTGTCTCTTGCCATCAAGGATAGGGGGATTTCTCCACGTTGAAAAGCTGATCCTGCAAACCCTGGGATTGTGGAATTTGTGTCGGATCTGGCTGGAGTTATTTGTGGGGGATTTGTTGTTAGTAAAATAGATTGGGTAGGTAAAAATAAAGGCACAGCTTGTGTAATAGGTTGCGGTGTTCATCAGCGCATTGAAGGCAAAGACAGTTTCTGCGAAGGTCTGAGATTGAGTAATTAAAATTGGTGGGTGCATGATGCATTTCCCTGCAGCGTTCATCATCTCCAGCAGAAATAGCTGAGAGAATTGTCCAGCCATGCCTGCATTATGATCCGCATTATGTGTCAGGCTTGAACCCCTTGTCTGACTTTACAGTGCTTTTCAATAGGCTTCAGCTGCACGGTGACAGTGTAAAGAGGATGAGCCCTTTTAAACGAGCGCCAACTGCCGTGCTGAAAACGATTAATTAGAAAAGAAATACGCCTTTTCAATGGAGATTTCAATGTTGTGTAGCCAAACAATCAATTGTTCTTTGATGATTTTCATTGAAGCCTCTATGCACTTCTCTGCTTGCATTGCAGCATCATCAAGCATATTTGTATGGAATGCCGTTTTAGTCAAAATTAAATAAATGAATAAACACGTAAATACATGAAATATGCATTTGAAATACATCATGAAATAAATAAATGAGGCAATAAATACATAAATATTAAATACATTTAATTATTTCATGGTACTTTTATTTCATGATGCCACTTTTCATTTCCAGAGTCTTTAATTTCATAATGCCGTTTTTCATTTCCAGAGACTTATTTCATAACGCCGTTTTACATTTCACGTTCTTATATGCAAATCAGGGGGCGTGGCTACATTTAACATTCAGAACAGACAACAGAGCCGTGTGCAAAAGAAGGCTGGCTAAGGGACGTGAGATTAGCGCTGGTACTACAAGCGACATGGTGGCTGGACGCCCGCCTCTGTTGCACTCCACGGATATTCGATTTCTCTTGTTGATAGACCGGACCGACACAAAGTTACCCTAGCGTTGTCGCCAGGGAATATCCAGGAGGCGGGGCGTCCAGCACCTGTGCTTTGTAGTACCAGCGCTAATGTTGACTTCTTCAACGTGGACCTCTTCCACACGCACGCGGTGCTCAATCAGTCTTAAACAATTTAAAACTTCGTCGTCTATGTATACATCTTGAAGAGCACTTATCCCGCCCTAGTATTTCCAAAAAACCCTCAATATGTGTCAAAATCGTATCTGCAGAAAACCCATGTTGATCGATTTGATCTGCTAATGCTAGCATGCTACACCGGAGCCCAACGGTCCCTTAGACAGCCTTCTTTTGCACACGGCTCTGTTGTCTGTTCTGAATGTTAGATGTAGCCACGCCCCCTGATTTGCATATAAGAACGTGAAATGTAAAACGGCATTATGAAATAAAAGACTCTGGAAATGAAAAGTGGCATTATGAAATAAAAGACTGTGGAAATGAAAAGTGGCATTATGAAATAAAAGACTGTGGAAATGAAAAGTGGCATTATGAAATAAAAGACTGTGGAAATGAAAAAGTGGCATCATGAAATAAAAGTACCATGAAATAATTAAATGTATTTAATATTTATGTATTTATTGCCTCATTTATTTATTTCATATTGTATTTCAAATGCATATTTCATGTATTTACGTATTTATTCATTTATTTAATTTTGACTAAAACGGCATTCCATATATTTGCTCCTCCGGCCAGACTTAAATACTCCTTTGGGCTTGGAACTTAAGAATGACTGTCGTTTTCTCTCCCAGAAGCGGTTGCATTAAAGTCTGACAGGCAATCAGTAACGTGTGTGCTTCTGTGCGTGTGTGACTTAAGGACCGTGCAGCGGCTTGAGGATCCTCTTTACGCGATTGCTGTGTGATTATTGCAACTGAGCCGCACACCCGGTGCAACCGGCAGGCCCCCCCATGGATAGGCTTAAACCAGCATACTCCCCTCCAGCCAACACCACACACACACACACACACACACACACATTCACACGCAAACACAGACCTCCTCCTCCAGACAGCCCTGCTCAATGATTCGTCTGGGACATCTTGAGTCAAGCTCGAGGATGGAGGGAGCGAGGAGGAAGTTTGATGGCAGTTGATGATTGATTTGATTTGGTGTTTGTCCTTAAAAGCTTGTCTCTGTTCAGCTGCTATCACACAAACCAAGGATGCTGCAGAATTATTATTGCATGTCCATATTACAACAGTGTAATGCCCTCATCCATTCGCTATGAGTTCCATCCAATGTTGTTTTTTTGCTCAAAGTTTCTTTATTTTGCTTGTCTGCGGTTGTCTTTTGTTTTAGTTTGATCAGGATCCCATTGGTGCCCTCTTAGACTTGAAATAAACGCAGCATCATCTACGCCTTGCTTTGCATGCTGTCCACTTTCTGAGTGTTGAAGGCCCGACTGAACACTTTGAAAAACCTGCTTGACACACCTGACCCACACCTTTTTCATAGAAAATAGCAAATACCACTGCTTAGCACCATTTCTTTAAAAATTGCCTTTACATTTCTGGATCCTGAAAAATGTTGAGATCAATGTGGGAAGTGTCTCTCCATTATGTCCTGATACTTCTCCACAGAAAGCTGCATCTTTAGCTTGACTGACTCTTTTGGCAGAGCAAGTGCTTGACACTGAAAACCTTCGGCTGCCTTCGCTCTTCACTGTGCCCTGAAGAATAGCTACAGCTAACAAGTAATTTGGCTCACTGTGTCCATTATCTCATTGCTCTCCCACCACTCAGCGGTTGAGGCTGGAGGTGAGGGTCGGTGTGAAGATTAGCTGGTTAATTCTTATTACAACTCATTCCCGTCGGGCAGCTGTTCATCTTCCACGAATGTGTTGGAAAGCTACTCTCCAGTTCTCTCTGGTTCCTCGGATAGGAAATGAGCCGATTAAATAGTTCTTTGCAGTGTCTCTCACACCTTTAGCAGAATATTTTCATTTTGCAAAGTCTTAGGTGGGGTTAATCTCATGACACCTGAGTTACTTATTGCGTTGAGACTCGTAGCAAAGACATTATTCACAGTGATTTAAAATGAGGGCAAAACATATTAAATATGTGTTGCTGTAGAAGGAACCTGAGAATCTGCAGCTATTTTTATAATTAAACACATTGTATTCCCACCTGCTGGGGCTGATAATCAGTCACATCGAAACACATTGTTGAATCTGTCACATACCTTTGTGTCTATCTGCCTTTGCTGTCTGTGAAACACACATAGAAAGGTAATCAAACTAAACAATATTACAGCGTCGGGGTACTTGAATATGCTTTTCTCCCAATGTAACATATTCACATTTACATAGAATCGTCCTATTTTTTTAAATGAAAATGCGTGCACATATATGTTCTCTGCAAATCATTGTATCTCTCTTCAATGCACACACACACACACACACACACACACACACACACACACACACACACACACACACACACACACACACACACACTTCCACTGTCATCAGGGTAATATTGCAGGGTAATTAGTTCCTTCAGATTGTCCAGCACTCGCTGCCAGGCTCATCCTGTTAAGCACATGCATGATCAAAGAGCCCCCAGAGTCTCGGGCTCCTGCAGACACGAGAGACGGGGACGGACTTAGTGTTTGGTTTGCTAATTCTAAATCAATGTGGTTATTTAAGGGTGAAATGCGTGACTGCTCGACTCAGAATAAAACCCCATGATTTTGTTACTGCGTCACAAAACCAGTGGAAGGAAAAAGTGTATTTCTGTTAAAGTGAAACACTAGTTTCCAGCTGACATTATATCATTTTCATCAGTGGAGGCAAAGACCTTTCTGTTTACAATGATTGGCAACTTTTAGCGGGGTAGGTAGCTGCGTTTCAGACTCTCAGTGGCCGCCGTACATTTTGCAGTTTGTTAGCGTCTCATTTTAGTTTCAGACCTGAATCGTTATGGATAACTTTTGTAGCAGACTCCTTATAGGACAGTGAGGCAAGTTGTTTGCCTTTTTCCCCCAACAAGGACAGCGGGGTCAGAGCTTGAGGCTTAAAGCTCACGGTGGGCTATTGAATATTATGCTTGGATAAAGTGTTTGCTTTTTATTTCCTCCAATATTATACACCTTTGGTGTGAATATAACAGAATAGGTGTATTTATGGTGCAGGGTGAATCATGCGTTTTACTGTTACTCTGGCAGGTTCAGAGAAAAATATGTGTTTCTCTGTCAGAATAATGTTGGTTCATTTTTTTGTGTTGGCTGTGCATGTTGGCAAACGTGACTAGTTGCTTAATGTGACTGAGCTTTCCTTTTCAGTTATAATTAACGTAATTGCAGCGTGATGTATCAAAGCTTTAAGAACATATTATGTTAGAAATATAATCCGCCGCTGGATCAGTTGGAATTACATGTAGGCTACTCCGGATTTTGACTTTAACTCGCTCTCTGTCTCTTCACTTTCTCTTTCACGGGCAAACTCATAAATTCTCTCTTGCCACACAAATGAAATCCTTACATTAAGCACCAGAGTGCAGCGGGCGGTGTGTGTGTGCGCATAACTATGTGTGGTGATAGGGCAGAGGTTGTAATTAACTTCCTTTAAATTAAGTCTGAGATCCTCCGTGCCGGAGCAAAGAAGGGCATTAGAAGAGAGAATTTGCCAGGAGAGAAAAATATTGCCTTCATTTTTTTTTGTCACAGCGAACAAAGGTCCAGTTAATTGACTGATTATAATTGTCCTGGTCTCCCGCAGCCCAATTACAGGCTTAAACAACTTCCTGTGAGTGCAGCAAACCAGGGAGCAGCGGGCAGTTTTCCAGGCAGGTAGAATGAGCTGAAATCACACGTGTCTCAGGAGAGAAGGCCTCTCATTAAGCTTTAAGACTCAACTCACTTATGCCAGTGACCTCAGAAGACTTGTTGAGAGTTTTAAAGCGGTGAAGCAAAAAACTTGGACACAGATAACTAGACCTGACAGGTTCGGCCCTATTTTTAGTTAGTGAACTTGGGACAATGCTGTCGTGAAAATGACGCAGCATCCGTTCTGGCTACGTGGGTCCTTCATCGGAGTGGCGGTCCTGATGATTTGATGAAAGCTATGCAGTAGAAAATGTTTATGGGAATAAACAGGATGGGATACAGCTGAGTAACTCGATGATTAGCGTATGCTGAAGGGCAGGAAGGGGTACATATTATGGCTGCATGTGTAATATATGGAGATACACTGGTTCATTGCACATTTGTGTGTCCGAAGTCACTACTGAGTTTGTTGTTTGGTCATTTTTTATGTGCACCAGATGTTTTGATTATGTAAGTATTTTTTTTAATCTTTTCACTCAGTGAACCGAGTCTACCCCTGAGCTGTGTCCCCTGTGAGGTTAAATTAAAATAGTTGTTAAAAGCTCAGGAAGTGTGTTCACTTCACTCAAATAACAGGAGTGAACCTCAATTACATTTTTATTTCCCAGGCCCTGGCCAGTCTGATTTTTTCAACGTGAGCTATTAAACAAGTCTCCCAAAACAAGAAACCAGACAGACTGCAATATGAAATGTCTGCAAGATATTCATCTATATGTACTCCCAATGGCAATACATGGACAAACTGCTTTATGACTTTATTGTACGAAACCACATATTAAATATTTGTTCCAACATAAAGGATCAAAAAAGATGTTTAATGAAAGTTTCCCCCTACTGAAATGACTTTTATTCAAGGTATGTGAACGTGCATAGTGTCTTATTGTAATGGAAGACAGGCCCATTGCTCATACTAAAGCCCTTTAGGTCAACTGGCTTCCTAGTTTGCAATAAATAATGATTGTTTTCATACGTTTGTTTTGCACCAGATTCTTGCTGGTCAGTTTTCATCTAAAGCAAATTTAAAGAACAAATCAATGAAGTCCGAAACGTTTTACAATTTCACAAGATATGATGTACAAATGATTAAGATATGACATCTTTCAAGATGATTTGTTTGAACCCTGTTTTCTACCGTGTGGTTTGTTGAGAGATAACTGACTTGCACAAACACATGCGTCCCATTAAAGGGACATGTTTTATTTAGTTGTTGCCAAGGAAGCAAATCGTTTCAGTGTATGTGGCTATTTGTGTATATATGGGTTGTGACCCATCTGCCCTTTTGGAGAAGCACACATTTTCCGTGATATGAAACCTCAGGCGTCAACGCAGCTTGGTAAATGCTTGGTAAATTTAACAAAAAGCTAGTTTTAAATCCAAGGCCATACAAGAACTTCTCTGTTGCCGTGAAGAAATTGGTTACAGAGGACGCTGTTCAGGGAATGAAAGCCAAGGCAGAGGATCAGGAAATAGAAAAGATGGGATGAATGGAATAGAAACACTTCTCCAAACACACTCTGCTCTCTCCAAGTCTCTTTCTCCTTCCCTCCATTGAGAGTGAAGATACATGGAAGGTCTGGGAAATCCAGAGGATCTAGAAGATCTGGAAAATCTACAAATTTAACAAAATAAACAAAATCTACAGGAGAATTAAATTTAAATCTAGACAAAAACAAACAAACAAACCCGTCATTTAACTGTTTTTTCTTCTGCCTTTTACCAGGCTGTTTTTCTTCTAAGGGAGAGGACAGATTATTTCGGAGGTTGTTCAGGAGGTACAACCAGTTCATCCGACCAGTAGAGAATGTGTCAGATCCAGTCACAGTGGAGTTTGAGGTCTCCATGTCTCAACTGGTCAAAGTGGTAAAAGCACAAACATCTCTACACAAACAAATTGCATGTTTTGTAAAAGCGTCCTTTTCTCTCACGACTCCTTTGCCCCTTTTTGTCCCAACAGGATGAGGTGAATCAGATTATGGAAACCAATCTGTGGCTGAGGCATGTGAGTGAGTTTTATCTTTCATGTAACCCTATTACTGAAGACACATTACGTATATCAAGTTCAGTTTTGTCCGTCTTTCAGGTCTGGAACGACTACAAACTGAAATGGGCCCCTGTTGAGTATGATGGGATTGAGTTCATACGGGTCCCTTCCAACAAAATTTGGAGGCCGGACATTGTTTTGTACAACAAGTATGTTTTTGTGTTTAAAAAAGAGCCACATGTTCAGTTTGCCTAATATGTTGAAATATATGTAGAGTTAGCCCTCCATGCATTTCAGTTACAACGCCATTCCTATATGCTCTCCATGTTTTGTCTTAAATGGCTTTTCACTGACAAAAAGTGCACGTGTCTCAAAGTGCTGTAGGTGACTTCCTTGTGGAGGACAAGACCAAGGCTCTGCTGAGGTTCGATGGCACCATCACCTGGATTCCTCCGGCTATTTTCAAATCCTCCTGCCCGATGGATATCACCTACTTTCCCTTTGACTACCAGAACTGCTCCATGAAGTTTGGCTCCTGGACGTATGACAAGGCCAAGATTGACCTGGTGCTGATTGGCTCAAAGGTCAGAGGGGGGGTCTCTGGGGAAAAGGGACAGAGATACAGGCCATGCCCTGTAGAAGTGATGCATTTTTATTCTACATGGTGAAATGTCAATATATATTGTATATCTATGGGAAGTGTTCGAGCAGGAAGATTTCAACGCTGATGCAGAAATACCCTTTTATGTGCCTGCATCGTCTCTTCAGACAGCAACATCTGTTAAATCCCTTCACTTTAATGCTAGAAACCATTTAGTGAAGTATGACAATTTACTAGTGCCCACTTTTAAATATTTAAACTATTCACTGCTTTTCACTTTTTAAACAGAATTGTTCGTAATTTTCACACACAAAAACTGAAAACATATTTTCATCACAATTTTCACTTCTCATTTGATTTCATCAGGTCAACCTGAAAGACTTCTGGGAAAGTGGAGAGTGGGAGATCATTGACGCACCAGGATATAAGCATGACATTAAGTACAACTGCTGCGAAGAGATCTACCCGGACATCACCTACTCCTTCTACATCCGCCGCCTGCCTCTTTTCTACACCATCAACCTCATCATCCCCTGCCTCCTCATCTCCTTCCTCACAGTCCTGGTCTTCTACCTCCCGTCGGATTGCGGTGAGAAGGTCACCTTGTGTATCTCCGTCCTCCTCTCCCTCACCGTGTTCCTGCTGGTCATAACTGAGACCATCCCTTCGACGTCGCTCGTCATCCCCCTGATCGGCGAATACCTCCTCTTCACCATGATCTTCGTCACCCTCAGCATTGTGATCACTGTCTTCGTGCTGAACGTCCACTACCGCACCCCTATGACTCACACAATGCCGGAGTGGGTGAGGTCTGTGTTCCTTGGGGTGCTGCCCAGGGTGATGCTGATGAGGCGGCCTATCGACCAGGGCTGCACCTCCCCTGGCGGTGCTACAGGAGTGGCCGGAAGGGGACGGAAGAGTGCGGGAAACAGGAAGAGAAAGAACAGCATAGGAGGAGGAAGTGGCACAGGAAGTGGCTCAGGAAGTGTAAGCATTGGGGGTATAACTGGGGGTGTAGCGTGTCCACCTTTGGAGGCCGGGGCGGCGGGAGGAGGAGGAGGTGGAGGAGGTGCCGCTGCCTCGGCTGGGGGCTCCATGAACTGTGTAGAGTATGGTGAGAGGAACCGGAACATGAACCGGAGGTGCCCCTACAGAGGCAAAGAGGTACCGACTCCTGTCCCACCCTCGATGGTGCCACCTCCCCCTCCCCCTCCTCCTCCTCCTCCTCCTCCACCCCCCCCCTCCCAACATGCACCTCCGACCCAGGGACCTCAGGAGTCAGATTTGCCCAAGGCGCCTCGGCCGCTGAATGTCCCTTCGCCTGTCAACGCTGTTGTTGCCTTCTCCGTGGTGTCGCCGGAGATCAAGCAAGCCATAGAGAGCGTGAGGTACATCGCAGAGAACATGAGGACTCGCAACAAAGCCAAAGAGGTACAGAAGAACATTTGTGTTGTCTTGATAATGAAACAACAATACTTACTACTAATTCTGTAGTAATATATCCTGTCAGTTGAGTCAACATTGATTTAAAGATGATAAAAACAGAAAAAAAAGGTGGAGTTTTACAATTGGTCTTAATATCCTAAAAAAAATACCCTTTTTACCTTGTGGAGACCAGAGTTTCGTCCCCAGATTGGTGTTTACAGATTAAGTCCCCACAATGTACGCAGCACATAAATAAACGTAACCACGCACCAACAAAGCAATGCCGTACGCCTGCTATCTTTGCGGAGTGTGAATCGTCTATGCTGCCCAAAAGGTGTTTAAAGGCATTTACTCTGAGCTATAAAGGGAGAGGAAAGCTGCTCGTTTGTTGCAGATGGAGGGCTTTGTGTTCGCCTCCTGCACCCTCTGGATGGCCCTGATATGTTTGTTACTTCAGCTCCATCTTTTCGTAACACAGCTGGGATATTTATATGATATGCATGCAGGGTAGCAAACAATGGCATTATGGTCAGTGCAGCCATTATCCTATTGTCCACACCTGACTGATCAAGGGCTACTCTGTACTATCAACAAGCACGCACGCACACTATACAAAACCACCCCACCAGTAGCCATGGTGGCAAACTGTGCAGGATCTCTCAGCCTCTATTACCCAGAAACACACATAAAGACACCCACGCACACACACACACACGCACACACACACACACCCCTTACGGCCATTCTGCTGTAGTGTTACACAGTGACTTCACATTGCACCATTGCCATTATACAAAGGTTGCTGGGGAAAGAATGTGCTATTGCATATGAATTTGTGAGCCATGGATATATTAAATACTGGATATGAACTTATACACAAACAAAAATGTCCTTTCTTTCCTCAGGTGGAGGACGACTGGAAGTATGTGGCCATGGTCATCGACAGGATCTTCCTGTGGGTTTTTGTGACAGTTTGTGTTTTGGGGACGGTGGGACTCTTCCTCCAGCCGCTCATCAGCTTCTGGAAATGAGAAAGTTTTCTTTGTCCTGTTTCTTTCTCTCTCTCTTGGTCCACTTCTGTCTGTCTCAGTACTCAACTTGAATTACTGCTGTAGCTCTTTCAAATCAAACACAGAACTGTCCTCTTTCTCCCTTTCTGGTATTTGTCTCTCATCTTTGTCTCATGCTCTTCTCTGGGACTCACTCATAGTTTTCAGCTGTCTTATATCCTCAAATGATTTCACCATCTCATCTTTGCCTCGCGTTCTTAACGTGCATGCTGTGCTATTCTCCAATCTCCTCCGCTCCATCATTTTTTCTGACATGATCATCAAGTCTTTCGTTCCGTTCCCTTTTCCCACTTTTCTCCTTCTCCTGTGCTATGTTTTGACCTGACGCTGCCTACAAAAGCTCTTTAAAGTCTGTCTCCTCGCTCCCATTGTGTCTATTCTTTTCTGCATTTTATCTGTCTTTTATTAAAAACTACTATTCAGTCATTGGTATTATTCAGTCTTATACAATGTGTTTAACAATGTCAGGTCATTATTGAAGTATTATCATAATCACAATTTGAAGAACCTCTTAACATTCAAATGGCTGAGAAAGAAAAACCTGAAAAACTTTAATACGTTTTGCAGTAGGACTTTAACTGTCATTGTGAGCCGGTGCAATAAAGTGGTACAGATGTTCATCGATAACATCTAAGTTAAAGACAAGTACTGACTGTAATATGTATGATGTTGTTCTGACAGCTGCCACTTTTGCTATTTTCAGACTGTTTTTCCTTGTCGATACGTTTGTAAAAAGAGTTAAGCATGACTTCTGAGAGACTTCCCACGCGTGTTCACGTAAAAGTACAATTACGCATTGCACAGTAATTCACAAGTTCACTGCAAACCTACACTGTATAGAAAACACTTTGAATTGCACAATATAGATTGAACTTGTAAGAATACTTTAAAAGCCAAACTGTTTCATGTTATTTAATAATAAAGAAGGTCCTGGACTCATTCTCCGTGTGAACATCTCTCTGTGTTGGTACAGGTGTCCCGTGATGCTCCAGTTTCCGACTATATTAAAGTCACCCGTCACAGAAGTACATGTCCGCTTTCTTATATTGGCCTTATCACCCACATCAGAGTAAGGGGGGGCAGAATGCGAATGAAGGAAATGAAACAGATATCCCATGTAGAGAATTCAAATATTTGTAATGTCATTTGAAATATGGGAGGAAGAAAACCGGAAATGTTAGAGTATGAAAGAAAATCCTTTCAACATACAATAGAAAAGCTTATGCAAATGTGACGGAATAATATTGCATTGGATGTCTTAGAGGACGTCTTCATACTACAGCAAACTATTTATGGGAGAGCAGTTGCATTGTAATTTATTAACATTTTATACAAATTGGATTCGCATTGGGTTTACCTTTCAGGACAAACATAATTGTCATATTTCAACTCTTACTATTGACTTACACTGAATACTATTTATACACTATTTGTTTCACTATTTGTACATATGTACAGACTTCTTTCACTTCTATAAGTGTTTCAGCAAGAGTCCAAGCGCCAAATATCTGTCATTGACAGATGGATGATTATTCTGTCTGTTTCATCATTATATAAAAGCCTTGATGATTATTATTTCATATCTGAACTTAACAATAGCATAGAGCGGGGAAACGGTTACACACTTTGTGGTCCTATTATCCTCTGAGAAACGATGTGTAAAGGACTGATGGAATATTGCTCAGTCAACCACAGAGAATCTGCCTTTGAGCGAGACATCGCTCAACATTGAGAGAGCGAGATAATTCATTCTCCGCTCAGGTAGAAATCACTCTGCGTTACTTTACAAAGTGAATACTTCCATGTTGTTATATCAATGCACTATATATTATTATAGTACTATTTACCTTTACCTCTATTACGTTCAGGGGGGTGTTGTGCACCCCTCCACCCCACCATCTCCAACCGTTCAACAAGACAATATTCTGTCAGTCAACACAACCCCCCGTATCATATCATCCAAATCACGTGTGGCTCCACAGGGGGGATTTATCCTGCTGCTGATCAGCTGCTCCACAATTATGAATCTCCCCGTTGAGTCCAACAGCCACAAGCGTCCATGAACCACGATGTCCCCGGTTTGTCTCTGGCCAGCAACATTTGCTGTTTGTTGATGCCCATCTAAACACTCACTGAGCCGCTGTACATGTACTCTACTATCTCACATCAGGGCTTATTGGATTTTGTCTAAAACATCACATTACAACCATATGCTGCTGGATAACTAGTATTTTAAGAATTTGCTTTTGCCAGCAGGTTCAGGGTGAGCAGTATAGTTACAGTTCTAGTGCTTTTTAAGGAAACACTTGAACACACGGTCACACATACTGACATGTTGAGTGAAGTGGCCAAAACGGCGTGGCTGAAGCAAAAGCACTGCAGAGCATTTTTCCTTTGAAGCTCCCTTCTTTCTCCGACTTATCCCTCTTTCCTTCTCTCTATCAAAGGTCACGGGGGAATCTGAATGTGCCTGTCAGCACCGACACGCACACACATGCACACACTGAAAGTTCATGGTGGTAAAAACACTTTCCCCCTGCAGCCAAAGTGGAATATTACTCTGCTTTGAGTTGGTCCACCGTGTGGCTCTCAGCAACCACTCTCCCTTAATCCTCACTACTGAGGAGGGAAAAGCTTTTGCACGTTTCTGTTTGTGCGTTTGTGTGTTTGTGTGTTTCAAGAATGGAGCAGGACGATTAGACACGGCACCTGTGGAAGTCGGTGTGGGAAAACCGAGAGAGATCGACTTGAGAGTGCGAGTCCATATGTGCACTCAGCGGTGTGGCTCTCACTACATGGGGATTACGGGATGGATGAGTTACAAATATAGAAATGCAGCAGCGGCAGCAGTGTTTCGACGGCCACACGTAGTATCCTGTTGGTCTCAGTCTGCTGCTTGACGGGATCACATCAGTGCCTGGTTGCCAGAGAATGAAGAGATTAGCTGCTGGTGCTATTTTTGGAGAGTATTTGCGTTTGTGAAACATGAAATTATCTCAACCAATTTATTGGGCCCCTTCAACTTTAACAAAATAGTTAGTCTTATGATGCTATTTTTTGCACTGCTTTATTTTCCCACACTAACAGACTTCTTTGAGATGGACTCACCAACTCGTCCAGAGAGCTCCAGCCATTTTAATCTCAATATGAAATAGAGGGAGCTCGCCATTCTAAAGCTCCACATCCCTCTTGAATGATTGGACTTCAAGTACTCGGAGGCAGCCACTGCAAAGCAGAGCACAGCAAAGCTTTGGGTGCTAAACTGAGGCATAATACATTATTAAGCCGGCCACATCGATGAATATTTTACACGAGTCTTCGCTGTTGACGCTGACTGTTAGCATCCTGCTCCTGGTCAGCGGGACACGTGGCACAGCGCACTACTCATTACATTTGCGTTTTGGGAAATAACTTTTTTGAAAACACCTTGCGTTTGAATTGAAAAACATAAATGTTCCTGTCTCTCTTCATACTAGGCCTTCTCTCCCCGTTAACCTTTTCTAAAAAGGAAGCAAGCCTGAAATTCGGGGACTCGCTGTGGACCGCTGCAGCACGCTGGGACATTTTGGGTGTGGTTTGCGCTTGACATGGGGGCAAACTGCAGCAGGGCGGCTGGTGAATGAGGGTAGTCTCCTGTGTCGTCAATAGCGGAACGCTACGTGCCGGCGGCCAGTCAACCGTGGATAAGTAAAAGAGACTCTCCTCTAAATAATTCATTCCAATCTGAGCCTTCTGAACATGCACGCATGCAGTGTCCTCTCATACACATAAATGGGAGCTTCTTGAAGTACAAGAAGGCAACACACACTCTCACATGCTCACAAAGAGCAGGCGTCTAATTTTACCCTGGGATGAATATTCATAGATGAAGAAACATTGTCTTAGAATTTGGAAAGAGCATTTTGGTGAAGCAGCCTAAAATGCTTCTGGCATTGTTTGTGGGTTTGAGAGCAAATATCACACACAAATTAAGTTGACTTTTAGATTATTTGATAACTAGGGGAGCAATGTGCATTTCTTTTGTACCTTTATTGTTTGAATAGAAGAAGAGAACAATACAGAAGCAAACACTGCGACTATACACTACCCTAAAATAGCTGCATGTGTAAAAACATTGTTCTATTGCTCACATTGAAGGATTCAGCGGGAGTTTGCAGATGACGTAGATCACTTGAATTTAAATTGTAACAGTAGGGAGAAATGCTACTTAGACCTGTACTATGTACCACGTACATGTGATGAGGTCCATCTTGTCCGGAGGCAACTGAACGGTACACAACGTTCCTCTTACTCAAGATTAGAAATGGAGACCGATTTCTCCCCGCGGACGCCTGGTACTGTGAAGTGCTCACGGGCGCTGTCACACAGAGAGAGACATTGAGAAACGAGAGAGCCAGCCGTCCTCTTCATTGACACCCCAGGGTGCAAAGCGGGAGCGTCATTACATCACTCGAGCACGTAGACATACATGTCGACAGACGTTGAAGCACACATCCTCACACAGGCAGGCAAATACACAGACTCATGTATGAAGGCCAATGAACCAAACACCCCCCCAAAATATGCAAATGTAAATTTACACAAATACATAGTTACATTAAATACATATTTACACATTGACCAACACAGGTGGACTGTCATGATTTTGCACGGAAGCACATGCACAAACACATACAACGCAGAAATACCGATGGGACGTGCACACGAAGCACAGCTGACTCACATCTGATGGCCAGAGTTCATTCACTGTCTCCCAACTGGCTCTGGACTAAAGTTTACTGACAGACACACACAGATACACACAGAAACACAAACATGAGGACAAAAAAAAATGTTGTATGTGTGTCTTTTGAAATGAGAAATCGCAGTTTGCTACTAACCGGCCGTAACTGACATTAAACTCTTGTATGATTACCATTTAATTTCACGCTGAAAGTCATCCATCCCAGAATGCACTGGTCTCAGAGTTTCCACTTTCTCCTTATCCCCCACTTTCCCTATTTTCCATTCCTTTTGTGAGCTTTGAAAAAGTCCCTCGTGATTTTTCTCCTCTGATATGGCCAGAATCCTTCCATCTATTTTGCTCCACAGTTCTTTGGTATTTTATAATGATTAAAATATCAAATGACTGAAATCTTGTGTTATTGATGGGAGGGATTTAAACATCTGATCACTTAAAAGTTTGATTAATTTTGAAATAGTTTCCTCTAAAAGACGCTTTGACTCTGACTGAGCGTTCAACCAAAGCTTTCAAGGTTATCGAGGTTTACGGTTGAAGTGCTGCTGCTTTAGTGAGCTTACAGTATCAGCATGTGGGAGACCACTGACTTTAGTTCTTTGAAGCTTGAGAGAGATTAGATTCCCCTTGTAGAATGCCTGTCCTGCTTTCATCATCATTTTTAATCCTGAAAATAACAAACAGATCAAGATTGATTGAAACCACAAGAGACGTGACTGTGTTTCCTCTCATTTATAAAAATGTTCTGCGTCGAGTAAATTATGCAAAGTGCAATTATGAGTTCATCAACCAGCTGAGAAAACAAAAACAACACACAAACAAGCTTGAACGTGTGGCAAACACACGCAAACACCCATATTTGCAGAAAATATATATTGCCCTTTCCCAGTCTTTCTCTCTCTCTCTCTCTCTCTCTCTCTCTCTCTCTCTCTCTCTCTCTCTCACACACACACACACACACACGCACGCACACACACACACTCGGTCGTCTGGGAAGGGACCGGCAGGTTTCCAGCCCGCGAGAATTTATGTTTCCGAATGATTAGAGGCGGAAGGGACGATCCGAGAGGCAGCAGCTGCCCGCCCCACAGCTCCAAGTGGAGCAGAAAATCAGGATAATTTCGTTGTGATAATCAGCCTCCCGTTATCCCCGTCACTTCACTTCACAGAGCAGGAGAGAGAGAGAGAGAGAGAGTGTGTCACATTCAGAGAGCGAATAATGACATACAAAAGTGTGCTTCATGCCCGATTAACTTCAAAATGCATGCATAATGTGTGTGTTAGCGTGCGTTAGTCTGTGCGTCTGTATTATGTGTCCTGCATCAACCAAATCCCCAAATTTAAACATGCATCTTTTATTTTTCAGATTTTAAGATGTCAGCTGCACAGGTTTCTGTATTTGAGAACTCTTTCCAGAAATTGTAGCCTAGTTACTTATAATTCACAGAAAAACCTGAGCAGTTTTTACTGGAATGCGAGAGAAAACTATTCTCTATGAAGTCTGTACTTCCACAGGAACCAGGACGTTTCTTCTTACAAATTAAGCTCTTCACCACCTTCAAGCAGCACAAACTCATTTGTGTTGGTGGGAGTCATCACTTTCAGAGGTGGATTCTCAAAGCATCTCAACAAGAAACTGAACTATATTGCTACTTTAATCAGGGTTTATGTTAAAAGATTAAAAGATTTTAATTTATAATTTTATTTGCTGTTTTTAATTGTCTTTTAATTCCTGCATTTTATTTAACTTTATTGTATGAAATGTTATAATGTGAAGCACTTTGAGTCTGCCTTGGGTATGAAAAGTGCTATACAAATAAAATTGCCTTGCCTTGCCTTGCCTTATGTCATATGTCAGATTCTAGTTTTTGGCATGTCCATTTGACATGCACACCTTTTAGGACATGAACTTGGACCTGGAAAAATGTCCCCACTATTATTGATTGTTGAACGGGTTTGCGATGCTGTCTGTGTTTTTCCTTTTTTTTCTCTTCTTTGCGTGTGAATCAGACATAGTTGAGTTTTAGCTACAGTTTTGCTTCATCATGTGTGTTTAAAGGGGGAAAAAGACGAGAACGATAGGAATGAAAGAAACTGGATCAAAAGTGTTACATAATTGTGATGCAGCATTTAGTTGCTCAACCTGCCGCACTGACGACACCAGCACACAAACACTGTAGCCACACTCCCTTCTTTGAGTCTCCCTCAGCTGCACTCTCACATGCTGCGTCTATTGGTGTAATGTATGCAAACAGACCAGGAGATACAACATTCCCCTCATGGCTGACCGAGTGGAGACATCTGGATTTGAGAGTGTGTTCGTTCGCTGATGGGACACAACATGGGCGCACAACCTTAACATATAAGTGTGTGTGTTTCTTCTCAGTGGGCACGTAAAAGGTGAATAGTGCTTGATATCCAGGTTAGGCTAAAGTTTTGAGCGATGCGCTTTTAAATTAGAGCATCATTTATGGTTAACTGACTTTTTCCTGCAGCCAGTTCCGACTTTGACTACGTTGTACTGAAGCATCTGAGTACTTGTGATTTTAGTAGGTCTAATCTCCCAAATAATGTAAGCAAGAGGGAATTTTTAGACAAGGCCTCTCCTGCCATGGCCTGTTTTACAGCGTGTCCCTATCAGCGCTCTCCAGTGGAGGAGCAGAGGCACTGAGACACGCAGCTGATCGCACTACGCATGCAAGTTTAATTATGGGCTGTTACTGGTGGAATTACAGCCCTTATTATACTGAATAAGGTAGTTTTTTTTACCAAGTCTGTGACATCCAGCCTTTGGCAACACAACAGCAATGACGACACATCCCAATGATGTACTCATAGGAAAACATGTAAGTCATTAATGGGAGAGTTCGTCCGAGGGTCAAGCGAAATCTACTCTTAAATAACCTGCAGACTTTCCCGTCTCCCTTTTCATAGTCCTGATCAGGAAAATCATAATATGTATTCACACAGTATAGAAATAGCAACAACACAGAGAAACAAGATAGAGACGTGCGTTACGTTTCTGATTCTGGTGGTTCGATTCCAGGCTGCCACATGTTCCATGTTGAAGTGTCCCTGAGCAAGACACTTAACCCCTAATTGCTCCCCGGGCAAAATGTGAAAAAGCCATGGGTTTAAAGTGTAATGTAAGTCGCTTTAGATAAAAGCGTCTGCTAAATGAAACAGGAAAACAGCCTCACCCGGGCATCCCTCCCCCTCCCGTCTACCCCCCCCCCCCCATCTCCTCCTCCTCCTCCGACCGCCGCTCTCCATCACAGCACACCTACACCGGCCACATGCACCCCGACAGGCGTCCCCCGCTCCGTGTGCAAGTGTAGCAGCGGGACGGCTGGTTTTGCGCACGGTGCGGACCCCGTCTGATGGACACCTCGGTGCCTTCGCCAGCTCGCTGCGTGCGCCGTGGTCCTCCTCTCCAGCTGGACCGGTGGTAGCAGGAGGCTGCGCGAGCGCTCGGTCGGAACTGGAGGACAGCATCATGAAGTGGACCGTCCTCTTCCTCCTCCTCGTATGCCCGCTGTCCCTCGCCGAGATCCACGGTAAGGATACTCCGATGTGTTTTCTAAATTATACATTTATTGTAGGGGAAGGAGGGGGAAGGGGGGGGCAGAGATCGTTTAGCTTTGGAGAGACCATGTACGCAAAACAAAAAGTGCAACCTGCTCAATTCATGTTACTTTATTTACTAAAAAAGATCAAATGTTATCAAAATCATTTCCACTGATTTTAAGCTGCTTCAAGAGCGAATGCAGCGCTGCAGAAAGACGGGAACACAGGTGTCCGATGTCAGTGTCCATCTCTCAGCACCTCTCAGCGAGTCCTTGACAGCTCAGACACAGCTGATACGGGAGAACTAAAATGCCCTTTGGTGTTAGATTTGCTTTGTCACTTTATTCACACATTGATCCGGTCAGACAAAGACAGACATGTGAAGACATGTGAAGCCAGAAGAGAACCCCCCACTCCCCCTCACCACAAACATCAGCTCTCGCACTGGACATCCCTGGGGTCTGACGTCATATCTGCTTGTCTCTCGTCAACATTACTGTCTCCGGCCCTTAAGACATTATATCACCTCAGGCTGACTGCTGACGGCCCAACATCTCTGACCCCCGCCCCTCAATGTGTGACACCACAAAGGGTTGCATTATCCAATTCTCCCTTGTAGTGAGATGTAACGCACAGAAAGTTCTGAATGCTTTTATAGATCTCTGCAAATGGCCTTTTTTGGGGGAAGATTAGCTGAATTTGAAGTGGGAAGACAAAGCTAAACTACAATCTTGACAATAAATCCATCTCATTCCAAGCAGTGTTGTGTCCATGGTGCTGAAACATACGTTTTAAGTATGAGGAGGCGAGGAATGAGGACAAAGAAATTCTCACTATTTTAATGTAAAGGAATCAAAGAAAACTCTTAGACCTTTGGCCTATTTTAAAGACAATATCTAACTAGTTTAAAAAAACACATGAAAAATATACTCAACAACAGTGATTAGGAGATAGTTGTTATTTTCTAACATTCTCCACCTAAATGATGGTACAAGTAAAGATTTTGGATTTCTGTCTATTTATTTTGTCTGCAAGAAAGCTTTACTCCAATTAATCCTACTTTATTCCCCAACCAACACAAAGCATTTGTTATCTAATGTTTTTTACTTCACAACCTCCTCTGCATTCCAGCTCCGAGTGAGTTTGTGTCCTTGGCGGAGATGGAGGACGCCCTCATGAGGAACCTTTTCCAAGGGTACCAGCGCTGGGTCAGGCCCATCCAGCACGCCAACGACACCGTCCGGGTGCGCTTTGGACTGAAGATCTCCCAGCTGGTGGATGTGGTGAGAAGACACCTGCAATCACAAGCACATTTCAATGTACAGCATTGACGTACTTAAGGTAGAGAGATGCTCATTTTTAAAAGAGATAGCAGCAGGATCAAAGGCTAACAATGGAATCTATTCCTTGTGATTATTGGATAGAAAAGAGGCGCTGAACTAGGGATTAGTAAATGTATGAGAAATTAGCTACGGCCAAGAACAGTCTTCCCGTCTGAATTGAGCTTCTTTTGTAGTTTGGATCCCACTAGTGGATATAAACTACAAGCACATATTGTGTTTCCCTCAAAACCCTCAAAGTTATTAAATAGCATGGTTATTTTTAATCTATTCTAATGTTAATTATCTGGAGTTAAACTCAACACCATTGACCGTTTATTTAACCTCATTATGACGTGGATGTTAATAGATTAGTAGGTTAATCTATATTTCTTTATAGTCGACAAATAGAATGAAATTACTGAAACCAACAATGATTGAGGTCACAAGAGTCAGTTCTATGTGTGTATTCAAAGCCTTTTTGTATGTCCCATATCAATTTCTATTTTTATCTCAAAACGACACATATGAATGTATGGTCAAAAATGTTTTTCATTACAACAATCATGTGCACTGTAGTGTAATTGGAGTCAATCCAAACTGTCCAACTGTCCAGCAACTCCAAATCTGTAAATAGTCTCCAGAAGTGTAACATTTTACTCCTTTTTAGCTTCATTTTGGTAAAACGTTTAGGGCTCAATTGTTTTACCACATCGTTTAGCATTTGCTTTCAAGTGATTTTGTTAAACAAACCAAAGCAGTCTCGTGTGTATACAGTGAGCAGTTTTTTTACGATTTATTTTGGAATCAGCGGGACTGAGAGCCGCAGACATGGAAGGGAAGCCGAAGAGTGATCACAGTTGAGAACAACAACAAAAACACGGACCGACTCCAGATTTATCCGTCAAAAGAATACAAAGAGCCAACACACATGGAAGAACAGAAAAGAGAACACCGGTTTTCGTCTAACTGAGAACCTCAGTTGGACGGGCTGGTTCTCCCGGGCCAAGCAGTGTCGCTGTCAGTGGGGCTGAAACCAAACGGGCCGCTGGCAGCTTTACAGGGCAGAGCTTTCTGTGGTCCTGAAATAGATCTGGAACACTCTTCACATCCACAACCAAACCGTCTCTGTCTCCGGAGTGGTCCTTTAATATTTCAGAGGCGTGTCTTTGATTGGCTGAGATGGTTGAGGTGTTCAAGGGAAGAAAATGGAGGACTCTAATGGAGGAGCCTCTCCTCGAGGCTTTAAATATTCATCTTGGCCGGTTTGGATTCAACTCCTCGTCCTTTCGGCCAACATTTGTGTTAAAAACAGAAAGATTAAGGTGAATGATTTTTGGAAAGAGAGCTAACCAGAGAAAGAGCAAACGCTCCTCTGTGTCGGTCCCCCGGGCGACTCTGGCTGTGTATTAGATTATGGTTCACCTCTGCTCTGTGTGATCACCAAACCATCAGACTCAGTCTGACAGCTGGGGCCTGGTCTGGATACGACTGAACAGCTCATATTCTCTCAGGTATTTTGCTCTCAGTCTTCCCCCCTGTTTTTCAAACTCACCTCCAGTGATGTGGAAATAAACCAGTGTTAACCACTCTCATGTTTCCATTTCTGTCTTCATCTACTTACCTCCCGCTGCATTCAGCTTCAGGGTTCATTGCACCCAACTCGGTTTCATGTTTCTTTTACTGTTTACAAAGGAAGTGGCAAAGACGGGTCAATTACATTATGTCTAAATTTCATGGCAGGGGAAAAGCATGATTTGTTTATTTTCTACCAAGCTTCTCATATCGTCAACTAATCAAATTGAATATTGTGATGGAAGCACCCAGATCCCATTCCAGAACCTGCAGGAGATTTTCTTACTTTTCGTTTGAGGGATAAACATGTGAACATAACTGATATTGGTAATTTAGATGATCTCAATCTACCAATATCTGCACGCTTTTGACTATTTTGATGTTTACTGTATCATGTTTTTTATGTATCAGAGCCTCACTCCGTCTTTTTCTGTCTTTGTAGATTTTGATCAGAAAATCAAAGAATTGAAAATAATGTTGGGAGCGATTGAAGGTTTTAATTACACGTATTGAATTTTTGTGATGTGTAAACCCTTTCGATTGAATTTCGATAATGTGCCTTCATCTTTGTGATCTCGCTGCAAGGGATCTTTCTCTCCTTTCTAAATATTACGTTGTCTTTGTCCACTTTAGGATGAGAAGAACCAGCTCATGACAACTAACGTTTGGCTGTGGCAGGTGAGCAAGACATAGAAACGAAATGAGACAAAACGCTTTCTATCAATCTTACCATTTGCATCCAAATGTTCCGGGATAATAGTTAAACATACTTAACAGCTTTATAAGACAGAACATGATAGTATTTATATGGATTAGCTACTGTATTTTACAGTAAACACTGTTAAACATTGTTCTTGGCTGACAGTTTTGGTTCATGATAAACTCTTGATCTTGGTTGTAAAACACAGGCCTTTTTTGTAGTATTGTCAAATAGCCTCAACTTGACAGAACAGTTAATACAGAAATGTTTAGTATAGGACTAACAATACTGGATTATGTGTCCTCTGCTGATGACCAGGAGTGGATCGATTACAAGCTGCGATGGAATCCAGATAAATATGGAGGGATCACTTCCATCAGAGTCCCATCTGAAATTATCTGGCTCCCAGACATCGTCCTCTATGAGAAGTAAGACGGCTTTAATGTTGCAAATGGACTGACCATTAGCATCATGTGAAACTTGAATAACTTAACTTTAATAACAGTAACAAAACGTCAATATACTGATGTGTGGAAACTAAGACGTAGACATATTTCAATACTCTCATTTTAGCTGCAATCTAACATACAAAAACAACATTTATGTAATAGTTTAGTTTCAATCAGTTAATACATTTTCAGTAAACACACCGCAAAAAGTGCTAAAAAGCTTCTTGTTCCACGTTCCTTCAGTGCTGACGGTCGGTTCGAGGGCTCCCTGATGACCAAAGCCATCGTCAAGTTTAACGGCGTGATCACCTGGACGCCACCTGCCAGCTACAAATCCGCCTGCACCATGGACGTCACCTTCTTTCCCTTTGACCGCCAGAACTGCACCATGAAGTTCGGCTCCTGGACGTACGACGGCCACATGGTGGACCTGGTCCTGATCGACAACCAGGTCGATCGACGGGACTTCTTCGACAATGGGGAGTGGGAGATCCTAAGTGCCACTGGGGCCAGGGGCACCAGGAAGGACGACATGTACACGTACCCCTTCCTCACGTATTCCTTCATCCTGAAGAGGCTGCCGTTGTTCTACACGCTCTTCCTCATTTTCCCTTGTTTGGGTTTGTCCTTCCTGACCGTCCTGGTGTTCTACCTGCCCTCGGATGAAGGAGAGAAGCTGTCGCTCTCCACCTCTGTGCTTGTGTCGCTCACCGTCTTCCTCCTGGTCATAGAAGAGATCATTCCCTCCTCCTCCAAGGTGATCCCGCTCATCGGCGAGTACCTGCTGTTCATCATGATCTTCGTCACGCTCTCCATCATCGTCACCGTCTTCGTCATCAACGTCCATCACCGCTCCTCGGCCACCTACCACCCGATGTCGCCGTGGGTCCGTAATCTCTTCCTTCAGAAGCTGCCGAGATTCCTCTGCATGCGGGGCCACACCGACCTTTACCACTACCCGGAGTTGGCTCCCGAAAGCCCTGAGATGAAGCCCCGCTCTGGAGGTCGGAAAGGAGGCCAGAGGGCCAACAGCGGAGCCCGCGGACAGACTGCGTCCGAAGGGAAGGAGGACGAGGCCTGGGCGACCATGTTGGACAAGGCTGTCTACTCAGTGCGCTACATCAGCAGACACATCCGCAAGGAGCACTTCATCCGAGAGGTGGGTTGAGATGGATCTAGACAGTCTGGTATCGTAGGGTTCAATGTCTATATTTTTCGTACTATTTCATATTTCTTCTGTTTTCTAGGTGGTACAAGACTGGAAGTTTGTGGCCCAGGTGTTAGACAGGATCTTCCTGTGGGCGTTTCTTACCGTCTCCATACTGGGCACCGTTCTCATCTTCACTCCAGCTCTCTACAGTTTTTTCAAAATCCCTCCTCCGATTGCAAGTGAGAATCCGCCTTCAAACTAGACAATAACCCAACTTCCACAGGCGAATAGTGATCGACCCTGAAGAATCTCTGAAACATGAATGAATGAGAAGAGGCCACTTCAGACTTGGATTCGGACTTGGACTTTGGATTCACTGTTTAACATTCTCTCTATGTCATTGAGTAATTTAATGTATGTTTCATGCACATCATTTCAAATTATTAGGATGGTATCTTATCTTAAGAAATAAGCAAGTCAATCTCAATAGCAGGTTAATGTCAAATTTAGTGCTTTTCAAAGTCATAGATTTCGAAATTCAGCACATTTGGATTTGATGGTTCATGATGGATTTAAGTAGCATGCAGCTATTAATGCGTTATATTACACGATGGTTATTTCAGATGTCACTTTCTTAATATATGTACAGCAAAGATGGCTTCCTCTCTGTATCTCTATTCCTTTATCACTTTAACAATATTTTCATTTCATACACTAGATGCATTCTGTACTTTATTTGTATTAGTATACAAGAAAAATACATTACTTATTATTTCAACCCTTGTACTGCCTTAAAACCCCATTACATATGTAACAACCTGTTATATGTTTGCAGACTTTTTAAATCCATTAGCATATGTTTCTGAAATAATTTGTGATGTTGCATCTGAACAGTTTGGTCTTTTTTTGCTGTGTTTTTCACCCCTCTCAATCACAACATATGCCATACCCTGGTCACTGCAGTAACTGGAAATATTTAATTGATTAATGAATAAATTAAGAACAAATGGACATTTCACCTTGAAATGGCACACTCTACATTATTTGTATAATTTAATTGCACACGTTAGTTTAAAGACATGAGGCATTAATGCAATATTTATTTATGTTCCATTGAAAATGAAAGTTGTCCATAATATCTTTGAAGGTTGAGCGAGTCCAGTCTGAGATGTCACAGACAACAACAAGAAGGAAACCAGAATAGTACTAGAAACTAGAACTATACTAAGATGTAAAGGGTGAAGTGACTGCTACAACTAGTGGTGAATCAGGGACTTATAGAAAACATCCCCTTTGCAGAAATGGCACAGAATGCAAAACATACAACGTATAATAATTCCCCCCACAATAAGGAAATCAATTATTCTTTTCAATTTTGGTCTTTCTAAAAGAAAATATGTGTTGTGAGTGTTCACATAAGTGTGTATGTTTTGCGCAGCATTTTCACATAGTTTTTGTTTTCCCTGCATCATAACTAGATGGGGGGAAAAACATAATTAAAATGTGGGAAAACTATTATATCACAAAAGTATATTAAAGCACGTTACACTCAGGAAAAGTGTCATTGCTCATTAAAACAATCGAATGACTAGTATTATCAAGTAAATAACTACTACCTGACATCAAAGTGTCACTGTGCTACTGTGGGAAAATATGGTCATAAGACGAATGCGTAAATGAAAGCATTAAGAAGCAGTGCACAACGTCAAAACCTAAAAACTGAATTGCTTCACAGTCCAACCCCATGTTACTCATCTGCTACCAGTACTCGTTGGCACGTTGTTATAAAAATGCCTCATTGATGGCAGGAAAGGTATTGGCTTTTACATTAACTGACGATAAATCACAGTGTATTCACACCACAGAGCGCAGCGCCTCCTGTTCCTGAGGGGCGTGACCCCCCCTGATTCTGACTGGTGTGGGTCCCGATATCCTGACTGTCTCTTTAGGCTAATGAATTCCTTTGCTTGTTTCTCTTTTATGAACAGAGCAGCGAAAACCCCTCAACATAATGTTAAAACAAAAAAAACAGATTAGTTTCCAGTTTGAATTTGCTCTAACAATAAAACATATACATACTAAATGAGCATTTAGATCAAAATCAACAATTAACAGATAATTAAAAAACAAACAGATTATCACATTTCCAGATATTTGCAGTCCTTAAATGGTAGATAATACTCGTCACAGGCTTACATTGAAACAATTTTTTTTTTTCTGATAGTAAAAGTCAGTATCAATAAACGTACATCTCATTGAAATAACCCACTAACAATTGCATTCAATTGTTTTAAAAAGCACTTTTGTAAACCCTTTGCAATAAATAGATTGCAAATGAAAAGAAGTGAGCAAAAAAGTAGCAAAATCCAATATTTTACAGAAACTTGTGCAAGCACTGTGCTGTTGATCAGGTGGTATCGAGCTTCAGGTAGAAACCTGGATGACTGAGCTCCGACAGAATGCCCCAAAACACACACCCGCACACACACACACACACACACACACACATACACACACTTCCGAGTCAACATAAAGATGATCCTGCCTGGACCGACAGTTTAATGGAAAACAAACTCTTGATATTAGCAAACCAAGTAAAATACAATACACATTTTGTCACAGCAGTAATCATGTGCATCAATAACACCTTCATTCAGAAAGACCAATCTGAAACAAATTTGTTTTAGTGCACATAAATGCATTTCTTTTTCCTTGATGTTACTCTTGTTACACATTATTATATCATTATTCCCAATATACAGATACTATATTGCTGCATTAGTTTTCTCCTCAAACTCACCCAAATTAATTATTTGCGTTTGTGTGTTCCGACTAAAACTTGATATAAACACATTGTCTGATTGTATGACATACATTTCTAAGTGATTCAGTAATTCTAATACTGTATTGTGTGTTTAGCAAAATACAATGGGCTTGTGTACATCAACATATCTTCCACTGGGTGGGGTCATAACCACGTTCAGTTGGTAGACATTTCACGTTTTCTCAACCAATGTGTGACACACACACTATTTTTTTGTTGCTTTTCAGAATGTTTTGGAAGTTGGATTAAATTGTTCATAATTTTTTTTGTCAAAACAGAAGAAAAAAATAAGCAGAGTGAAAAAGGACTTGAACTTAGTAACAACATTGACAACAATTAAAGATGTTAATTAAAACTCTTGAATGTACAGTATGTGATTGAATTAACCATGAACAAAGTCTGCATGAGTACAGGGGTTACGTAAGGAAAAGGGATTTAAAGCCTGGCGAGGAATTTCAAAGCAGCTCCCCAGAGTATTAATTTGGCTTTCTACTTTTGAAGGCGTTGCATTAAAAGCGGCCATGCTTTAAAGTTTGAGCAGGAAGCTTCATGAGAATTTCTTCGAGTGATGTAGAATCTACGCTCTCTCAAACCCAGACGCAGCCACACGAGAATGACCACCTAAAAGGGAGTGGATGAGAGTTGATGCAGAGAGACAATAACAAAAGGTCCAGCACAATACAAGTCATTCATAATTTAAACTCCTACTCATATAAGTTGCATGTAAAGCTTTTGCATTAAAGACTTGTCTTTGATCACACCTTGATGCTCATCCTAACAAAGCGACACTTTTGACGTGTGTGTTTGTTTTTTTGTGACTCTTGTCTCTTCTTCACCCCTGAGTGCACTGCTGACCTTTTTCACAGTAAGCTTATGTATGTGTGAGCCCATAATAAACTAATTCGCCGCCTCGTCAGCGTAAAAGAGACAAAGTGCTGGCTGGAAGCCGGACAAATGAGGAGGACCAAGACTCAGTTAGTCACGTGAGTGGATATTCAAAGACATCCTAACAACAACAAGTATTAGAACAGACACTCGTCACTTGGCCTGATATGAATGCACAATTGCAGATGGAGACACTTAACATGCACACACACCCCCACACACAAAGAAAGGAGCCCGAAGCGTGCATACATGAACCTTGGATAGCTGTGGGACCCTGGTGCTTTCTGCCACACCACACGCTTTGCATCTTCCACACATCAAAGGTGTGACAAAACTAAAACTCATCTGTCCCCATTCTATCACCTATACACACACATGCACACACAAATACACTCTGCTGGGACAGGGGAATCCTTTTTTTGGTTAGCAAAATAAAGGACTCAAAATAATACATATACGTTCAATTTTGTCGTTGTCATTTTTTATCAACTTTTGTCTGTCTTGTTGTCACATTTCCACATAAGCAAACAAATATTTGTCTCTGTTATGTGTTCACAAGAAAGAAAAGGGGGGGAAGGGTCAGAGAGAAGCAATGGTAGCTCCACAGAATTGAGATCCATTAGCACTACATTTCTCCTTTATAAAAGATAGAAGTATTTCCAATATTTTCTTCTTGTGTTCTATCAGTGGATTATTTAAAACATTCCCTCTCGGCCCGTCTCCTGCAGCTCAGTATCGAGAGTTTGAAAATCAACTTTATGAATTTAGAGTCACAAGGCAGCGGACTTCTTTTTAAAACTAGATCTGCAATTGTTTAACCTCCTCTGATTATTGACGTTAAAACCAACCTCTTTTGCTGTCTGAGTTTTGTCTCTGTCACATGTCGGCTCTTGGCAAAATTTTGTGATTTTTTGCGGAGGTTTTTCTGTGTGTTTGTGTGTTAATTCGTGCAGCATATTCCCTTTTGAGAAGGGGCAACAAATAGGGAGTCAAGTTGATATTTATGTTGAAACAGACTCACAGACTCATGTACAGAATGTCTGCATATTGTTTGTGCAGACATTCTGTTTTCCTTGTTTTTTAGTGTAATACCCTTTTTATCTGCAAATCTTTCTACAGTGCCTCTGGGGATTTTGGGGACTTTGGACAGCGCTTCATTAAACTTCAGGAAAGTTATTGTAGTGATGTGTTTTCCGATGGTCTCTTTAGTAGAGGGAGAATACATTAAATGGTATGAAATAATGAATGTTGTGCACAGACAAATATGATGTACATGGCAGCATAAGTCACCTCAAAGCTCTGTGACACCTCAACATGTGGAGTGACCACATTTGGTGGTCTGATACCAATTGCTTCTCCAGATTCTACCCTGTTCCTCCGTCAGGAAGACAGAGTTCACAGTTCACATTTGTGCAGATGGTCTCAGCGCCCGTCGAATCCTATTTCTGACTCAAATTATTTATGGTCTGAACAAAATGGGTCTGACAAAAAAAAAAGATAAATGTGAGAAAAATGCATTTGATGAGCCTCTATGCAAAACTGCAAAGTGTAAAGTGCATTATCACTTAATTAGTCTCCCATTGTGAGGAAGGGGGGGGGGGGGAGGGGGTTGTCTGACTCCAAGCCTTATCTTTGGTTAAACCAACATTCATTTATTTTTTTGCCACTTGGGGAGGGGGTTATCAAGCTGTAAATACAATGTTGACACAATGTGAATAAAACGATTGAAAATGATTGATATGGTTACTGTGATTACAAACCATTGCTTTCATTTGGAGTTGTGTATTTAATGGTTTCTGTAATAGAAGCATTATGCTGGTACACACTGTTGGTTCAATAGATCTTTTTTGCCTGCTGTGGCTGCCAGCACGCTGATGGGAGCAGCGAGTCTGAATGTAATTAAAACAACAAAACAATCCTGTGAAAGAAAAAAGATCCCTAGAGCTGCAAGATGATTCTCTCCTCACAAGCAGGCCCTTAATTGAATATGTTGAATTGAATAAAGTAGAAATAACTTATAACTTAATAACAATTTGATATACTGCAAAAAGAGTTTAAATCAATGTGAAGTCACTTAAAGCAGAAAACTGTTTTGCATTACAAAAAGTACAAGCATGGTGTCCACACACATCTTCCTTCTTGAAATAAACAGAGGAAGCACCTTATTTAACGATGCACATGCACGTGCGCGTCCACATCTGTAATGCAGGTGAGCACGGGTTGAAAAAGGAGACGAAGAGACACAAAACTGGCGTTTTAAAGTTATTATCCGAGAGCTTTCCTTTAACATCTGAGTGAATTTTAGCGAATCAAACCCTGTTTAAAGTTTAAGGATTTAAACATCACACCGAAAGCTTGACTGTGGTCATCGTCTCGGATCGTTTTTCCCGTTTTTGGAGCCACATTTCTGTCCGTGGAACGCGCGCCCCCGTGCAGCGCTGCGTGAGGGAACGCATCATTGCTGCGTTGTGAACGCGCCAATCTCCGCTGCATTCTCCATCGGGTCCCTCAGTATTTTCTATCTCACACACTCCGACTCGCTTGCTCTTTGTCTTCACACCGGCACCGAGCCGGAGTTGATGCCCTGTTAAGCCGACACCGAGAGCGCGCAGCCCGGGGCCGGCGGAGTCCACTGAGCGGTGCCAGCATGAAGTTTTGGGGACCGTGTTCGGTTGGATTTTATATCTACGCGGCTATTCTTTTCAAAGGTAGGTTTTCGGGGTAAGCGAGTACGACTTTAATTGGTTTGGCTCTTCCTTCAGTTAGTGCATGAGCTTTAGATAAAGAAGACATGAATTATTGTGGACATCGTTAAGTTGGCGAAGGTTCAGGGCTTCTTTTGGATCTTGCAGAAGTGAATCTATATTCAGCATTTATTCTGATTCAAGAATTCAGAACCCTTTATTGCCAAGGGTATGTTTGTGTGTTTTTTATTAAACACTGCTTTGTGAATTGTTGGTTAAATAACAAACCTCAATTAATCATCTCTTTTTGTAACTTAAATCTATTTGGTCCCCTTACAAAGGTACACATTTAAACATTTATAAAAGCCTCATTTATTACACTGTGAGTAAGTGCATTAATGTTTGCTCATTGCCGTGCATTAGATGTGCATGCGTGATTGTAATTGTCTTCTAAACCGTATCCCGTCAGCATCATCAGCTGGAACATCTGTGTTGTTCCCCAGTCTATGAAACAGCAGCTTGGCTGAATACATGTCTTCAAACCCTCAATGCATGTGTGGACGTGCATACTGTTTATGCACGTGCACAAACATCAAAGCTGCCACCCTCCACATCTTTTACCAATCCAGTCAGTGATGTGTTGGGAACAAAGAAGTGAAGGTTTGGCTTGAACTACAAAGCCTGAAGGAAGGGTTTAAAGGATGTTTTACATGCTGATGACAGTAGGGCCACACTGTAAATATGCAAAGCTACACAAGTCATATCCTTTAGAACTGACTTTCACTCTTTTTAAAGGAGCAATATGCAACATCCAGAGCATTAATATAGCACTAAACACCTATGTGCCATACACACATGTGGTGTCACTTTTAGTTCACGGCCCCATTCGTTAGCTCAGATCAGCACTGCTCTTACAGAAGAAGCCGCTATCCAGACTGAAGGCGACGTCGCAGCACCCTCCCTCCAGTCGCCTCTCAGGTAAACGCTGCACTGTCGCAACCTTTGCTGTACTTTTTGCTATTCGCACTGTTAGCTCGTCAGTTGCAATGCAGTGCATTTACATGCATTTTGGGATTTTACTGAGAGGAAAGCAAAGTTTACGTTGCCATACACATGAAAGAAAGATCCTGTTGCCTTCCACACGGTGAGCTATACAGTTTATTGATTAAACACTTGAATGCCGATAGCCAAAGCCCAGGTATTGTTAAAGTTGGATTAGTGATTGGCTGATAGAAATAATCACATTTTGATCTGCAGCTTTAAATGAACTATCTAACAAGGCATTTGCTGCAGGATCATGGTAAGGAAGAGAGCAGCATGCTTTGTGGATCTCATTGGGAGCCACGTGAGACTTTTGGCGTTGGGATTATAGAACCAGCTAGCTAGCAGCTAGCAGAGTGTATGTTCACATTCACTATACAGTTGATAAGCAGCTTTAACGTGTCGTGGGAAACACACCACAACATCAAAACGCGTCCATTTAGGGCAATTTAGTTCCCTTGAAATAGTAAATATAACTGTGACGTCTTAGTCTGCTCACAGCTGTGTAGATGAGGATGTAGTGAATTGGACTCCTCGGGCAGTGGACATTATTCATTTTGGATTAGACCAAACAGCTCTGTTTTCAGGTGTAGACAAAAATTCACAATATGTACCCGCTAATTAATTTATTTTCCTGAGCTTCAATGGTAGGAGGGAAGTAGTCTGGCGCAGATGTTGAGATATCATCAGTTTCATTTCAATGAATGCCTTACCTCCTTCCACGTCTTCCGCTCCCTTTTATTTATTCTCTGTTCGTCTCACCGTCTGCTTGCCTCTTATTTTTTCCACCGTCAACAAGAAATACTTCCCCAGATTCCATGATCTTTAATAACTTTTATGTTAAATGATCTTTGAATGGCCTTTCTCTGCATTTTCGTCGTGTGCTGTTCAGTCACTTCCATTCATACGGCATCAGTTCCTGATGAAGTGTGGTGCTCTCTTAAAACTGTTTTAATAAAAAAAAACATGTGCACACCATGTCCGATTGGGCTCAACATGGTGTAGGGATGTGGTAGCCCGCGGCAACACAAACTCCAGGATTAGGATTAAACCTCCAGTGGTTTTAGAGCTCTCAGCCTTTGACCGTGGATTATAAATCCCATCCAACCAAAACTCCATTAAGACACAACACCGTGCGCTGTGATCTCGCCCCATCGCCGCAGATTGTCACATGATGATGGAAACGTTACGCTGACGGTTTGTGCTGCGACTCTCAGTCGCTTTAAGGGTCGCACTCACACACACAAAGAAACACACAAACACACACACGGTAAGGAGTGTAAGCACGGAGGCCCATTTACTTACAGAGATATCCTCAAAGAGACAGAGTCACACAATGGGAACTGTGCACAAAGCAGGAAAAAAGTGTTTAATCAGTCAATTAGAGCCTAATCATGAATTAGCAGAGAATAATCAATTGAATGATGTTCAATTTTTAGCTCTTGTGAAAATAAAAACTGAACGTATCAAAACTAAGCATCATTAGAAAGCAGTGTAACATGATTAAAATAACTTTCTTCATGACATTTTAGAATGTTCAGAGCATTTTAAAGATTATTGCGTGACTATGCACACCTTCTTTAAGATGTAGATTTAAAGCTGCTGAACATCTGGATTCTTCACTGCTGACCTCCCCTGACGCTTCCCCTTTCTAAGTGATTGGTAGTGAAACAACAAGGTCTTAGACCATTACAATGTAGAAGGGACCTTAATTTGAATTGACACTATGTTCATTTCAGAGGTAGACGGGTGTGTGTAGGTTTCTTGTGTGTAGGTGTGAATGCATACTTACACAACTACGTCAGTTATCCAGTTATTTGCCACAATATAAAGAGGGATGAATTGTCTCTTTTATATATATGTCTCTTTTTTAGTATACAATATATACTATATTGTATACTAAATTACCATCGGTAAGACTAGCATGTAAGTTGTTTTATTTATTGATATTTTTGATAAATTAAAAAATATCGAAAAATAATGACGATCAAATTATGTTTCTGTGTGTTTTTGTAAACAGAATTTACATAAATACATTTTTATTTGAATTATGATCGTAACCTCCACGATCATAACTTTTGTTCTAGTCTGTGTATTATTCGAGCTCACAGGTGTACATTTTAATTTGGCAGATGTAGCTGTTCAGCCAAGCAAAATTAATTGTGTTGTTTGCATTCAGTAATATACAGCAGCTCTCTCCACATCGCCATTGTGTTGCATATTTGCATCAGAATGGCTGTAGCTGTACAGTCTTTGTGGGGGTGTTGAATGTCCCGCCCCTCTGGGAATGCCTGTCTGTCTGCAGAACCACCCCACCCTGGTTCTCTAGTGCCTTTGACCCAGAGCACCCTGGGTTCAGAGCCCTGCTCTGTTCCAAATTGGATAATAGATTCCTCTAAATAATAAAGTTGTGTTTCACACTATATTCTTTCCATGGTAGTAGTGGGGAAAGCCTCTAAAGAAATAGCTTACTTTCAGCGTACAGATTAAGTTAAATGTATTGTACACTGAAGGATTTGATTTGATTCTAACAGCGTGATTGCATATTGCAACCAAATGTATCCCCCACTTCTCACTCCTCCCTTTCCAAGACTGTGGCAAAGCATGTGTGTGTGTGTGTGTGTCCTGGATGGGTTTAGCTGAGCTCATCAGGGGCATTAACCCCCCTGCCCCCCCCTGATGTAAGAGGTGATCATATAGTGCATTGCCAAAAAAAAGCTTTCATGAATTTTCCTTCTCTCTTCTTTGGGGTGTTTGTGAGGTTTGCGTGTGTTTGTGTGTTTGTGCGTCTTTGAGCGGGAGAAGGAGAGCCGGTCCCTCAGGCCGCCAGTGTTTGGATAGCTTGTGTCTGATGAGTGTATTTGGAAGCCTCATCTGAACGCATTGACCCAGTAAAACATATTCAGATGGGACCAAATCGCCTGGCTGAATTTGTGTTGTGTGTGTGTGTTACAGAGAGTGTGAGGGAGAGGAAAATCATTGGGTGCATGCGAGTATTTGCACGGTTCTTGATTTTAGGATGGCACATTGAAAAAAACAAAAACAATTCTACTTTTGGCTTTGCAGTTCCCAAACATCAGCTGTGGAACAAAGTTCACCTTATTCCAGTTTGTTTGGCCTCACTTGCCCTCAGCTTGACGCTCTTTCTCACAAATTCTAACCATTCGTTTGGACACGATGCTAACTAGTTGGTGACAGCACTGATTATTACCCTGAATCAAATTAGCTCACAATGTAATCAGATCTAGGAAGCGCTCATTCTGATTCAGGACAAGACAAACAGAGTAAGATAGGAACAAGAGAGACATACATGAAGATCAAAAGAGGGGATATCCTAAGATTTAGAAAGGCTTGTACAGGGATAAAGGCACTGAGAGAGGTTTAATCAACATGGAAACTGTGCAGTAGAAGACTAAAGCAGTGGGTTGTTCTAAAGAGTGGGATTCCCACGACAAGGAAGGAGAGTGTAAAGAATTGGGATTAGCTGTGGAAAGCTTGAAAGGGAGTGAGGAAGGAACTATTGCAACGATGTGCGTCTGATTTCCCCATTTTTTTTGCACATTATATTAAAATCAGTGCACTGCATTTTGCGTTGTGTGGTTATAAACAGCTCTATCTCCATCCATCCCCATTTTTAATGCTAAATTGGAGAGATCCGACTTTTGAGAAAAAAATATGACACAAGATGAATAAACGTATCCGATCGTACCGAAGTTTAGTAACGGAAACTTATATACTGGTCCATGATTCAAGACCCCCCTAAAAGCACAAAGGCATGACGATGTCTCCCCCCTCACTCATCCCCCCCTCTGATGGAGTTTGTTTGATGAAGCCTCTCGCTGGGTTTGGGAGACGTCTTCTTGCCGGCTTCTCATATCAGCTCCATTAGAGTGATGATTATAAAAAAAAAGAGAAAAGCTTACAAAACTAATAAATGTATCCCTCCATCCCTAGCGTGCGCCGCACACGTTTGTGCATGGATTTAAGTCGGCTCGGTGGTTTATTGCATTTGATTATGAAATATTTTATGAGACGAGCAGCAATGGAGCTTTCCGTTCTCTTTTACTGACATTATTAGTTTGGTTGTGTTTGTTTGGAGGTCGGTTTTACAATTCACAGTAATAACACACAGGAGAGACACTGCGAGGAGGTTGGCAGGATAGCAGCTGCAGATGAGTCGGTAGTTAGATTTCAGTGCACGTGTGTACGCAAATTGCATTGTGCAACAATGGACAGATTCGTGACATTCCGGTGCTGCGTTTAGATTTATGGGGATTGTATTTTTGCAGAAGCCATCAGCCATTAGATCACTCGTGCAGGCGTCCAAACAAGCATGCTGACAGACGGAGACAGAAAAAACGTTTTGATGTGAAAATGGGTCTTTATCTGTGGTCCCCAGGAAAATCCACCGATCTGTCAACCCAGTTTCCACCTGAGGTACGGTGAGATGGATAGACGGACGCATCGAGAGAGAAAGAGAGAGAGAGAGAGAGAGAGAGAGGCCAAGACAAAGCTGAGCAGCTTCTCTGTCTCTGACCTCCAGCTCAGTCCTCCCATAACTCTGCTCATTACCTCCACTCTCTTCACAGCTTTACAAGGCGGTAGAACTCGCTCCTCTAATTCTCTGCAATCCTTTCTTCTATTTTGTGTTTCTACCGACATACTGCATGCTGATCACAGAAATCTGTGTGATGTTTTTAAGAGAAAAGCAAATGCGTGGTATTAAAAAATAATTCTCCAAAAAATCCTGTTTCATTGGTTTCCTCCAGGATCCCTGCAAGGAGAACATCAGAGGAAGTTGTACAAGGAGTTGCTGGCTAACTACAACCGACTGGAGAGACCTGTGATCAATGACTCCGCCGCCATTCTAGTGGAGCTGGGCTTCACACTGCTGCAGATCATAGACGTGGTGCGTGAGACAGCACTCGCTTTCTTTACATGTGTTTGTGTGCGTGTCTGTGTGTGTATGTGTTGGTGTAGGAATTGCCACAAGACATCGAGTTAGTGTTTTGTTGGGTGCACAGTATGGAAAGCTGAAGTGTAATTGTATCACTTTGTGGGGACTTGCAGCGTTAACAATTAGCTGTGTGTTCAGAGAACTTATAACGTAGCAACTGTAAAAGTATCAAACATCATTGCAGTGATGGGAAATTGAAAGAAAATGCTTGATTTGACATTTAGATCACTATTGGACAAGTAGCATGTCCCACATTGCTATATTAATTGACTTAATTTCTATGTTTCGGTGGGTATCCTTAGTGACACATGCCGAGGCACATTGTGCTCATGGAAAAGTGTTATATGTTGACGGAAGTAAAGCTCTTCTGCTGTTTGACTTCTATTACATGAAGACCTTCTGCATTGGGACCACACACACTGAAGGGGTTTATACTACGTTTGCTCCCGGGTACACTTTCTACATGAAAGTCTACCGGCTGCAAGTTTACCGCTCACTGACACGAGGCTTGACCTGATTGGCAAAAAGATTGTGTTTCGATGATTGCTGTCGCTTACTGCAAATCTATGAATACAAACTGTTTCTATTTCCATATGCCTCCGCATATCCGTTCTGATGGAATAAAATCGTCTTAATGCCTCTTATGACCGAATCTTCCACTGTTTTAAATCCTTATTCATCGAGGCAGGGCTGGCCGAGCACACTTGTTATTTTTGCTGCTCCACTGAGGCGCTGTGTGTCGCTGCCACGTTGCTCAGACTGTCAGTAACCCCCCCCACGAAATGACACATGGCCGCAGTGCCCATTGATGCTTCACCAGGAGTTCCAACACATGGGACTGTGGGTGAGATTTGACTGCAAGGCAACATCCTCCAGCAAACCACCGATGTGCTGCTTTACCTGCCAATCATTGTGAAGAAAGTTGTAAAATAATGTCTGTGAGTTTTGTGTTGGCCTTTGTAATATAAATATGATACGCCTCTAGAAAGCATGAATATGCTGCTTTACACAATGATCCCAACACCCTGCGTCGTCTAGACAAAGTTCCTGCTTTTCTGACGTGTGCTGACCAGCGTTTCCTTTCTCCTCTCCCCTCCTGTTTTGCTCATGTCGTCATGAGCTGCAGAGAAGAAGTGTGGAACACTCCCTCCGGGCTGCTGACAGCGTGGTAGAGTTTGACAGGCCGACACGTTTCCAATTCAGGAAAATTACCATTTCTTCCTGCTTTCAGCCCGTGACCCAGAAATCAATTCAGGTCTCCCATCTTTAATGACTTTTCAAATTGTTAAACTTCAGCTCAGAACAGCAGGAGGCCTTCGATTGAATTCTCGACTCATTAAGCACCAGAGAGGAACCGAAACGTACGTTTCACTTTGCAGGCTGCGTGTACATTTTTCAATCAACCTGTTCACAGAGAGAAATCCTTTTGTGGGAAATGTAATCACGTTTTAATCAGATTTTCTAGAGCGTCTGCTAGAGACCAGTGAAGTGGACAATTAACCTAATTTACAAACTGTACGTGGCCATTATACTACGAAGAGGCTGATGGGGTTGAGTCACGTTGGCATGTCCTTAGAGTGGTGAGGAAATCTAATACGGTAGGAGTCTAATTGAATATTTGTAATGTTTTCTCTGACACTGAGCAACCACTTGATATGTAAGGAACAATAGAAAGGATGTTTCCAAAATATATAGTATCGAACTAGTGGGTCGATGTTGAGTGATTTCTCAAATGATTCCTCAGTGAAACTATTGAAGAGAAGTCAACTTGGACAAGAACATCTTTTCCACTGTTCCACATAGTCTGGTTGTTTTTTCTGTAATAACAGCACTGATGACAAAGCCCCTTTCCACTATAATAAATATGGATTGGCTTGGTCTATACAAAAGAAAATAACTTATTCTCTCATCCCCTCAATCTTCTTCCTGTTTCTGTTTTCAGGATGAGAAGAACCAAGTGCTGATGACCAACGCCTGGCTGCAGCTGGTGAGTTCTTCATCCATTTAATGTCCTTCAATTAGATTTCAAATCTGATTAGACTGTTGCTAGTGCCAGTGCATTAAGTGCTCGTCAATTATGTAGAGTTTGAACCCTGCATCAGTAGGATACAAGTGTGTGTTTGTGTGAGAGAGAGATGCAGCGCTCCGTGGGTGTGGCCATGTTTATTGCTGGCACCAGCACACTCAAACAAATGTCAGATTGACGAGCACAAAATGAGGAATGCAGAGGAGGAAGAGTGCAGAATATTTAAGTGGAAATCAACTGACATTTTCCCCAAATCATATCAGTGCAACAATTCAAAGTAGGACACAGTTTGCTTGTCCACAGTTAACTGCCCTAGAAATCTGAACTTGATGTTGGGAGACTGTCAGAAACAAAAACAAGATTTGAAAAGGTAGAGCAAAGAACCGTCCATTGGTTGTTATGCTAATATAGCTAGATGGCTGTAAATTGTAATCGACTTACATTATTTGAAGCTTGCAGGAATAACCCTTATTTTTCAATTCCTTGATAACTTCAGAGTGGTAAACTAAGACTGTATAGACAATCTTATTTCTATTGCACCGCGACATTCTTGTAAACTATCAACACGATTCGTTCAACCAACCGTATAGGATGTAATTGAAGCATTGAAGTTATTGCACCCATTTAAAAATAATTATAGATGGGTTGGAAACTCTGTGTTGTCTTTGTCTTAGTACTGGACAGACATCTACCTGACCTGGAATCCAGAAAACTACCCCGGGGTCCAGAACCTGCGATTCCCTTCAGACCAGATCTGGACCCCTGACATCCTCCTTTACAACAGGTCAGTGCTACTTCCACTTTCCTTAGAGCAGCAATATTATAATACTAATGTAAAAAAATACTTTATAGTAAAAATGGTGTTTCTTGATGATGAACCATTACAGAAGAATAACCTGAATTTGCAGCTTCAAAAAAAAGTATTTTGTCTTTCATGCTCTTTTCTGGTGCGTCAGATGAGCACATCTGTCATAGATGTCATGCTTTCTTTTTGCTTTTTGGGTGAGTGTGTCGGAGTGATTGAAATATCAATTTAATCCCTCTGACGTGCCGCTATTTTATTAAACTCTTTCTTTAATCTGCAAACTAAAGCTGTAGCAGGGTTACTTTGAATCAATGTGATAAAAAAATCACACTCAATCTAACAGACAACTCAGTGACAAAGGCAACAGATGTTCTGATGAAAACTTTCTTAAACTGCAAAAACACAGAATCCTACTCATGCTATCTCATAACGCGTATTGTGACTCAATCAACAAGTCATTTCAGTGAGATAAAATTACTTATTTTTAGTCAACGCACAACACAACACTTGCTGACAAAATATGGCTCAAAATGTGTTAATTCATCAAATTTCAAGATATAATTTGATCATATCTTACCTGACTTTGTATTCATTGTCGTTTTTTAAAATTAATTAAAGAAGTTTATTTTTTCTCAGTGAATACCTTTGTCTTGGGGGACCGACAATTTTTACAATAAATGTTTTATTTAAATGAAATGAATAGAGCATGAATACAGCTTTTTGCTGTTCTTCCATCATCGGACATTCTTGTCTTGAAAGGGACGTTGGTAAAGAGCTGTTGATGTCAAAATTCTAAATCACATTGAAACACGGCAGTTTTCTCCAATAATTAAGACAACATACAGAGACCGCATTTTAATAAAATAAATAGAACAAGTTCATTGTTTTTTTTTTATTTAATCGGAGCTGAATCCACAGTTCTCATGATTCCTGGTAAAGCTTCCTGAGTCATCTAAGTGACATTGCGAATAGTTGAACGCATGCAGTTGAGAGCACATCAGATGGCTCTTACTGCTGTTACTTAGTCGATGGAGAGAAGAACCTCAGATGTTTCCCACTCTCATATTCACCGCCAATAATACAAGGACGGAAACAAAGGTTTGGGAGCATTAACCCACATTTTAAAAACTCAGCTTTCAGCCAGGATTACTCATTCTAATCTGCCTTTTGCTCTCCGCCTCTACTCCTCCCTCTCCACCACCGCCATGCATACCGTCTTCTCATCCAGTCAAATCAAATCTAGTGTCTCCCTCCTCTTTCATAACTTACTATCTCACTATAATTCACCCTCTCCAATCGACTCTTTCCCTCCATGTTTGTGTTTTTAAATCCTTCCTTTGTAAATCACCGGAGCCGCCTGCCTTTGTCTGTCGGCTGGTGTCAGCATGTCGCTCTGACGCCTTCCTTTCTCTCATGAAACTACACATGAAAACAACAACAACTCCTGTTCTCTGCGCTGGAGGAAAAACATAGCTGCTGACTGGTTTGGTCAACGTAGCACAGGACCCACGTGTTGTTAGGTTGGGCTTCGAAAAGCATTTATTTAAGACAGGAAGAGTGAATTATTGAACTGCTACTGGCGCATGAGGAAAGGTCAGGGGAAAGTCATGGGGATTAAATCACACAGCGATCCCTAGGAAGGCGGACTTTCTAGCAAACCTTTTCAGGTTACGTCCATATTTCAGCAATATAATTGCGTTCTGATTCCTGTTTGTTATGCAAATGTGTTGTATGGACGTGTCATTTTAGGAAGAGAGGATTTGAAACCAAATTGTATTTATTATTATCTTTAAAAACAACCATATACATGTGTGCCTCAGCTTGGGCCATTGAGATTTTTTTTCATTGTTTTCGACCAAAAGACCATTGCTACCTTTTGATGTTAGAAACGATGAACGTTGAAAGAAAACTGAAGAAGAAGATAAAGTTTACAGCCATAGGAGACATTCAGATTTAGGGTTAGTTTCCAGTAATAATATTGATCACTGCTGGAAATGCAAACTTACACACCTAACCAATTAAACCACACACATGCCACAATTACACAGTAAATAACCGTGCACACAATTCACAGAACCCGCAAACATGCATTTAGACTTCACACACAATTCCAGAAGGCAACGGCACGACATGCATCATCCAGCAGGGCGCAGCCAATAACACGCTAGTCCTGCTGTGAATAGCAGTATGCATTTAGGTCTATTAGCATGCAGAGCAGACAACATCTACATATATATCCCTCCATTTATTTCTATTGTTTTAATACGAAGCTAATGATGTTTAAAAGTGCTGAGGTCAGTTGTCGTAGTAATTGAGAGGAAAATCTGACGTGGTCTTGGATGAGTCATTTGGCTCGAATTATCCGCGTCATGTGAAATCTCTCTCACAGCTCTCACTTTGTCTCACTATGAAACTTCATGCATGGGTGATATTTAGTGCGGGCCATGTGTTAATAACCATTCCACCCAAACCCACGCATAGTGCCTGTGCAAATCATGTTACTGCTCACCATATTTGGTAAAAGGTAAGCTTTAGTTGTTTTTCTCAGCTCATAGAATGTGACCTCCTGAGGATCAGAGGAGGATTTGGGAATATTTTATGGGAGTATTGAATAATTTAATAATCACAAAAAGGTTTTGACCAAGCAAAAATAAATGTGGCCTCAAATGAGACAGAGGTGTGTGTTTGCTTGGGTGCCCTGATGAGGACCTCAGTCCGACTGCAGCCCGTTTGTGTTTGTGCTGGGTGTGTGCGCGTGATTGTGTTTGCAGAAAAGACCTAAAGCGGCTGTGTGAGAGCGACCTCTCGATAGAGGGGAAGGTTAATGGTCTCACTTGACACGGGATTGATCAGAAACATGAAGGACGTCCAGCTCATCTGAACCACAGACAGAATCACGTTTTGTGTGATGAGAAAGTAGCTGTACAACAGACTGCATCAGTGCATTATTCATCCTTTTAACAGTACAGGCTCATTTCTTCCACCACGCAATGCTCTTTCTCTGCCCTCAGAAACTCTCTGCCATCATCATCTTTTGTCATCGGTGTGTGTTTGTGTGTGTGTGTGTGTGCGCGACGAAAAGGCTTTGGTGCCTCATGTCCAATGATGAAGGAACCTGTCACTGCCTCTAGTCCCATTGTTGGTCAGTCTGTATCTCCTCCTGTCTCCTCGTCGCGCCGCTCTCATGTCCACAGCACTCCTTCTCTTGTGTGTGAATGTGTGGTACACGACTGCTTCCCATCCTCCCAGGGCTATCACTTGTCCAGTAGTATGCATATTTGTTCAAATGTTTTACAACACTTATTATATTATAATAGATATTATCACTCCTATTTTTGTCTTAAAAGAATATTTCTGAGGTAAAGGTAAATCTTTATTAGAAGTTCTTAGGATAACTATACATATCTTGTAATCTTCTGAACATCCCCTGTTCTGCACACACACAACTTGTACAATAAAAGTCCTCTCCAATAAACACAGTTCAGGGCATGCTAAATGTATACAAGCACTAAAGGAAAAGCGCACACCTTTAAATAAAGCAAGACCAAAGCCTGAATAATTCATGCCATGGCTCCTCCCCACCTCAGAAAAGAAATAAATTACCAGACTCAACTTCCTGCGAAATGGTAAATCACTCAACCCCGAGCAGTGACCAAATAAAATGTTCAAATTCTGTTTTGTTGCCAAGTTCTTTCGGGCTGAAAGAGTTCCAGACATGCTGGCGTTATCTCTCTCTGTGAGGATTGCATTGTGCGTGAGTGGATTTGTATGTGAGCGTGGATAGATATATTGTGCATTGTCTCATGTTGCACATACACATCGTATTCAGTCTGGGCTTTCCGGTGTGCATTAAGCATTCTATGCAATGATTGCAAACTCTGCTCACGCCCTTTTTGTAGCAATTTGTCGGCTATAATATGAGTTGCTTTTGTTTTTTTCTCCTTGCAGTATTTGTGTGGGGACGATATTTGTCTTTGCTTCTATAGATTCATTCTACCAACATTTCCTACTGGTGTTCCATTCAAATGTTAAGACACATATAACAATCATTTCATGCATTAAAGGATAATGATGAGCTGCCCAAGCTCAGACTTTGCCTGTCAAAGTTCCACTTAAAAATAAGAAGGTTTTGAGTTGCAGAGCCTTCCCCATTTTTGTAATTTTGAAATCTGCTACTACATATGTGGCATAATTTCATTTTTCTGCACACTGGACATCAGCTGGTTTGTCCCTGAGTGTCTGTCAGGTGATGGACAGGAGTAGCGAGTTGGTTGCTTCGCAGATGGCCGGTAGATGTCTCACTTTGCTGCTCCCTGACGAGGCCGGTTAGGCTGAGACTGCGACAGGCGCACACAAACACTCTGCTCTTCTCTTAGTGCGGACGAGCGGTTTGATGCCACCTTTCACACCAACGTCCTGGTGAACGCATCGGGTTACTGCCAGTACATCCCGCCTGGCATCTTGAAGAGCACCTGCTACATTGACGTGCGCTGGTTCCCCTTCGACGTGCAAAAGTGTGACTTGAAGTTTGGCTCCTGGACGCACAATGGCTGGCTGCTGGACCTCCAGATGCTGGATGTGGACACGTCCACCTACATACCCAACGGGGAGTGGGACCTTGTGGGTAAGACAGAGACATTTTTCCCTCAGATTTTTTTTATCAGAGTCCTGAGATGTTTAAAACGTTTCTTTAAGGGGTTTAACAATATGGCTGCCGATGCTCCCAATTTGATCTCCTTAAGTCAATGTTTGAACAATCCCACCGGCACCTCATGAAATGTTTACACTCACTGGTTGTCGCACATTATAGAAGTTGTTAGGTCTTGAATGACTTAATAAGTCCTTGAAATCTACCTGACCTGAGTGTGTGTTGTGCTTCCCCGTCAGGAGTGCCGGCCAAGCGCAACGAGCTGTACTATGACTGCTGTAAGGAGCCTTACCCTGATGTGACATTCACGGTCACCATGCGCCGCCGGACGCTTTATTATGGCCTCAATTTGCTCATCCCATGTGTGCTGATCTCCGGCTTGGCCCTGTTGGTCTTCCTGCTTCCGGCAGACTCTGGAGAAAAGATATCTCTGGGTGAGGTTAAACACACACAAACACACACGCTATTGAGGAAGTTACTTTGCTGTGGCAAACATCTGAAAACATTCATATCGTTCCATAGAAGAAAGGTAGAAATAAGGTGTTTTTACGTACGTGATATTTAGCAAGTAACATAATCTATTAGCAATAGTATATAAATAGTCACAACATAAACATTTCTGGAGCTTAACGCTACCTTGGACAGAGGATCCAGCTCTTAAATAAGTCTTGGATAAATGTCATGAGAACATAACGGAGTACATACATTGGTTACTGCAGAAGTATATGTCATACACCAGTGACCCTAATGCCCTAATCATTGTGGATATGCTCATGTTCTGTGTCTCTCTCTCTCTCGGTCTCTGTCTCAAGGCATCACTGTGCTCCTGTCGCTAACTGTCTTCATGCTTCTGGTCGCAGAGATCATGCCCGCCACGTCCGACTCTGTTCCTCTCATCGGTGGGTTATATTTATATGTGTCTATGTCTTCATCTAACATGCTTAAGCCTGCATGGTTGTAGGTTATTCCTTCCTGTTAAAAGCAGGTATCGTTGCAGATTTCTGGACTGACATTACATTTTATTACATTACAATATTTTGTGCTATTTTGTGCTCACCTACGGTGAAAAGCTGCACTAAGTGGACGCCAACGTTTTATTTTCAACCGGACAGTAAACACCAATTGAGAAAAACACTGTTTCATTCATTCATTATTGACACTTTTTACTTTTCTATATAATGTAAATGGTCTTCTGAGCTTTTGTTTGAGTGAACCTGAGGCCATCTGGACATCATTCACAGCGCCATAGAACCAAAGTTATCAGGATCATTCATTGGTTTCATATGTGTCTACTGTATGTGTACTGATATGCGTATAAATGGTCAATACTACATCAATGCAATGATAACTAGCCCCACCTCAGCTTGATAAACGATTCATCAATAGAGTGATTAATCTGTAATTCTTTATTTCCCTCGACCTCAACACAAGGCCAACTGGGACACTTTTAGCGGCCTTGTTAAAATGACTAATGCTTCTTTACTGCATATTGGCAGAATGTAGATGTGAGTTATTTTAGCTGCTTGAACTTGGAAGTGAATATATAAAACGAGTGTTCAACAGTGCTGCCCAAATCAGTCCAAAAGGCCTTTAATCATCGGCTCCTAATCACCAGATAAGCATAACGTGTCCATTTCATTTGAGTAAATTCTGTTAGAGCTGATTTATCTGTTTCTAAGACCATTTGACTCAGATGATTTTAGTTTTTTTTTGTAATTTTGTAATTTGTAATTATAATCAATGTGTGGTTTTCGACCAATGTGTAAATCTCTCGTCATCCTCTGACTCTTCTTCCATGAAGTAACACAATGGAATAGTCATTGACCAGGACACAGAAACTGCCCTCCACCTCAGATATGATCTGTGTGTGTGTGTGTGTGTGTGTGTGTGTGTGTGTGTGTGTGTGTGCGTGTGCGTGTGCGTGTGCGTGTGTGTGTGTGTGTGTGTGTGTGTGTGTGTGTGTGTGTGTGTGCGTGCGTGCGTGCGTGCGTGCGTGCGTGTGTGTGTGAAACTTCACCCATGGCGACATAACTTAATGTTGATCAGACTGGCTTTTCTTTCATGTTGCCGTGTGAAATCAATCGATTTTAATTCAAGCTTAATATTTTGCCTGTTAGTACTTCTTCATTATATAGAGGGGGCATGACCTTATGGCAAAGCTAAAATGTTTTTTCTGTATGTGTCCACGGCAGCCCAGTACTTTGCCAGCACCATGATGATAGTGGGGATGTCTGTGGTAGTGACAGTTATCGTCCTGCAGTTTCACCATCATGACCCTCATGGAGGCAAGATGCCTAAGTGGGTGAGTTACTCATTTAATCAAACATTCATCCCTATGGTAATTAATAACACAGCACAGGTCCCTATGTTTATAAGAGTTTGTGTGTGTGTGTGACGCTCCATACCTCCTTTCAGGTTCGGGTAGTCCTGCTGAACTGGTGTGCTTGGTTTCTCCGCATGAAGCAGCCCGGCGATGAGCGTAAGCGGCCTGGTTACAAGTACAGCCACAGCTCCCAGCGCCACACCAGCACCGGCTCTCTGGAGATGGGCACTGTCCCGAGCCTCTCCACGCCCCTCTCGCAGACGTCCTGCCCACCCTGCCCCGCGGGCGCGTCCAACGGTTCCATGAGCCTCTACTTCAGCAATTACCACCCCATAGCAGGCTCACACTGCCCGTCTACCAGCGACTCCGGGGTAGCGCTGGGGGGGCGTCCCCGTGGCTCCTTGAGTGATGAGGCCGAGCCGTCCGGAGGAGTTGGCAGTGGCGTCGGAGGCCTCGGGATGGCGGTCGGACCCGGGTCGGCAGTCGGCGCCCCCCCACCAGAGATCCTGCGCATTTTGGAGGAGGTGTCATACATTGCCCAGCGGCTGCGGGATAAGGACCGGGCCGAGGTCATCTGCAGCGAGTGGAAGTTCGCAGCAGCAGTGGTTGACCGGCTGTGCTTGGTGGCCTTTTCTCTCTTCTCCATCATCTGCACCTTCACCATCCTGATGGCAGCCCCCAACTTCATTGAGGCGGTTTCCAAGGACTTCACATAGCTAGTTGAAGCCACTGAATGAATAAGGCAAGAGATTAAGGTTAAAGAAAAGAGTAAGGAATTGAAGGGTGAGGTACGTGGTCCCCAGCCCACAGTCCGGGTACCCAAGCTGTGCCATGCAGTGTTTTATTAAAATGATGAGCTCAAGAAAGTAAATGGAACCTTGCAAATCTGTCTGTCGAGCGGCTGAATCAACCAATCAAATCAAACGATTATATTTTGGGAAACATTTAAATGACATTTCAATTTTTCCAATAACATTTTATGCAATAGCATGAAAGGTGGGAACATTAGAGTCACAAACATATGATTTGCACTGTACCATATTGGGAGGTTTAGCAGGATTCCAAAAGCATCGTTAAAAGCCATTATCTTTTTCGTTTTTGCCTTGCTGTATCTGCACCACCTGTGGGCCGGATGGAGGAGAGTACAGAGCTGCTTTCACGTCATCTGTACACAATTTACGTGAAAGTATATTGGCTTTCCCCACCTACTTTTAATAATACTTTACCCAACCACACAGCCTGTCGTACACTCTTTCAACTTGTTAGAGAGTTCATCATTCATTTTAAAAACTGAATCACGGCTGATAACTGTCTCTATCCCGTGTGCACAAATCCACTCACACATACAGTATGTAAATGAATCCCCGCAGTCTGAGTTCATAATGATATTACGGTTAGTTTGAGTTCATAATGATATTACGGTTAGTTTGAAATCAAATGTTTCACTGGGAATTTTTATCAATGTTCAATCCGATTTACAAAGCATTGGATCTTTCTTCCTCACTATGCGATTGCTTATTTAGCTTCACGTGTTATTTTGTCTCGCCTCTTTACATAATAACACTTTGTGTCGGTGTAATAAGGTGACATCCAATATTTTGTATCAAAAAGCATTGTCTAGACTGGCATGCACTGATATTGACTGCAGGTTTTTTTCTACTTCAAATACCTTTTTTAAGATGAATAGTACATCTTTTAACTATGGAATCTGACGCAATATGAATATGTCAGAAACAGATGAAGTACAGGTTTTAGCTGTAAATCCATTTCCACGTACCTTGTTTGACTACACTGTACATACGTGATCTCTGTAGATGAAAAGTTACTTTTTAAACACTTCCCAGCCGGCTCTTTGCTGTTAACACATCCATTGGTCTCTTTATTTCTTCCTGTTATTCCAAGTGTGAGTTTTTGTCGCCTCTATGTGATTAAAGTCTATTTATTCTCTGTATAACAGGCTCCAGACAGATCTGTGTTGGCTGAATTTGGAGGGACAGAAAGTAAACAAAGCCTTTTACGTTCACTGTTGTGAGGAATAGAATATATCTCTTATGTTAATGTCGTCGTCCAAAACTCAAATATCTGAAACATCTTAGTTCTTTTCAACTAGTCAAATAAATCACAGAGTTTTGCTTAAGGTCAAACACCAGCCATTGCAATCAAAGTCTGTAAACTCCTTCCGCCAGTTTTGAATTCGATCGGCGTGTCGGCAGTTTTACTGCAAGCTGCCAAATTGCTAGAAAACAGATGGGCCAGATGAATGAAGCGCTAAATTAATCAAGATAATGCAAAAGGTAATGGGAGTGAGTCATAACTGCCCGTGAAACAGCTGCGTTAATGGCATGAGAAGGCCATATTTCAAGATGAGCACAATAACTAACACAGCGTCCCCATCAGTGTCACCATTGAGACACTGAAGCTGATGGTATTTGTGTCACAGAGGCCTCTGAGTCTCCAGCTTTCTTAACTGTGATTGTGTTGATACCATCCCAATTGGATCGGTCAAACCATTAAGGAATCTAAAGAGAACTACAGTGTTAATATTCCCTTTATTTCAGTGAAGATCTGGTTTTCTTAGAGGGTGCTCAAAATTGGATGGAGGATAAATTATTGATTGGAAGAGGGAGTCAGATATTTATCTGAGCTGAAATATGTTCCCAAAATAATATGGGTAATATGGGATTTATGAAAGTGGCTCCCAAACATTTTTGTTCGAGCCCCCCTTAGGTGATATGTATTTTAATATATAACTTATAAAACATTTTTTACATTTTAAATTACCTACATTTTCCACTTTAGTCAATCAACTTTTTTTTACTGAAATAAAATAGCGATGCCTCACATACCACAATACAACAATTCAACGTTTCTGCTGCAGTTGCCAGTTGCACTCACCCACAAGTAAACGCAAATATGCTTGCACACCATCAAAACCCGTTCACACACGCTGTGCATGGCGGGGGCCGGAGCGACACCAGATTGCATTTAGGACCGTGTTGAATGGCCAGAGTGCTGAGCGCAGCATGCAGCTGGTGCACGCTTCACAGGGAATCAAAAGTCATGAACCAAATCAAAGACTCTTTTCTTCTCTTTTTCTTTACGAGAATACGGATTAAATCTGTGGTAAATAATCCAACTGCAGTTGGTGGTGAACTGTAAGTCAATTATTTTGAAGCAGGTCAAGGGAACAATTTGGAAAAGTGGGGAAAGGGCAGCACAAGAATGAAATCCATAAAAAAAGGTTGTGGGTTTCAGTTCAATCTTTGTAAGTATCTGCAACAGCGTCCGCCTGCTGGACCTCTGGCCCACCATTATTAGTTTAGAGAAACATGAAGCTCTCATCCTGTGCTTATATGTGTGACGGGTGGATTGTGGCCCCCGACAGCCGGATGCCTTTCCTCCCTCGACACACACAAAGGGCCCGTCAGCCCGGCCACACAGTCACCGGACATCACGCCCGACAGCACGGACCTCCTTTCTTGCTCCCCCTCCGCGTTTTCTGGTTCCAGTACCAATCAATCCCACAATCCCCTGGGAGCTTTGCAGCCACCTGTCCGGTCCTCAGGCATAAACCGTCTCTCACCTTCACGCGTTACCCGTCTCCAAACGGTCCCCTTGTTGGATTCTCCTTCTGTTGCCACTTATCTGCATGCTTTTTATTTTTCGATGGAAATGTTATTCTTTCGGTCCTCGTCTTTGTTCAGACTGAAGTAAAACTATTCGACACGGTAGAATCAGAGAATAAAGAGAAGGAAACTCACTGACTTTGGTGATCCTCATTGAATTTAGAATAAATAAATAAATGGAGTTATTGCGGTCTTGCCAATATGGGCGTCGGATCCGGGTCATTTTCTTTGCTTTGTTCAAAAGGCAGTTCAGTTACAAACAACACACTATGTTGATTAATTTCAGGACTTTTTTTGAGGTTATATAACTGAAATGTTATACTACGTGTTCTATTGTCATCATTGTGTTTTGTATTTCTTCATCATTTATTTCTGTTATGATACGTTCATTGCTGTAATAATCATTTCAGTTGGGGACAGCCTGAATGGTAATGTGACGCAGCGGCAAACTCAAAAGCAGCATCATGGTTGACCGGAGAGGAAGTCTTGTCATCCATCAGCTTCATCTCCTCTCACATTCTGTGGTTTGTCCCAACGGAGCAGAGCCCAGACATCTGGATGCATTTCACTTGGTTCTGTGCCCCCGAGTTTTATTATGTGAGCCATCCGGTGGAGATAAGCTATCAATTAAACCAAGAAACAGAAAAAGACGCAGATTTAAAAGGGCAATGATGCCAAGACGAAAAACACATTACAGCGATTAAACAATCTTCCGTCTTATTACGAAGCCATTCGTGTCGGTGTGCTCACAGAGTTCAGTGCACTCTGGAGATCACACTCCTCATCACATAGAGGTGACATTTTCCAAAAGAAAGAAAAAACAGCACCCTAAAGCGCCTCTAAACTCACAATCCCCAGAAATGCTGAAGCAAAGAAACATTATAATGCAGAGGTGACAGAAAAGCAGATAAAAAACAATACGAGCATGAATCTCTCATCTTTAGCAGAAAATATGAGATGATGACCGATAATCTGTGAGAAAGAAGTAATCTGAGTGGATTATGAGTGAACAATTTAATCTGAAATAGACTTCTGAAAACTGGTTGATTGAGAAGTTCTGAAAGAAATAATTTGCTGGAGCAGTTTAAGTAAACGTGGGGGTCCTAGTCGGGGGTTTACCTTCTCATGGCAAATATCCAACTTGTTCCTATTCTCATTGGCTGATATTTAGAGCTCTGGCTGAGTGTTACTTCTGTGAACATGATGCATTATGTGACTGTTGTGGCAGCTTTAGTAAAACCTTAATCCTTCCAACTCATCAAGTGTACTAAGAAAGGTTTTCTCTATGATACTGATTGCAGAACAATCCTGCAGAATCAATCTATGAACACAATTTCAAAAGACAATCTCTAGCACTTCTGTATTAAAGCCTTCTTTATTTCTGTGCACTGATGAAAGGGAGTTTTTAAGGACAGCAATGTTGGTTTATTGGTCCACTAATTGGACTTGGACTGAAATACATCAACAGCTATTGAATGAATTCTTGAAGTCATGTATGTAGTGTACTGGGGCTCAATCCTGATGACTTCAGATATCATAGTAAGTCAGTTAGTTATCCTATTCAGTCCAATATGTGTAACATCTACATGTAATCAGAGTGTCACCTTTAGCTGTTGAAGTACAAATACACTCGCACACACAGAGGGGTGAAGAGCGAACACGCTGAGTGCGAATGAACACTCATCATGGCACATTTGGTTAGAAAAAAGACCTTTGTGCCTTATGTTTCTCAGTTTGTCACAGAGGAATATGTGGTTTCCTAAATATACATTTACTCCCGTAAGTTGGTGCATGAGAATTAATCAGAATAAAGGAAATGAAGGGTTTCACGGCTCTATCATTGTAACACAATTCCAACTGGAAGCAGAGGCTCTCGTAACAAAATCTGACATTCACCATTTAGCCTTCTTCCATAGATGTGTTGCCTTTTGCAGCGCGCCACATCTGTTTCACTGACTGCGTGATCCCGGCTGTGGTCTGCAGGGATTAGTCTCCCGGTAAAGGGACAAGTAGCTGCTCATTTTAAACCAACTCAAATGACCCCAGCGGCAAATTCTCACACACACACACACACACACACTTTTCTGAAGTTTGAAAATGACTGGCCGACACACAGTAACACAACACTGTGCATATGCAGACTTACACACATGCATGCACACTCTTAACAGGAACTGACACAGAAGATAGCGCCTCATCCTTGAGTCTGTACGTTAGCTAATGTGCCGTATGTGCCTGCTTAGTCACATCTCTTGAGTGTAAATAGAGTCCCTCAGCGGAAGGAAAAATCCATCGAAAAATACTATTTTTTGATTATTTTTATTTTTTGAAGCCCAGAAATGCAGTCTGCACTCAAGCTGATTTCCCACGTATTTGTATGACCACATTAATACTGGCAGTGCCATTTAGGTAAAACCTCTGGGTAGTGGAGGAATTCTTATTACAGAGGAATTCCTGCTGAATTTGCATTCAAAACGTGGTCAGTTGCTGGATCCCAATAAGATGTCTTAGACATGTTTCTACTGCTTCTTACGCAGCAGTAATAATCACCCACAAGGATGCCTATTTCACTGGTGATCTATTTCCCCTTTGACCCACAACTCTTTTCTCCAGCTTTTACTCATGCAGCCATTTGAAGCGTCAACATACATCAACATACTAACACTACAATAAGAAATGCCTCCACCGGAAAGCTATTGACGTTCTTTTCATGTGATTTGTTTACGTGTTTTCTGTTCTTGACTTGAAGATTTACAAGACAAGTGACAACAGGGCAGAAGCAGACCATAAATAAGCCTTGTGTGGAACCTTCTGCTTCTAATACGAATAAGAGAAATGGGGCTGAGGAAGGTCGATGCCTGATGAGTTGGGAGCACGAGCAGTCCTTCAGTCATGTGACACTTTCTAGGGCGATGCGGACAGGAGAAGCTCTGGGAGGAGGCGATCAGTTTTGATGGCGATCTATGTCTAATTTCAATGTCACTGGGTGCATACTCAGCGTCTCACTGAAGAAAACATAGAGCTGGGATGCCTTTCACACATGCCCACTAAAGTAAGCCGCAGGAGACTCCCGGAGTCCTGTTTGACTTGTATCTGTGCAGACAAGACACCACAAGAGACGTCAGCATTACAAGTAGGTTGCCAGAGAATACACTTTGGGAAAGAACGTTGTTTAGCGCACACAAATTAGATCAGGAGCAGCGATTTATCACGTCTGCAGTGAAAATAAACTGATGTGTGACCCCCAACTACTGATAAAAAAACAATTCTCTCCACTGTATAAGAATATACGTCTCACATTTGCAGTGTTAAGTGATTTACATCATATTATGTGCATGGATCTGGTGCCATCTGGTAGTGATACACAGTACTTCACCACTACCCCCTCTCACTCACTGCCCTGCCAGCAGCAAGCTATGATACAGGTGATATGTTAAAGTATTACTATATAACAACTATTTCCAAAAAATCAAAAGTCAGAAATTATCAAGAAAAATAGTTTATTTAAAAAAAAATAATGGAATGGCTTCACAAAGCGGTTATATTGTTAAACTTTAGACAATCTAACCTTGCTGTGAACTATTCCTGGTCAAAGTAACAATGGATGGAGCGGCCGAGGTCTCAACTTGTCAACGAGGAAGTAAAGAGCTGCGATGAGATTCTGAGTTGCAACACAAACATGGAAGTTATAAGACAACTGTGACATTTCAGTCTATCTTATGTGATAAGAAAACAACAGCAAACGAAAAACAAATGGCGATTAGAGCCGCTTAAAAATCAAAACGATCTTAATCCTGTCTGTATTGCTACTCCCCTTTCCCCTTGTCCTTGCTCCTGTCCTTTGGTGTACGGCCCATGTTATAAAATTCCATGTTTGGCCTCATGTCGGTGAGGTGGGCCAGCCGGTTGGACATGGCGAAGAAGGCGGCGATGGCAGCGATGTCCCACGCGTCCTCTCGGTCAAAGCCCACTCCCTCCAAAGACTGGAAATGCTGCTCTGTCACGGTGTCGCTGCGACACACAGCCATCGCAAAGTCCAGCATAGCGATCTCGCGAGGTGACAGCTCTGCATTCTCATAGTTAACAATGACCTGACATGAAAACAGAAATAGCAGGGGGAGGGGGGGGGGGATGAGACCTAGTGTGAATTTTAAGTGATCCACTATAGTTGTACTGTAAAGCAAAGCACGGGCAAGTATTAACACATCTGTCACCTGATCACACAGGGTGGGTTTCTTAGAATAGATGCGGTGCAGCGCACTGTGCGATACCACACAGTAAAGACATTTGTTGTGGGTACTGGTAGCTACTACGATCAGCTCCCGATCCGCCTTGGTCAGGCCGCCTGGAAGACAGTAGACACCATGTTAACGTGAGACAGGTGGAAACGATAACACATTTACACAGCGACAAGACAACGTAAAGTACAAAGCCTCAGTGCTGGATGGCTGGTTTTAGTCAACAGAAAAAAGAGAAAACTTCCTCTTGGAAATGATCCAAGAAAAACAAGTTTAAAATGTGTGAGAAGTTCAAATTCACATTTTGTGTTAGAATGCTGGGGTTTCAGATTGTGTTGTTCAGGGTGGACTTTTATTGTAAATTGTAGGTGCGAATGCTTAGAGGCCAACATGGCAAAACACAGGTAATAAAAAGCCCAAAAAATGGTGTGTGTGCGCACACACACACACACACACACACACACACACACAGAGAGACAGACAGACAGACAGACAGACAGACCTGTCTCTTTGTTCATTAGTTCATTGTAGTAAGCAAAGAAGGCTCTGAACTCCGCTGGTCTGTGAGAAAGCGCTTTGAAGACATTTGGCAAAAAGCCTCCCTGCAAAGAAGGACACGTGAAGTTTATTAGTAAAAATTAGCGGTGAACTCAAGAATCAAAGGGCTCGATGAATGTGGTTTTTTTTCTCCTTTTCTTTATACCTTTGACTCAACTTCCTCCATCAGCTCCACTATGTCACAGGGCAAGTCTTTCTTGTTCGGAACCGGATAGCGACTGACGTTCTCCGGTGGCGGATCGCTGGAGAAAAGCCTGATCCCCGAATCCTTCTGCCGAGGCACACGGACCGACCGGAGAAACGCCTAAAGAGGGGGGGGGGGACCTGTCACACGTAAACAACACCTGCTGAGCGTCGTGGGAACGCGATGGAGAACTTACCAGCTGCGTAAACACGCGGGGACGAAACCACCTCGAGACGAGATTACTCGCCATGTCAGTGTTCCCGGATTGAGTCAAGTAACAATATAAATCATGTACCAGTCAGTCAGCGCAAGTGATTTCCGTGTATCAGACGGAGCAGGTCGAGTCCAACAGCCAATCATCGGGTCGCGTTGAGTCACGCCCATCGACTGCTCGTTTTCTTCTTCTTCGGTCTATTTTGCGGCACACTTGGAGGCGTCGGCGCAAACTGCTGCACTCCGCTGTTCATCTTTAGACTTGTGACGTAAAGTGTTGATTGAAAAAACTGATTACGGATTAATTTTTTACACCATTTCAGAATTGAGTGATGAAGATTATGTGGATCCTGCTGCAATTTTTCCTTTATAAAAAAGTATCAAACTTGCCTCATTCCCTCCTCCCGTTGTTGTTATTGTCGTCAGATATTTTGCATTCCCGCTGTTCCATAACTGTCGCCTGACATCCTAAAGACATTAATGGTCATGCGCGGTCCGTGGTGTGTCCCGCGCTCCTGCACTAACCCTCCTCGCCGCCAGAGGTCAGCACAGGGAGAACGGGCAGCAACGAAGGCCCAACTATTGACCCCGTGACCCGGAAGCTATTTCAACAACGGAAAAAGTCGCGAACGAGCGGCGGTTTCTGTCAAGTCCGTCTGGATAATTGATAAAAACAAGAACATTTTTCAAGTGTGAATTGCGTATTACAGCAACATGTTTTACCATGTAAGTATGAGTTATACCCGCGGTGTATTTGCCGGACGTTCGCGGTATGTTGGTGTTTTGTTTATTCAATACGTGCCCAGCTCCATTAGTTAGCGTAGCTATGGTAAAAAAAAGGGTGTCCAAATCCTCAAAGCATTGATCAGTGTTGTTGTTTTATAGCCAGGCAGAAATACCACCAGGTCTTCTTTCATTAACATCATCCATGAATGCATTTTTTTTGGTCTTTGGTCAGATTTCTTTGGAGCATGAAATCTTACTACATCCAAGGTACTTTGGTCCGAATCTCCTCAACACCGTGAAGCAGAAGCTTTTCACAGAAGTGGAGGGCACCTGCACTGGCAAGTGAGTGGGCGCAAGACTTGATATGGTGTTACATCTACAAATAAGATGATGCTGTACTAACAGAATATAGTAATGGGCATATCAGTAATGTGTAATAATTTGAAATACGTTTGTCTACCTTTAGTCGTTTTAAATGATGGCCTATGGAAAACATTGCTTGAAAAGTTTTGACCTGGCAAAAAAAAAGCAACACAATCAAAGGCAATAAATCAAGGCTGATATTTGTTACACCCATTAAGTCATAAAGCTCATATTCACCTTCATATGGAAGTTATCAACTTTACAAACCCATATTATTGATGGATGTGTTTCCCCTGCTTCAGGTATGGCTTCGTCATCGCAGTTACCACCATTGACAACATCGGGGCTGGTGTGATACAACCCGGCAGAGGATTTGTCCTCTACCCAGTCAAGTACAAGGCCATTGTGTTCCGCCCATTCAAAGGGGAGGTGGTAGACGCTGTGGTCACCCAGGTCAACAAGGTACGAGAAAAATAATCAATGCAGATCCTCCTACAGATTGTTATGACACGTTTCTAATGCCAACATTTTTACATTCATTGAGAAATTGACACAGTAATGAAGTTCTCTACTAATATATTTCGCAACTTTTAACTTGTATCATTATCAATAAGCCTCCAGGGGAGAGTTTTTGCTTCTGCCATGGTGGATGTTTTTGAAGATGTTTGTAATTGATGAATAGCAGATAATGAAGATTTTCAACTTTTTTGTATTTTACAAATTGGACACATATTCTTTCTTTCTTGCAGGTCGGATTGTTCACAGAAATCGGTCCCATGTCTTGCTTCATCTCTCGCCACGTAAGTCATCATAAAAACATCATCGTGGGCTTTTTTAAAGCTTTTGAATTTAAATCCTCTTCATTAGAAGTTGTCATTTTGCAAACAATTATCCCCGGTAGAACCGAATGCTGACATTCAGAGTGGGGACAACATTTAACAACCAAATTCATATTCCTTCTCCCCAGAAAAGTTATTTCTTGACTATATAATGTAACTTGATATGATTTCTTTATAGAATACAAGATAGGCAGATGGGTTGGAAAATAGATTGCTCAACTGTTAACTTTAACTTATTATTTTATCAATCCAGCCACATGACCATCCATCCATTAATGATATGAAATTGCACACTTAAAGCCTTACCTTTTGATTATGTATGAACATTAATAAGTGGCATTTAAAATCCTGGCCAGTCAGAAAGTAACAGAACAGCACATCGCCCTTTGCAAATAAACAAAACATTTGAATGACGTAATATGTCCAGTTACACAAAGGATGTTCATTTGCTAATGATTTCCACTTTCAAGACATGTATGCTTTGATGTTCAGCTCCAGATTGATGGCCAATTAATGAAATGTCTGCTAATTCCCATTTCAAACTATTGTTGATATATGCACCTTTAAAACCCACTATTGGTTGATCTCTAATCTCACAAGAAAAAAATCTTTTTTTTGCAGTCCATCCCTTCAGAAATGGAGTTTGACCCCAATTCCAATCCTCCTTGTTATAAGACAGTTGATGAGGTAAGAAAATGAATTAATTAGTACTTATTATACACTTACTTATACTACTTATTGTAGTTCACCACATATTTGAACAAGTACAAATCCAGGTAATTATAATAACGCTGGTGTACAAACAGAATGAAGCAAGACTAAACTGAAAGTATAATTCCATAACTTGTGTATACAAAGTCGATGCAGTGCTGAATACTTTTGTGCTCCTGTTATTGTTCGGTTCCTCAGTCTTGGATGTTATCTTCTCTTTTCAAGGACATCGTAATCCAGCAAGATGATGAAATTCGGCTAAAGATTGTGGGGACAAGAGTGGACAAGAATGACATTGTACGCTTTTTCTTTTTCTTCATGATTGGATCTAATGTTACTAAGTAGTTTATTGGAGTGATTTACTGTCTCGCAGTTTAAAAGAAAGCTTTTCTCTTCTTTTTCAGTTTGCCATTGGTTCTCTCATGGATGATTACCTGGGTGAGTATTACACAGAATGGCTGTGTAAAACCTGAGCTTTAGAAATGTTTTATTTTTTGTTTTTTAAATGATTGTTGAACACGCCTCCTGTACTTCCAGGTCTTGTGAGCTGATTTGCTGCAGAAGAAACACATTTCACATGGGACACTTCATGCAGTAGCTTACTTATTTTCTTTATAAAATTCCTATGACTTTTACACTTTTATACACAAAATGGTGGAAAAGGTCCCTCAGCAACATTATTGTTATTATAATGTTGCACAGTTTACATTGGTTTTATTGGAACTACTTTAAAAATGGAAAAGGAAAATCCAGGCGAATGCTTAATAAATTAATTGCAAGATGTTAGAGAGTTTGGAAGCATTTATTGTTTCTTGGTAGAAATCACAATTTCTATTTCAACTATGTACTGTTTAGTTTTTGTACACTGACTGTAATAAAGTATTTTATTTCTTATATACCTGTTACCTCTTATATACAACCTCATTGGTGTTGTGCCGCAAAGCGTCACCCGGTCTAAACGTGACATCAGACGAAACGTGAACGCGGAACCCTCATGTGCGCGCACGACTTTTGGACGTAAAACGTCACCGCAGCGCCCGTTCTTTCTTTCTCTCGTCCTGAAGATGGCGGCGGGGGTGAGTAAGATGGCAAATTCAATGTTTCAGTTTTAACTTTAGTGAATCAATCCGCCGTAAATCAGATCCATCGGCGCTGATATTGGGTACTTGTCCACGTAAACGGTTCCTTTGGTGTGAAAGGTAGCTGCTGTTGAGAGTATTTTTTATTAATTCCATTCAGGAGTCTTCTAAACTATGGTTAGCTTTTGCTATCCTGACGTAGCTTTCGCAAAGAATGACGCTCCTCATCTGGCTTGTGCCACGTTACCGTGGCTCTTTCATGCTGTGAAAACTCACCGTTGCTTTAGGGGTAAATATTCACAACGACGTTGTTTTTAATTATGTCCTTTTCGACGACAAGCCGATATCGACTTTGTCTACAGCTACTTTGGCTTTAGCTGTACATTTAAATCACCAGCGGGCTTCATCATAGACTGTGGTAGCTAGCAGGGGTTAGCATTCAAAGCCAACTGGAAGCCACGTGAAACTGTATTTGCCTGTCTAACTAAAATCAACTCTCATTTGAGCGGGGTTGTAACCGGGTTTAACAAAACTATACAGGCCCGGTCCATTTTACGCAATGAGTCCAGAATTCCTTTTAGTATCACACACACACACGAGTGTCGCTAACCAGCAGACAAAGCTCCTCGCTTTACCTGCTCGGTGGCTCTAACGCTACTTTCCCAAGATGTAACTTTGTGTTCTTCTGAAATGGAGTTTTTTTTTTTTTTTTACAATATAAAAAAAAACAATGGCTTCAGAATATTTTCGCCTTAATTTCTTTTCAACGTGCTAGCAAATATTTGAAGTGTATATATTTTTTAAGTTAAACATCCGCTGTGTGTCCCTCCTCTCCAGACTCTGTACACGTACCCAGAGAACTGGCGGGCCTTCAAGGCCCAGATCGCAGCCCAGTACAGCGGGGCTCGCCTTAAAGTCGCCAGCAACTCCCCGGCCTTCACCTTCGGGCAGACGAACCGCACTCCTGCCTTCCTCAACAACTTCCCACTGGGCAAGGTTGGTCTCTTTAGCAAATGTGACATCGCTCACCATCTTCTAAGCTGCTAAATTCACTGGTTAAAATGTGTTCAGTCATTCTTGAATTGTGCCGTTGTTTGCAGGTACCTGCATACCAGGGAGATGATGGATTCTGTCTGTTTGAGAGTAATGCCATTGCTCACTTCTGTAAGTGTTTATTGGTAATCAACTGTCTTGTACCTTTTATTTTTTTGACTGCCCATCCAAAAGTTTCATATGCATTGCATACAGATGTCCCTTAACATCACTGTCAAGCCTTATTGATAGCTGATGGGTTAAATCGTGTCTGTTGCAATTATATGCAGCAATCGTTTGCTCTTAAAGCTGCTGTTGAAGGAAATAAATTGTACTGAAATGCAGAAGTAGTGCCATGAAAACTAAATATAGAATGGGATGCCGTTATGCTTAAAGCTGTTCCCCTTTCACCCACAGTGAGCAATGAAGCCCTGCGTGGTGCCTCCCCCCAGGCCGCGGCCCAGGTGCTGCAGTGGGTGAGCTTCGCTGACTCGGAGATCATCCCTCCAGCCAGCGCATGGGTCTTCCCTACTCTGGGAATTATGCAGTTCAACAAGCAGGTTTGCATTTCAGCTAGTTTCTGGTTAACAATGAGTTAGCTGCTGTGATCATCGAGTAGGTCAGCGCGACTTGCGCTTCACTTTAGGGTTGGCACTTGGCCATGTAGCAAAGTTCATGTTGTAATTTAGCATTTTCGTCCTCCTGTCTTGGTCTGTCCAGGCCACAGAGCAGGCCAAGGAAGACGTGAAACGGGCCTTCACAGTGCTGAACCAACACCTCAACACTCGTACCTTCCTGGTGGGGGAGAGGGTCAGCCTGGCTGACATCACTGTGGCGTGCTCGATGCTGTGGCTCTACAAGCAGGTTTGGCATACATATGGCACATGACTGTTGCATGAATGAATGAAGAAATGCATCAAGATGCTCTCCAGGATGACCAAACACCATTCTTTCCCCTTTAGGTCCTTGAGCCTTCTTTCCGTCAGCCTTACCCCAACGTGACCCGCTGGTTCGTTACATGTGTCAATCAGCCCCAATTCAAGGCCGTCCTCGGAGAGGTGAAGCTTTGTGAGAAAATGGCCCAGTTCGATGGTGAGTAGTCTGCAGTGAGATCAGAAGCCTCATTGAGCCTGTGGCTGACATGATGACCTGCATATGGCAAAGACCAAGATAGAACGTAGGCTCTATTCATTAGAGAAAATGAACGTTCCCCTGTCTGGGCAAGGCGATGTCCAATCATGGCACCAAGTCTTAATCTGACGGGGGAAGAGAAACTTGAGACCATGTTCATCCCAGTCATCTCTGTTTAGTGAGTTAAAGGCTGGTTCATGCTATGGCCACAGTAAAGATACTGTCGGTAATTGCAATTAGACAACCTCTTAAATTGATTAGTTTTGAATCCAGAAACATTGAAAAGCTTTTTTATTTTTTATATATATTTTGCTCCATTTCTTTAGCCAAGAAGTTTGCTGATATGCAGCCCAAGAAAGATGCACCACCAAAGAAAGAGAAGGTGGGAAAAGAGGCAGCGAAGCCCCAGGAGAAGAAGGAAAAGAAGAAGGAAGAGAAGAAACCCGCCCCAGAGGAGGAGATTGATGAATGCGATGCCGTTTTGGCTGCTGAACCCAAAACCAAGGACCCCTTTGCACACCTGGCAAAGAGGTAACTTTGGATTTCCCTGTCTTTCATTGGTTATACAGTTCCAGTGAGTCCTTCCCTCTACACATTTATATATTACTGTGTAGCTGAGCCTGGCTGACCATGAAGAGGCAGCAGTCTGCAGGTTACCATCTGATCACTTTGCAGATTGAGAATGTTTTGGTACATTTAATGTGACACTAAATATAAAGTAACATGCCTGACCACCATTCAGTAAATCACTCCTTGAGAACTGTTGATCCCCTGTCTGGGCAAGGCGGTGTCCAATCATGGCACAAAGTCTTAATCTGACGGGGGGAGAGGAACCTGAGACCATGTTCATCCCAGTCATCTCTGTTTAGTGAGTTAAAGGCTGGTTCATGCTATGGCCACAAATCCCTTTGAACCTAATTTTGTAGACCTGTGATATGCAAAGTTCTGTAAGTAGTCCATCAGTTTCAGAATATAGTGCTACAATTTAAAGAACTTTGTTGTGCGATGTATTTCACAGAAAATGAATGGTGGTATGTGAATATATTGAATATCACCACAGGCCTAGGACAACCTACAAACGTCCAAAAAAGCTTATTTGGGCGCTCCCTTTTTATCTTGTGTATCAGACACCATTATTAAAACAAAGCCCAAAAGCCACTTCTGAAAAATGCATAGTTTCCCAAATGGATAAGATTTAAAAAACGTTCAGAGCTCTTTCCATAGGATGCTGGGATGACCCCCCCCCCCCATGCTAGAAGGACACAAGACTTAATGTTTTGTCATCAAATGTTAACCTATTGCGATTGCGAACGAGTATGTGTAGTTTTAGGTTGTGGGAACATATTTTTAAAACCTACTCTTTAGAATCTTTTAAAACTTCAGTTTTAAGTGATTTGTTTTCTGCTGCATTATGCCGAATACGTTAAACACAATAGATGTATGACCTGATCCCCTTTCTCTTCTAGTGCGTTTGTCATGGATGAGTTCAAGAGGAAGTATTCCAACGAGGATACCATGACCGTGGCCATTCCCCACTTCTGGGAGAACTTTGACCATGAGGGCTTCTCCATCTGGTACTGCCAGTACAAATATCCAGAGGAGCTCACACAAACCTTCAAGAGCTGCAATCTGATCTCAGGTGAGACTCTGCAAGTTCAGCAAGTCCTTAGTGGTGTGCATTATGCTCTTTGGGATACATAATATGAATCCGTCCCTTAAGGTTGTTACTCACGTATTTAATTAATGGACTGCAGGTGAGGGTAGACTTCTTGATCACCTGGAGACCTTGTGTGTAACGTCTTTTGTGACAAACTAAGTGTGCAGTCCCCTGTCTGGGCAAGGCGGTGTCCAATCATGGCACCAAGTCTTAATCTGACGGGGGGAGAGGAACCTGAGACCATGTTCATCCCAGTCATCTCAGTTTAGTGAGTTAAAGGCTGGTTCATGCTATGGCCACAGTATGAAGAGAACTATTAGTTTAGACCATATCTAGAAAGGTGCCACAAGTATTACCGCACTGGTCAATATGTCAAGCAAATTTATCTATTTCATATGTTGAATTTTGCAGATGAATAAATTGCCTCAAATCCTTCCATCTTCCTTCTCAGGTATGTTCCAGCGCCTGGATAAACTCCGAAAGAATGCCTTTGCCAGTGTCATCTTGTTTGGAACCAACAACGACAGCAGCATCTCTGGTCTGTGGGTTTTCAGAGGCCAGGACCTGGTCTTCCCTGTAAGTACTGAGGGGCGAACACTTTCCACAATGCCCTGAGCTGATAACACCCGCACCCTCACACCCTCAAGCGTGTAGTACTTGTGTTTGACAAGCTGCCTCTAGCAGTCAGTTTGTACGGTTGCTAAAAATAATGCTGTTGCTAAACAAGTGTGTAGTCCCCTATCTGGGCAAGGCGGTGTCCAATCATGGCACCAAGTCTTAATCTGATGGGGGGAGAGGAACCTGAGACCGTGTTCATCCCAGTCATCTCTGTTTAGTGAGTTAAAGGCTGGTTCATGCTATGGCCACAATGTATCCAAGATCAAAACCGACTTGTTTCAGGTCGATTTGTCCAGATCACAGACAGAAACTCCATTAAACATTGCACAAGCACTTGTTAAAGAAAGATGCTTTTTGAAAAGTTTCCCCGACATGTA